ATTCGGTGGTTCCTAATGCGGGTTTCAGTGTTAAAAAGACAAAGGGCCGTTGGTGTTTATCCACTCGGTCCCAGGTTCCGTTGGAGTCTGCGATCACCCTGACCTCGTTTCTCGAATGGGTGTGCACTTGTGCATTTTTCTGCAGAGGGTGCAAGCTTTCGATGGGTGGTTAGAAGGCACTGCCATCCAGAAAGGTTCTAGAACTTTTGCTGTAAATTGTAAAGGACTACGCAGACAGTACCACTCGTGAGTTAGAACACTAGTTCAGTTACCACCATCCCCGATAGGTCTCCAGGGATTTGCTCTGCAGTTTTAATCAAGCGAGATGGCAAAGGTGTCCTTACAGCTCGTCTTTTTTTTTTTTTTCAAATTTCCATCTGGGTTATTAAGATAAATTGACTGTTTTTATTATTTGACACACTAAAGTCCTACTTTAAAGTTACTTCGTCTTGAAATTAGACTTCTTTTAAAGTTACTCAGCATTTTTCTTTAAGAAATTGAGTCTTTTTGCAAGTGAAGTGTAGTGTATTAATGGAGAAACTGGGTGCAGTAAGAGCTGCCTGGGCGCACTCCTGGCTCGGCCACCGGCTAACGGTGCGAGTTTGGACTGGGCCCTTAACCTGCCTGTGCCTCGGTCTCCTCATCTGCAGAACAGGGGTTGAAGTAGTGCTAGCCTCATGGAATTGCTAGGAGAATTAAATGAGGCTAGAAAATTTAAAGCACTTAATATAGTTCCTAACAGTTCATACGTACTATATAAATGTTATTTTGGGTATTAGACAAGCAGTATTTATGGCGATAACCCTGCATACCTAGAGTTCGACGTAACACCTGCTGTCTTGTGTTGGGTATGGCGGGGTGCACCCTTGACAAACACTTTCTTTTCCTTGGTCCCCTGTTCTCCACAGAGGCTGGCTACGTGGCGACCCCCATAGCCATGGTCCAGGCAGCCATGACTCTCCTGAATGACGCCTCTGACCTTCCCAGGGCGTAAGTCTCCTTTCTTCTGATTTGAAGGTCTCTTCTTCCTCTGTTACGTTTTAGTGTGTTTCGATGTGATTTTTCAGGCATTGGGTCTGCACATAAGCATTTACAGCTTCTTTGATATTGGGACAGAAGTAAACTGAACTTATGAGAAGGACCATTTCGTATGGGCCTCTGGGAACAGAGTTAATGACGGGAGACAGAGCAGTGTGAGCTGTGCACTCTGATCTGGGGGCCCCGGGCCCTGGCCCTGGCATGGACTGGTTCACGGCAGCCTGGCTGGACGATCACGGAGGGGACAGTTGTACTGGAGCCGTTAGCGGTTTCCTGCAAGTAGCCACCTTCATAGGTGGACAGGGGCCCTTAGGCTTAGAAATAAGTACACTTGGGTATGGCCTGAAACAGTATTAAGTAGTAAACATAAAAATTGTATAAAGTGAAACCTAGTTAAACTTTTTCAACTACTTGTATACCCTTCGAAAATACTCAGCCTTTATGTTTAGCTGTTATATTGAAGGAAACTTTCCTCACTCAGGCCTGTGCTCACTCCCCCGGTCAGAGGGCTGTCTGTACGAACAGCAGCCGCTGCTCCTGTTGGCAGCCGTGGTGTGCCCGAGCACGGGGCGCTGCGGCTGCAGTCGCACAGGTCGCTGTCCCCCTGAGTAGTGGCCACCTGCTCATTGGGCAGATTTTAGGGCTGGGTCTGTAGTGGTTGGGTAGACAGTGCTCCAGCTCGGCGCTGCGCTGAGGGCAGGGCTGGAGTTGGGCCTCTGCACTGTCTGTCGTCTTGTTGCCTTGCAGGGGCGGGGTCTTCACCCCTGGAGCGGCCTTCTCCAGGACAAAGCTGATTGACAGGCTCCACCGGCGCGGCATTGAATTCAGCGTCATTAGCAGCTCCGAAGTCTGAACCTTTGAAGAGTTAACCAGTCATCACATGCATGAATTAACAACTTTTTATCTGATACTTGAAATTCTTCTATAAGCCTGTCTGTGGAAGAGATCATCGAATCTAAAATATGTACACATTAAAAGCAGGAAATTATACTAGCTTACCCTAAATTTCAAATCTTAGCTGTCTTTGTGATTTTATTGCTCGTGAGAGGGAATATTTGACTGGCCTTTACGTCGAAGAGTCACGGCCAGTTTTCTAAGTAAGTAGGCAGGTCCGAGGGTGGGGTGGAGCCTCTGCCCGCCCAGCTGCTGCATCCTGGACGGGGCCCAGGCTGCCTTCCCCGCCTTGCCGTCGTCCGGGTCTCCTGCTCACCAGGGCGCCCTGCTCTCCAGCGAGCTGCTCTGCGTGCGTGCTGCGTGAGGGCCTTTGTGAGATGAAGCTGCCCTTTCCGCCGCTTTCGCTTAGTTCTTCACCCATCTACACCGGTTGCTTTTTGGACCTAACCTGAGCTGAATAATAAAGGATTGCCAGTTGAGTGGGTTTCGCGTTTGACTTGCCTGGTGTTCGAGTGGTGGCAGAGGTGTGCTTCCTGCGCGCCGCCGATGGAGCCTGTCGCTCGTCTCCCCTGGTCCGGGGCCTGCGATTGGTTTTAAGGATGCAGCCGGTAGGTTTCTGTGGACTTCCACCGCCTCACACAAACTTTCACTGACTGAATTTTTGCACTTGAACTGTGTTTTCCAGTGAAGGCCTAAAACAAGGCACAGCAACAGGGCTTTTCCTTCTGAGATAAGCAGGTAATAAACACATACGTCGTGTCTGTGCCTTGCTCTGCGCCTTGCAGTTACGTAAGGAGGACACACACGACCTTCGTGGGGTTTCTGCTCTGGGATGAGAAGCGTGACGTGGGCAGGCACACTGCTTGTGGCGGGAGCCCCTCCGGTGCCACCTGCAGAGAAGAAAGAGGGTCTCTCCCTTGAAGAGGGAGGTTCTTGGTGGTAGTACTATTGATCCTAACTTGGCTCCCTCTGCCCCGGAATCTGGTCTCAGCTGTGTCCTAATCTGGGGGACCGTCGAAAAGTTTTTATCACCCCCAAAATTGGGAGGACGTGCGGATGCACCAGATCTCATGACCAGCTGCAGAATCAGAAGCAGTTCGCACTCAGGCCTGGAGGGGGTGCTGTGGGATCTGGGGTTTCGGTCTGCGTTTGGGGGCCGCTGAGTGCGGCTGCAGGTGTGCAAGCAAACGCTCTTTCTAGTTTTGCGCTGTGTGCTGTTCTGCTCGGTGTTGACACCAGAATGCGTGGCAGCTGGTGTGACTGTCTTCCAGCTTGAGATACCAGTGTGTGTCATTCTAATACTTTTATTTTTTTTTTAATTTTTATTTACTGATCCTGGGAGAGATCATCCATTTGTTGTTTTACTTATTTATGCGTTCACTGGTTGATTCTTGTCTGTGCCCGGAGTGAGGATGGAACCCTCAGCCTTAGTGTATTTGGCTGACGCTCTAACCAGCCTAGCTGCCCGGCCAGGGTTTAATTTTATTTTTAAACCCCCCACCCCCAAGGCTTCACCCACTCTCATTTGCAGAAAGGCAAGTAATACGCTCTCTGCAAATTGTTCAGGAACCATGAGGCTCGGTCCAGGAGGCGGTGGCCTCGCCGCTCCTCTGCCTCCCGCGGAGGCTGTGTGGGATTCGGGAGTGCTCCGCTCACCCCTGGCCCCGCTGTCCCCACGCTGTCCCCACGGCACTCCACACCTGGGCGCTAAGATTTTAGGTTGCCTTTCGGTTCCTGTGCGCATGCTCAGGACCTGAGCCGCAGGCGACACCCCAGCCTTTCCCGTAAGCCCCTGGTATTAAACAGAACTCACCAGCCCAGACCTCCCCGCCTTCCCAGGGAGCCTCCTTTTTGGGGCCCTCGATAACTTCTCTGGCCAGTAGGGGCTCAGCGTCATCCTACTTGATTTCCCTGACTTTCTGCCTCAGAGAGCGCGGATGGGGACTGTCACCTCCAATTTCTCCTTCCAGGCTTCTTAGGCAGATCAAGTCTGACCGACCCCTGGGACAGTCCTGCCTGTTCAGGGGGCAGGCCATGTGGTTACAGTGGCAGTCCCTAGAGTCAGCCCCTGCTGTCTCACCGTGGCCTGGACACACCTCCTTGATTTAACCCTTGAAGCCTCAAAATGGAAGCAATCATAGTGCCAAACGTAGGGTTATGGCAAGAGTTAAATGAGCTGTTCGACGGCGAGCACCTAGATGGGTGCCTCGGCACGGAACAAGCACTCCCTCAGTCTTGGGAGACTTCCTCGCGGTCTGCCCCCAGACCGCCGAGTGCCCCCCAGGAAGGGTCAGTTCTTCCCGGGACCGAGACTGCTTTGAGACTGACATCCCCCTGGCGGGGCTCACCGACACTCTCGGTCTCTGCCACCCCAGAGCCCTGCCCCGAACCCGTCCCCCAGCTCAGACACTGACGCTGCTCAGTGAGCCGAGCGTGCTCCGGGTGCACCCATGATGAGGACGGTGAGGGAGGGGAACACGGAACACTTCCCGGGCAGTGACACGAAACGGGGGCAGGAGAGCACCATGGGCTCCGTGTCTGAGAGCAAGAAATGCACCAGGGGGGGTTTTATTTGAAGTTTCAGACTGCTCACCATGAACAATGAACAACAAATGCTTATTTGCTTTTGCGTCCCAGGAACTACTATTCCGGGGACTCTGTGTCACTGTATTAACTGTTCCCGTCCCCGTGTAACAGAAGGGAAGAGGCTCAGAGAGGCCCACCTGCCTGAAACCACACAGGTACAAGTGACGGGTTTCACCAGGTGTGGCCGTCCGACCCAGAGCTCAGAATGCGAACCCTTCCCTTGGGATGGCTCCCACTTCCCCTGCTCCCTGGGCATGGATTCGTGTCACGTGGTTTCGAATCCAAACGAAGAGTTTTGCTTAAAAATGGTGGAAGAAGTAAGTGGAGGAATTAATTAGTGATTAAGTCCTGAATAAGCTGGGAACTGGGTTGGATACGTGGAGTCCCCGGCTCGGCTCTGACAGCCGAGTTCAGTGAGCTGCTCCGCCGCCCAAGTCACCTCCACGCCACGAAGCTCGTCGTTCCCGGCTGGCGTACCCTCGTCATTCACTCTGCAGCGGACGCTCTCTCCTCTTCTTCACAATGAGCGCTACATCCCTTTTCAGCGTCCGCAGGCTGGACTCAAGGAGATCCCCAGAGTCCCACAACATCTGCGCCTGTCGGTGGACAAACGGTCGGAGCATCTGATCGTCCTCCTAAAAAAAAAAAAAAATAGACAGGAGGAGCCAAGTGATAGTAGTCGATTTACATCTTTAGAGGAGAAATACTGTGTGTATGTGAGTGGGTGCCAAGTAAGTCCTTCCTCTGGGCTAGAAAGCTGCATTTGAAAGTCGCCAGCGGAGACAGTAAGCCCCCTGGGGCGCGTCTGGCTTCAGGAAGGCCGCCTGAACTGCCCTTTGGTTACCACCGATAGGGAAACTTGGTGAGATGATCAGGCGTTTCAGATTGGAATGGTGCACAGGTGGGCGAAAGGAGGCTTATGGTTTTGAGTATGCAAGACAGCTTACTCGCGTATTATTTATTCATTATTGTGTCATTTTCCATGTGAACACTTGTAAACCTGCTGTGGCCCACCCTCCTGTTCTTTGGACCACAGGGAGTGGAGAGCCTCCCATTGGTTCACCCATTAGAGGGCGCGTCCTGCTTGGGCCTCACTTGGAAGGTGGTGCTGGGGGCGGTCAGCGCACCTGTGTGAGGGTTTCCGCGGAGTTTTCCCGCTGGTCCCTCCTCACCCGACCCGCACAACAGAAAGTGATCTGAGTGACCGTCAGCTCAGTTCTCTCAAAAATGGTATACAACTCACACCATTCTAAAGATGTCAGAAAGAAACTAATGCATCACATCCACGGGCTGCCCTGGTGAGGAGGTTCAAAGCAGGGCCATTTGGGGGCTTTTCAGGGCCCAGGTTCCAGGGCCCCACCCCCGGAGGTTCTGACTCAGGAGGTCAGGGGTGGGGCTCTGGAACGTGCAAGAGCCCAGATGCTGCTGAGGCCGCCCGTGGGGGACCACACTCGGAGAGCCCCTGCTTCTGGGCGTTAGGGCTGCCCTCGGCAGAAACCAGCTCACTCTGGGAGGAGCCGAGGGCAGACCTCGAGGGCGAGGGCGGAGGCGTCCTCAGCTCGCCTTAGGTAATGGCGGGCAGGGTTTTGAGTGGCCACACCAACTTACATTCCTTCCAAGCAGCAGGTGAGAGTTTCTGTCGCTGCTTCATTTCTTCCCCCAAACTTGGTATTCTCTCTTTTTAATTTTTGCTATTATGGTGGGTATATAATAGTATCTCATTGTAGTTTCAATGAGCATTTCCCAAGCTATTCATGAGGTCAATTAAGCACTCTTTCATACAGTTAGTGGCCTTTTTTGATTTTCCCTTTTGTGAAGTTCTTGTTCAAATCCTTTGAGTTTTTTTTTTTGAGGTGGGTTATCTTTTTCTTTTCTGGTTTGTAGTTGTTTATTTTGGATATCCATTCATTATATGTTAAGTGTGTTACAAAGAACCGTTCCTATCCCTTTTGACTTCATTTTGGTATCTGGGCCAAACGTTACAATTTTAACGTAGATGAGACTTTTCCCTTAAAGCTGGGTGTTTTTCGTGTTGTGGCTAAGAAACCCTTTTGCACTGTGAGTTCATGAAGAGTCTCCTGAATTAACCTCTGAAGAGCAGGGAGGACTCTCCCTTTCACAGTTAGGTCTTTAATTCTCACCAAAATGGATTTCTGAGAACAGTTGTGGTAAGATCACAGTTTTATTTTCCCTTAATTCTTCTGGCACTGTTTACTGAAAAACCCTCCTTGCCACTCGTCAGCGAGCGGCCCCGCCTCGGTCTTACGCTGCGTCAAGTCTCCGGTCCTGCGTGACTCGGCTCCTGGGCCTCCCGGGCCTCGCCCTCGGCGATCTCGTCTCTAACCGGGCCGCACCTCGCCGCCGTCCACAACAGGGAGCCTAGGAGTCGGGTGGGGCAGGTCTTTCTGCCTCGTGTCTGGGTCTCCGTCTCGCCTGGGCTTGTCTTTGCTTTTGCACTTCCATCCAAATCGCTGTCGGCTTCCCTTGCATGTGACCGGCACTCCATCAGGTCTCAGACGGGAGACTCGACGGGTCTAGAATAGCATGTTTCTCTGTCTATTTGGATCGTTAACATCTCTCGAACACGTTTTTAAGTTTTCTGCACGGAAGTACATAGTGTTATAGGAGTACCTAGGCTGAAGTAGAGCAGATCCTCAAATAATGTCGATTCCTTTTCTGTTACTTCACTGTGATGTCAGTGAGATGCTGTAGGAACTTAAGTCTTGGTTCCGGTATGTGCTGTTTGAAGTCACAGAACTTACAGAATTCAGAGAGGATTTTAGTGTACTTCCTATATTCGATGCAATTATAAGTGGTATCTTTTGTGAAAATGTTTTCTGCTTGGTGCTGTTCTGTCCTAACGCAGTTAATTTTTTAAGTATTGATTTTCGTGTCCAGAAACTTCGGAATTCTATTTCTCTATAAATTCTTTGGATTCTGTGCTCATGTAAATGTGTCTTTGGGAAGAAAAACCAGCAGCTGGTGTGGTGGCAGAGTGGACACGGTGCAGCCGCCCTGGCCGGGCTCGGAGGTGTGTCGCTGCACCCCTCTGGGCCGTAGACCCGTCGACTGTAAGACAGGGCCAACACTAGTCCCTGCCTCATGGGCTGGTTGTGAGAGTTGGGTCAGTGACTGGAAGCACTGGGCATCATACGAATGTGTGCTGCTGTTGCTATTGCCTGTTTTCCCCTCCCGTCTTTGTGCCCGGACCCTCTTGCCTTGCTGCACCAGCTAGGACCTAAGGGACAACGTCCGTCCACGTAGGGGAAGGTGGCCGGCCTCCCCCCCCCCGACTGCTTCCCACGGGAAAGGCAGAGCCTCCAGTGACTCACCATTAGGCCTTAGGCTTGCAAAGCGTTTGTTTAAGATTGCCTTTATCAGATCAAGGAGTGTTCGTTTCACTCCTGGCTGGTTCGCGTTTCTATCATGCAGGGCGCTGAAGTTTATCATGTGCGTTTTCGCCGACAGCACCTAAAGGTGAGGGACCGTGCTGCTGCCGGGGCTTGGTCACTTACAGGAGGCTCCTGTCGCCTCAGTCGGAGGAGCTGGCCTGTCGCCGCGTTCACGCGCTGGTAGAACGCCTTCAGAGCTGCAGCAAAGGCTCTGTCACAGCTGGCCTGCCAGTCGCGCTCTCGGTCCCCCTCCGGCCACAGCGCTGCGTCCCCGGCCACCGTCAGGGCGGTGGAAGGCTCACGTGCTGAGGGGGAGGGAAAGGCAGCGTTAACTTGATCGTGTGTGTGTGTGTGTGTGTGTGTGTGTGTGTGCCCGGGAGGCGTCCTCCCATGGCAGCGGTCATTAGGCACCAGTCCGGACCACCTTTCTTCTGAAACAAGTGCGGACTAACCGACTCACACGCTCAGTCCCTGGGAAGACGCAGGGACGCCGAAGTGCAGGAGTCAGACAGAAGCCAGACAGCCCGGTCCCGCGCGGCCTCTCACCTGGTGGACCGGGACCCGCTCTCTCCAGGGATCCTCGGAGGGACGCGTTCTCCTCTCGGAGGGCCCTGTTGACGGCCCTCAGCAGCTCCGCCTCCCGCTGCAGCTGGAGCAGCTTCAGAGACAGTTCCGGTGTCTGGTCTGACGGCGTCTACAAAAGACAGGTCACCTCAGCCTCCTGGGTCAGCCCCGCTGAGGGTTATCTGCACGCCCTTGGAGCCTGGCGGTTCTTGCCACCACAGGACAGCTAGGTGGGTGGGTAGGGGCACCGGGCAGGATGTAAGCTCCTCGGGGTGCACGGAGCAAACCCAGCTCACATTTGTTAGGGGGAAGGAGCGCTGAGGATCCCAAGCAGCTGTCACCTGAGGTTCTCCTGTCTGTGCCATCCATTTTAACATCACATAAACGCACACACCTGGCCTGCAGTCATCACAGCGGCAGTGTCCTTGGTGTCCACCATGATGTGGCCTTCACCTGTGACCATGAGGTCCTGCCGGGAGCAGCTCAGCTCAGCACAGCCCTCTGTAGTGTGGGGGAGACACCGTCAAGGAGAGTGCCTCGAACGTCCAGCCCAGAGTGGTGTGAGGAGATGTCACACCATGTCGACACCTGGGGACTAGAACCCCGGGACCCAGGGGAGGAGGGCTCTTGGCCACCCCGGTGCAGCCCCGACCACCCCCTGCTCCACCTCCCCGCAGCCTGGGATGCACCGACGTGTATCTGATTCAAGGATGCCTGTGCAGAAGAGGAAGTAAAGTGGGTACCTTGAAGACCCCATAAGTCGACAATGAGAGCATTTGTCTGTAAATAATCCAGAAACTCCTGAGATGCATTTAGGGCTGTGAACTGGACAGACTCTTCGATCTGGGGGTTCACAGTCTTCCATATAGGCTTGGTATATAAAGTGTGTGGGAGGTCATAAATTCTGTACCTGAGAAGAGAACACGAGACCAGAAGGGACACGTGTGTGAAGGAGAGGACCAGAGGGGCCCAGCGTGTGCAGCCGGCACTGGTCAGGGGGTAAAAGACGGCCCGAGTGTGTCTCACGGCTGCCACCTCCAGTGCTCGGCCATTCACACGAATGTCATCGCGACCCGGACAACCACCCACGTCTAACAGGACAGAACAAGGATTCTGATAAATACTTCCTGCTCAGGTAATCCAGGATTGAAATTCGTTTTCCACGGGAGGTGGTGGTTTGGTTTTCTTCAGAATTCCCCTTTCTTTATCGCTTTATCTTTTGACAATATCCTTCAGACTAATTAGTGTAAGCAGACCTGGTGCTGCTGACAGATTGTGACACAGTCCTTTTGTTTCCAAGCAAAAAAAACAAAACCACCCTTCCGCTTAGACAATACACTTTTCCTGGGCAGCCCTTCTGATCACTGGGATCTCTGACTCGGCCACTTCAGTCACTTGGCTGGGTCAGCGCATGGCAATCCCACTCCCGCACCCTGGAGGGAGGAGTGGCTTTTCTCTGTTCAACGGACGGGGGAAAGGGTCATTTTGGGGTTGAGCGAGCAGGGAAACCTAAGAAAATTTCATGATAAACTCATTTTTTAAGAAGGTGAGGAGAGACCCCCTCCCCCAGGGCCCACGGCGTGGGCGGGCGGTGCGCGGCAGGCCCGCGGGGCAGGCTGGTACCCCATCTGAACGCCCCGCTCCGCGTCCTCCTTCAGCCACTGGGCGCCGAGGCACCGCACGATGTGGATCTGGAAGTCCATCCTCCTGCCCAGCAGCTCCACGGGGTCAATGACCACGTCCTCCTCGCCACACGCTCTGGGAGCAGAAGAGGTGAACACTGATCACAGCTTAGCCTGGACCCAAGCAAGGTAGGGCCGTGATGTCGAAGGGAATTACATAGGCCCCTGAAGAGACGGCCAAGTTCACTGAAGCAAGGATAGGTGAATGTACCAGCTGCAGAATTCCTTCACTCAAGAGACACTTAGCAAGGGCCCCCTCGGTGATGGCACTTCAAGGTAAGACAGGGATCTTCTCAAGGAGGAGGCGGGGATATGGAAAAGCTTATGCAATACGCACCCAGACATGGGCGAAGATCGAGGAAGGTTCCCAGTGGGACAGAGGGGCTGCCGCCCAGGCAAGGCCAGCGGTCCGCCCAGACGCAGACTCTCAAGCTGCCGTGTTCTCGCTGATGCCTCAGCGTCAACCCCAGGCCTACAGGCTAGAAGCCAGTCTGGACAGCTTCCCCATGGGGGGCATGTCCCTCGCCCATCAAGCTCACAGCATCTGACACTATAACCCAGAAGGCCACCTCCTTGCTGTGCGACAGCGTCGAGGCCTGGGGTAGTCGAGGGACCGGAAAGGTGCTCGGGGTCCCAGTACAGACAACGAGCCGACCACCAGCTGGGTCTCTGAGTCCCAGGGCCCCGTGAGTCTCTTGCTCCCTCCCTGCGCCTGTTGTCTCTTCACAAAGACAGACAGATCGCATTGGGTGGATGAGGACCCTGGACCCGGACCAGAGCCCCCTGCCGGACACTACGAACCTTCAATAAAAACTGCCTAAAGTGCCTGTGGCCTAAAGAGAGAAAACAGATGAGACACCCTGAGAGGAGGGCAAAGATCACGGAGTACAGAGTTCAAGCAAAGCCTGTGGCCACAGAAAGGGTCGATTACAGCCCAGAATGAGGCCAGACGAGGGAACAAAGACGGCTCAGTCCCTGCCTTGAGAAAAGGAACAAAGAAATGACCCGAGCCTGTGCCAAGGACGGAAAGGGGTGAGCTTTCTGCCTCTGGCTCTCGCCAGCAGGCCTGTGTGTGGGGAGCCTCTGGCACGGGAAGGAGCCTCCTGCATATGTGGTGGGTGCCATGCCTCGCAGGCACCCCACTTGGCTCCTGAACTCGGGGGGCGTGACGGGGAGCCAGCCCAGGCCTTTGGTTCCCATCCGAAGTTCCTCCTCCTCCTCCTGCCTCTTTGCAGGGGGCCTTCCTCGTCCCCAAGGTCCCCCAGGACAGTGCTGAGCCGCATGAATGCTGTGAGGCATGGACTTGAAATGTGCCAGGGCGGCTGGTTTGGTTGCCATGGCAAACAGCAGATCGGATGAGGTCAAGTCATAAATGAATGAGCTCATTCATTCGTCTCCTGGCTGACCTCTTTGGGGTACCAAGGTGACCACCCCCTCCAGGAGCCCTCAGGCTGGCTTGAGCTTTCTCCGAGAGGCAGGCCCAGGACTAGGCGAGGGGGAGAAGGAGACACCCACCGTCCTGCCGGGGAGCAGGGCCTCACGCGGACGTGCAGCACGGCCTCCTCCAGCCCGTCGCAGTTCAGGAGTGCCGCCTGCTCCTCCAGCTCCATGCAGTAGGCCAGCGGCTGGAGCCAGACGTGCGCTGAGCCCAGGTGGACAGCCTCCACTGGGTCCCAGAAGGGGTCGTCTTCCTGTGCCACGCGGCTGTCTTCCCCATCTAGGAAGCGCTGGTAGAGTTCCTCCATTAGGAACTTCCTGTTGATAAACTTAGCTTTTGACCAGACCCACACCTGGAAACACAGAGGTAGGCCACCAGTACTTGATGTCACCTGCCGCTCTATCCATTCGCTTCTGTGATTCCGTCATGCTTCCCAGCACGCTCTCCCCGGTGGGCTGGGTTCGGGGCACCCAAGACCACAGAGCACTCGCCCGAACTCAGCTTTGGGGAGGTCCTTCAGGAGCACCACGCACACTCCTGACCTATTATTACACCAGCACTGCTGGCATCCTGGAGCCCCGGGAATGACCTGGAGGAGACAACGGAGCGAGAACTCTCCCGGGAGAAGTGAAGGTTCGGTGCTTGCGGGACACAGAGTAATGGCCCTCACACAAGTCCGTATCAGCTTCCATGGCCAAGGGGACTTAAGCTCACTTATTCACTGACCTTCCAATAGGGAAGTTAGCCTGCGTTGTCCAGGTAGGCCCAGGGTGATCCTGTGGGCCTTACGTGTGGAAGGGGGAGGCAGAGGAGAGGGTCAGAGGAAGGGCCATGTGGCAGACGCAGGGGCAGAGAGCTGGAGGGAGAGGCCCCGAGCCAAGGCGTGCTGTTGGCTTCTAGAAGCTTGAAACACGAAGAGGCAGATTCTCCCTCAGGCCTCCAGAGAGGAGCCCAGCCCAGCCAACGCCTCCCTGTTAACCCAGTGAGGCCCGGGCTGGAGCCCGAGCCTGCAGAACTGTGTGTGCCCGCACCCCGTGAGCAGAGGCTCCAGGACGAAGGCCTGCACTGCCTGTCCCCGCCCCGGGCGAGGGGCGGGGCTTCTGCGTCCACAATGGCTCCTGAGCGGGGACAAAGGCGTAAGCCCCCGGGTAAGGGATTACAGTTGGATTTTCAGGATGTTTCTTGACCATAAATGTTGCATCAGAAGTGGCTACCAGGTAAAACTTGCAGTTCCTTCTCCGAGCGACTTGAAAAACAACAAAAAAGTGGCAGAGAAGTTACCCTTTCAAGCGCTGTGTGTCTTTCTGAAAGGGACCCCCTCGGACTTCATCCTCCTGTCTGCCTCGGGCGAGTGCAGAATGCAGAACACAGCGCTGCTCCCCCAGAGGCCACATCGCGGCCGGACGAGACCCTGGCCGGGCACAGAGCACGGCCGGGGCTCTGGGGGCAGCGGGCTCTTAAAGGCCAGAACCCTGAGATGACGGGTCCAGGTACTGAGATTAGTTCGCTGCCTCCTGACTTGTGGCATCAGACCTCAGCCCTGTGACAGGTGACACCGATGTTGTCCCTGGCAGGCGTGCCAGGCTCTGCAGGGCGGGCGGGGACACTGGTGCCCGAGGCCGGGCACACAGACTCCTCGGCTGGAGGTGGGAGCCAGCAGCCGCTGGCCAGGGACTGCGGAGAAGGGACTTCACGCTGGCTGCGCCCACTCCCAGGCTGGAGCACCCTCCACAGCCCTCACGTGGCCCTGGCTCGCTCCTGAGCTTGCGTCATGTGAGACCAACAGTCACACCAAACTGCCTGGGGACAAGGCTCTCTCCTCCTGGGAGCTGTACTGGCAGGCACCCTGGCCCCGTGATCTGAGGGTGACCGTGCACAGGACCCTCTGCCAGCAGCACCCCTGGGTGCACCTGGGGCGCTGCACCTGGCTTGCCTTCTACACACACACACACACACACACACACACACACAATGTCCCTAGAAACTACCAGAAGCAACTACCCACCTTTCAGAGGACTCCTGCGGAAGGGGGGGCTTCATCTGAGGGAAGGTCACGGGTACTTTTAAAAGGCCAAAACGGACAACCTTGACGATGAAGTGTCGGGAGCTGGGCCTTTGGGGGGTGATTAGGTCACGGAGGCGGGGCCCTCACGGACGGGATTAGTGCCCTGGTGCAAGAGACCCCAGGGAGCTCTCCGGGCCCTTCCACCCCATGAGGACACGGCGAGAGGACAACCATTGGTGAGCCAAGAAGAGGGTTCTCAGCAGACACCGGGTCAGCCTCCAAAGTCTTTCTTCTTGGACTTCTCGGCCTCCAGACCTGGGAGAAGTGTTTGTCGTTTGGGCCGCTCAGTCGCTGGCGGTTTGCCTGGGAAGCCGGAACGGACTAAAACACGTCCGCCCCTTCCTCCGTCCTGGGAGGCGCCCTCGGTGCTGACCAGCGGGAGGGAGGAGAGAGGGACAGTCTCAGAAGTTTGGGCTCGGTGGTGGCCCTTCCTCAGGATGCTCTGGGGGTGCCCACAGCCAGGGGGCCCCAGCTCCTGGCCGACGCAAGCGCAGACCCCCCCGAACGGGACGGTGAGTACCCGTGTATTCGCTATATAACACGGGCATGCACATTTATAGTCCCTGTAGATATAGCCACATCTCACAGCTTCAAAAAGGTTTTAAAAGGGGATCTCGCTCCAACTTGGCAACTTTAGGGCAATAAGCAGAAAAGCCAAACCCAGGGAAGCAAACCATCCAATGACGGAGAAGTCCCTGGCCACAGCCAGCCCTCCAGGGGCACGCTGGCCGCAAGCCTAGCTGCGGAGGAGGGTCATGTGGCTCTGGGAGGGAGCAGCCCGCCCCAAGGTCACCTGGGAACTCGGGGCACCTCCTCTGAAGGTGGGCTACGGAGTGAGCACGCAGCTAGTGCGTGCTCCAAAATCATCACGCACAGAAGGGCCACGGGGAGACAGGCCCCCTCTTTTCCGCCAGGCCGAGAGAGAGGAGGGCGGGTCTGGAGTCCCCGAGACGGCGTGGGGCTGGGCCAGCTGGCACGGGCGTGACACGGCCTTTTCCGGGTGCTCGCTGCAAGTGCGGATCTCCCACCGCTTCGGATGGCGGGTCTCTCCCACGTGACACACGTGTGCACAGGCACATGAACGTGGACACTGTCACCGGTCGGAGGAACCTTCAGGCTCACTCCTGGTACTAAAGCCTTGAGTCATGTTAAAAATAAGCCCAGTGCTCCACGCTGGTGGTGAGGGGAGCTACCGGGACTGGGTGCTGTGTGGGGGCGGGGCCCAGGAGGGGAGAGGCGGAGAGGGTTCTCCTCTCCCAGGAACCTGTCCCCCAGAACCCCGCCCCTTCGCCGGGTCTCCATAGGCCACCGCTGGGAAAGCTGACGCGGTCCCCAGAAAGCCCTTGGGGAGGCCCACGCCCACCCCCCGACGGCAGCCTCACCTGGTGAGTCCTCTGGTTGGTCACCTTCACCATGACCTCTTTCTGTAGGTCGTAGCCCCTGGAGTCCGACGATGCCAAGTTCTTCACTTTCAACTCCATTCTAAGTCCCTGGTAAGAGAAGCGCTTCTTAACTGAACCACCCTGCACTGACCAGGCCGCAGCACCTCTGCCGTCTGCTCTGCATTCTCTCCACACTCAGGCTTTCCGAAAGAAGACGGTCTAACTCTTGCGTCTTGGAATTCCCACCAAGATCTACAACAAAGCGCTAGAATGCCTCAGCAGTATCCTGGGGCTGACGCTGCAGGCCTTCCCAGAGTGGCTCCATCCCTGATGGGTTTCCTGCGGGCTGGCTGGGGTCCCGTGTCACGGGGGAGCCACCCCAGCCCAGGTCTTCTCTGCGGCATAGGGGCCATCGGGACGCCAGGGCGGAGGCTCCGCTGAGGACAGCCTGGGGTGGGGTGGTCATGGCGAGCCCGTGTGAGTCTGGTGTCCCGCTGGCCGCAGTGGCCGTGCTCCATCAGCCGTGGAACACAGGACGCTCGGGGCTGGGACAGGGGAGGCCTGGGTGTTGGCCTAGAGCCTGCCCCTCGCTCACTGTGGGGTCCTGGCCACAGTCCCTCGCCTCCCCAGGCCTCCGAGTCCTCGTCTGTCCCATGAGGCCGGTTCGGGGAATCGGGAGTGACGGGGGTTGAACCTGTGCTCCGAGGTCCTCCCCTGAGCTGACACCACTCCCTCTCCTGGCTCTGACCTTCTTCAGCTCCTCGCTCATCTGATTCACTTCTGAGACCAGCGGCATCAGTCCGACGTAGTCCTGGAACGCAGCCAGCACGCTGGGGTCCGCATGCCCGTCGCCCCCGCTCCCGGCGCCTGGGGACCAAGCGGAGCGGATGTCAGAGCCCGTCTCTTGTTCTGGGATACTTTTTGGCCATGAGGCAACTGAGAGGCTCGCTGGCCTATTCATCCATTCATTTCATCGTTCATCAAATATCTGCATTTTTTAATTACAAGCATGTGATTACAAAAAAACAACTCCAGTGTGGGAACAGACACCGCCTGGCTCTCACCCAGGCAGTCGCTCATCCCCCACCCACGCCTGGGGGCGGCATGGCGACAGGCGGCCCTCTCCCTGCCCCACTATTCTTGGCTGCAGGGCCCGTGACCCAGGGTGGCCCCAGAGGGTCTGGGGAGGCGGGGTGCAGGAGGTTGGCTAGAAGGGTGGTCTGCGGATTTACCCTGAAGCGGCCTGTTCCTACTTCTATTCCACGTGGGGAGGCGTGGAGGGGCGAGCGTGGAGATCGTGGGAGAAGCAATCCTCTGCCAGACCCAGCCTGGCGCTGCCTTTGTCAGCAGCTCTCAGCTCCTTAGGGTCTCCCTGCCCGAGGCTTCCTGCCTCGCGCCCTTGACCCTGAGGTCTGACTCCCCAGCACCGCCCACCGGCTGACTGGTTGAGGACCTCGCTAGGTGCTGGGCGCCTCTGGCCCAGGGTCTGGGGCCCGTTCAGCCTCCTCACCCCGGGTGGGAGGCAGGTTGGCAGCGTGGCCTGCGAGGACACAAACGAACAGGCAGAGCACCCAGGCTTGGTACCGCTCCGTCTGACGTTGTTGTCTTTGGTCGGGAGCTTCCGTAGAAAACAAGCGAGAAGACCCATTTCAAATCAGTTCATTTCGTTAAAATTCTCAGGGGAGGAAAAACTCCATAGGGGAAAGAGGGGCACTGGTTCGCACCAGGGTGGGTGCGTCCCGCCGCACTCCACCCACGGGCAAGTTCAAGTTTGGTCCTGGCTGCTGTGCGGAAGGGAGCACCCTGCTGGCGCAGCCCGGGAAGGAGGGGTGTGGACGGGCGGGCTCCGCCGGAGCCTCCAGCAGAGCCGTGGGCAGAGCGGGCAGAGCTCCTGAACGCTCGTGTGTGTGTGTGTGTGTGTGTGTGTGGAATCCCAGCTAATTGGTGGGGTTGGGGGAGGGGAGGAGAAGGGGGCACATCTGACTCGAAAACCGAGGGGTGTAATTTCTCATAGGCCGGGGCCTGGATGTGGTCCGTCGCCGTCTCTCCGGCCCGGGCCACAGCCTCTGCAGGCCTGGAGGCCCCGCGAGGCGCGTGAGGCCTTCCTGGCCCAGATGCAGCAGGAATGGTGCCGTGAGCGAGTCACATGACAACCACAGAAGAAAGGTTTCACACCCAGAGAGAGATGCCAAGAAAAATCATCCAAAACAGGCAAGTCAGGCAAAAGAATGACCGTGCCTTAAACGGCACAGCAGGGCCGGGTGTCCGGAGCCTCCAGCTGCCCCAGGGAGCGTAGCACCGCGGGGCTGGTGCTCACCGTTGACCAGGGCCTGGACTCTGAGCGCTACTTGGGTGTCACTCTACAGGAGACTGGCGAGCGAAAACGACCTTTGTCCAGGGGAACGTTACTGCCCCGAAGACAGCTGATCGGCTTTGTCCCCTTCAGCGGTCCCATCTCAGCGTTCTCCCTCCAGGGCTGTTCGCCCTCCTCCTCTCTACTCCTCTGAACCACCTTTACCCGGCGCCCCCAACCCCTCCATCGTGAGAGAAACAATTGAATGGATTAAGTCTTGACACGTGCTCACTCTACGTTTGTATGGAAATCATATCTAACTTCCGAAACACTGTACTCTGGCACAAAAGATTACGTGAAGAAAAGCAGGGGACAAGGCAGGGAAAGCCGCTACTTTCCGGCCAGGAAAATGCCGGCGTCGGGGCCCAGGGCCGCTCACCCAGCCGGTGCACACTCACTCCCTCCGCGGCTGCTCTCTCCAGCTGGAAGAAGTCGTAATCGAACCGGCTCACGTCCTCGCCGCCTCGCTCTGAGGGGGGCCCCACGTAGAGGTAGGCGCTGTTGGACCCGAAAATAACGCGGTCCTGGGGGGGAGAGGGACGGCTCAAGGGGAGGATGCTGACCTCGCGCGGCCCCCGCTCCGGAGGCCAGAGGGGTGAGGTCGGCCAGCTCCGGGAGGGCCCCCAGCTGTGGGAAGAGCCTCATCAATGAGGAAAGAAGGGGTGGCTCCTGCTTCCAGTTATTTCTTCCTTTATTCCACAGGGAGCACTCCCTCTCCGCCGGACACAGGCACCCAACAGACCCAGCCTCTCCCCTCCGGGACCTTGGAGACCAATGACACAATGGTCTATGCGGGAGGCTTGAAGGAGAAGGACGCTGCTTCTGCAGAGCGTGCAAGGGGGCCTGATTCACACTGAGGCCTAGAGAACTCTTCCGAGGTGTGCCCTTTAAGGTGGGACTTCTGGGGTGGAAGCTTGGGAAGACTGCCGCAGAACAGGGCCCGGGGGGGTTGAGCAGCCAAACGTGACGGGGGAGGGCGGTGAGGCCACGGGAGGCGGGGAGAAGGGGGCAGCTCACCCAGGTGTCATAAAAGGGCCGAGACCGAGGATTTCCAGAAGGAAGGCCTTTGGCTGCAGGTGGAGAAGGGGTGGGAAAGGGGCTGGGCCGTGGGGAAGCTGGAGGAGCCCTGTGGGGCCGGGGACTCGGCCAGGTGGCCGGGGGTGTGGAGGAGGCGGAAAGAGCCGATGTTTGCAAGTTGCCGTGCAGCCTCTCTCAAGGACAGGCTTTAAAAAAATCTAAAATGAGCCCTGGCTGGCGTAGCTCAGTGGATTGAGCGCAGGCTGTGAACCAAAGTGTCGCAGGTTCGATTCCCAGTCAGGGCACATGCCTGGTTGCAGGCCACAGCTCCCAGCAACCGCACACTGATGTTTCTCTCTCTCTCTCTCTTCCTCTCTCCCTTCCCTCTCTAAAAATAAATAAATAAAATCTTAAAAAAAAAAATCTAAAATGTTAGGTACTGTTGGAGTTGGGTGGGGTCTTGCTGATCATTTAATCTAGTTCACCCCCCTTCTGTCTCATGGGTGAGACCCAGCGGAGCGAAGGGCTCCCCAGGAACACGCAGCGAGTGAACATCAGGTCTCCCAACGGCAGAGCTGGGACCACGGCAGCACCGTGCTGAGGCGGCAGCCCCTCGCCCTGCCCAGCCCCCACCCTCATGCTCTCTCTCTGGTTCGACTCAGGGAGTCCTGCAGCCAGGCAGGGAAGCTTACCAAATGCTGCAGCTTCGTCTTGGCCGTGATGGGCACCCCGTTAACGACGACCTTGCATTTGCTGTGCGGAGTGACTGTCACTTTACCGTCCAGATTTGTGAAGGAAGCGTGTTTATCCGAAATTCTAGAAAGACAAGTTTGTCTAGCTGACGAAAAGAATGATGGTTTTAGTTAACAGTTTAGGGGGTTTCTTCTCCTTTGCACACGTAAGAAAGAGCCCCCAGCTGCTGGAGGTGGCCGGGGGCATCTGTGGGGCTCCCGTGGGTGGGGATGGAGGACTAGGTACAGAGGGACCCTGCACACGGAGCTGGGACGCTGCCAAGCTGTTCTGGTATCAGTGGGGCTGGTTCTAGCTGCGTGCTGACGGGTGCAAGGCGCTGGGGGCCAGGCACAGGGGTCATGGCTGCGGTCCTCAGGATCTCCCAGGCTGGAGGGCCTGGGTGGAAGGGAAATGCAAACAGGTGTTTCAGAAGAGGTGCTGGGGCAGGTGGCTGACAGTGGGGGCCTGGGGCTTAGGTATGTAGGGGGTGTTGGTCAGTAAGGCCTCTCTCTGGAAGAGCCGATCAAGCCTATTGGCTAGAAATGTGGGGGCAGCCCAGGACACAGTGGTCCCAGAAGGAGGAGAGGGGGCTCCAGAGCAGAGGCTCCCCCAGAAGAGAGGACACAGAGGTGAGAGGCAGCTCTGAGCTTAAGAAACCAGCCACAGAGCTCCATAGAGGACCCTGAGGGCGACCTTGGGGAGAGGTCACCTGCAAGTCACAGGTCCGGGCTGCAAGCGCAGGGATCCGAGGGTGCTTTTGCTTTTGGCAGTAAACCTGTCCTTTTAACTCTCTTCATTTCCTGGCTGGATCTACTATTGTCTTGCTGTGAAGACACAGAGTCTAGCAACTGACTTTCCCTTTTGTCCCAAGATCAGAGTCCAGGAAACAAGATGCAGCAGGAGGGATTTCAGTGAGGGAGCGAGAAAGCCTCCCTGATGCTTGCTTCTGCAAACACTGGACGGGGTGGGCGAGGCAGGGCTGGGGCGTGCTCGTCCTCCGTGGTCCGGCAGGCTTTGCGGCCCGGCCCGCGGGACACCAGGTGGATTTCAAGAATGCCTCGGGTCTGAGTGGTCACAACTCGCTAAGGCTGGACGGAGGTGGTTTGTGGAAACTCACCCCAGACCTTGAAGAGTAATGGCATTTGAAGCCGCTCGACCAGCGTCACACGAACCTGCGAAGAGTTAGTACAACTTACGTTCAGATTTGGTTCAGGACGTGACCTCCAGGTACCATGTCTGATGTATGGACGGGCAGTGCCATTTCCTCTCCAATAGGATCACGAGAAGGGATTTCCCCACTGGGATTTTTGATCGGAATGGTCCTTGGACATCGCCTTACCTTTGGGATTATTGTACTCTCTGCCTTTTGTGTGTGTGTGGGGGGGATTCCTAACTTTTTAGAAGTTCCACCTTCTTCCCAGGAATTCTGGAGGAAGAAGCTGTTGAGCCCGGGCCTTAGGAGACACACGGAAGCAGGGCCGCAGGGCAGGCCCTGGTCTGCGAGGCGCTGTCTCTGCCCAAGTGCTGAAAGCACTGCCCGGACCACCTGGGGGCTGGCCCCTCCCCCCCCCCTCCCGTCTCTCCTGAGTCCCCTGCTGTCTTGAGTGCTCACAGGGCAGGGAAAGCTAGATGTTATTATAATTCTGTTGCCATTTCCAATGGCTGAACGGATAAAATGTGGTACATACATACGATGAAATATTATTCAGCCTTAAAAAGGAAGGAAATTCTGGCACCTGCTATATAACCTCATTGGACGTGGAGGATGTTCTGCTAAGTGAAGTAAGCCAGACACAAAAGGACAAGCACTGTAATGCTCCACCTGCAGGAGGCACCAGAGCAGTCAGATTCCCAGAGACAGAGAGAAGGGTGGTGGCCGCCGGGGCTGGGGCGGAGAAACAGGAGTTAGTGTTCAGTGGGCACCGAGTTTTGGTTCGGGGAGATGAGGAAGTTCTGGAGAGGGCTGGGGGTGACGGCTGCACAACCGTGTGAGTGTGCTCAATGCTGAACCACATCCCTAAAAATGGTGAACGCGATGAGTCTGATGTTACGTGTGTTTTACCAAAATGAAAAAGGAAAGACGCATGCTCCTGGGACCAGGGCACGGGAGCGGGACAGGGGGTCCGGGTGAGTACCGGCCTGAATGAAGTACTTGAGGACCCCGGTGAGCTGCGGGTCCTCGTTGACGTTGAGGAGGTGCGGGAGTGTCTTCAGCATCTGCCGCTCCTGGAGGAGAAGTGCAGAGGGTTCCCGTCACCGGGCGGGGCCAGCACGCTCCAGAGAGCAACGTATCCTTCCCGCCTACTCCTCACCGAAGCCATCTGTCTGTGCATCCCGTCAAGCCCACTGGCGAAGCAGGAGGAGGGGAGGGAAGCCGAGTGGGGCTGTGGGCTTCCCGGATCACAGGGGTGAGACCCTCAGCAGGTGGCGGGCAGGGGCCTGAGCCCTCTGGACAGGGCTGTTCCAAAGCACAGCCCGTTCCTGACTCGCGTCCCCTTCCCAGCTGCCCTCGCGCTGTCCCCTCCACTTTGACTTGACCACCATTTCTTTCAGGCTCCAGGTGTCCCCAGGTGTCCTCCCTCTGGTACCCACCTTGGGTACTCCTTCCCCGGGTCAGCGCTTAACCTGCCACCCACACCTCTTCCGCCTAGTCCTGCTGGCCAGCTCAGACAAGCAGACGTTGCTGGCCGTGTGGCAGTGGCCCTGCCCCCTCCCGGAGACCCCGGCGAACGTCATCCTTTAGCACAGCATCGAATGCCTGGTGCTGTGTGTGGGGAGGACGGACAGACAGAACTGGGATAAAATATCCGGGCACAAGGACGGCTGCTACATCTTGGAGTTCTGATAAAGAGTAAAGACGGTAAAAATCCTTCCCATTTCACATCCACACAGAACACAGAATCCTGTGTTCTTGCCTCTGGCGACTCCTGAGCCCTGCAGCTAGGAGTCGAAAACCCAGCTACCCCTTACGTGTGGACTCACTTGGACTCACATTTTAATAGCGCACCTGGCTGCTGTGAGACCCCATGTTATGCCCACCCCCTAGAATCCCTGGACCCTAACCTCACCTGGCCTCCTGATGCCATACGGATCCCTTCCCCCCTCCGCTGCCACCACCAGAGGCTCACATCTGATCTGGGCTTTGGGAGCTTTTCAGGAGCCAGACCTGCCCCCTCCCACCGCTCCCGAAGTGTTCCCAGTGCGGCCCATGACTTCGGGATTTGTTCAGAGCCTGTGTCTTTGGGGAGTGAGGTCATGGTGAAGGTGGGGTGTTGGCATGAGGCCAAGAGGTCCTGGCCCTGACCTAGGTATGGAATTCACATCGCAGCCCACTTATGCTCTGCGAGTGCCAGGAGAGGCAGCGTGGTTCAGGGGCACACCATACAGTCCCAGAAGACAACTCCGTTTCCTCAGATTCTCCCCAAACTCTGCCAACAACCTTGAACTCTATCCCCAGCCTCACTAGTCTGTCCGCAGCAGGGCTTCTCCGCTTCCTTCCCTTTCATGCCGGGCCGCCCCTCCCCTAACTCCCCCCGAGAATATCTGTTAGTCCCATGTCACATTGCACAGGTCGCCCATTCGCTGCAAATCCCCCTACAGCCGCGCAGACAGCCACGGGGTGCGCATCTGGCCGCGGCCTCCGCAGGTGCAGGCGGCGAAGCTCACCTGGGCGAGGGCCACGTGGTGCTGCCGCCATTCCTCCCGCGCCTGCGCCAGCTGGTGCGCCCAGGGCAGCTGCGGCGAGCCGGGCCGGGACCCAGGTTCCGCCGGCGGAGACGCTGGCTGCGCTGCGGGGAGGGAGGGGCTTAGCAGCTGGTTGGGGAAGGCGAGGCTGCAGCAAGTCTCGTTCTCGGGCGGAACGCGAGATTCTTGGCGGGAGTCGCGGCCGAGCTGCACGGACGCGGGAGGAAGGCACCGCTGGGTAAGTTCTGCAAGGTGCCATCACCTTCTCGTGCAGAGGAAGCTAGAGCTGGGAGGTCCTGGTAGGAGGAGGCGTGAAGCTCCGTGTTCTGCTTTCATCCCTGTCGGCCCTGTGGTCACGGGAATCTCTCCGGGGCCCGGGATTCGGGCATTGATCCTACGTTTTTCGATCGGTCTGTGTCGGTGCTTATGAACAACGAAGTAGACGCTGTGCTTAGGTCAAGCACATGGAGGTTTCGAGGGTACAGAGGTCTGTGACCAAGCGCAGCCGTGCCTGGGCCGGGCTGGGCACTGACTCGAATTTAGTAGGAGCTTCGTTGGGGCCGAAGTCTTAGTGAGTCGGGGGCCCGCGGGTGTGAGCCAGGGCGGGCGGCAGGGGTGGCGACCCGACCCCGAGAGCTGGATGTGGAAGCCGCGTGGGGTGTGGAGACAGGGGCGCTCCCGCTTGTGCAGGACCGCGTTGGGTCGGTTGGTCCATGGCGCTGCCGCTACCAGAGAGTCCCCGCGGAGTGAGGGAGCCCCGCTGGAGCAGCGGGCTCGGTCCCAAGGGCAGGGTGGTGGCTGTGGGCCTGAGCACTGGACACGGGAGGTGTTGGACTCATGGAAACACTGGTGTAATGCTGAACGCTCCTACCGCCTTTACTTTGCGTTGTATTTTGCCTTTTCTAAGTCATTATTGGGCATAAGGTTACATGTACCTCGGTGCTTCCAAACTGAGAAAGCCGCGGCCTTAACTTGCAGTGGAGGTTCGCGCTGATTGCACAGTGGGGTCACCTGGGGCACCTGAAGACCGACTGTGGACCAGTCACCAGGTGGCTCTAATGCGCAGCCGGGGGAGGGCCCTGCTGCTAATTCTTATTGAGCTTCAAACATCACCTGGCACATCAGTAACATGAGGCCGTGGACAGAACAATCATCACATGACCTCGGTCCACCTGTGCTGAGGGCAAAGCCGTCCTAGTAGAAACGATGGACTCAAAAATGGGAATGAGCCTTGGCTGGTGTAGCTCAGTGGACTGAGCATGCGCTGCGAACCAAGGGGTCGAGGGTGCGATTCCCAGCCAGGGCACATGCCTGGGTTGTGGGCCAGGTCCCCCGTGGGGGTATGGGAAAGTCAACCACATATTGATGCTTCTCTTTCTCCCTTCCCCTCTCTAAAAATAAATAAAATCTAAAAAAAAAGAGTAACCATAGGTTTTAAAAAATGGCAATGAAATAGGCTGAAGTGACCACTTTAAAGGGCAGGAACACAATTGCTTACAACTGCGTGTGAATCTACATTTATCTCAAAATGAAAAGGTGGGTTTTTTTTTTCCAAAGTGAAGGCCAAAATGCCCTGGACAAGACCCCCAGGGCGCCCGCTGGCTGCTGGCTGGGACTCAGCATTGACCCCTGACCCAGTTTACCTGCCATGCTGGAGTTGCCACCTCCGGGCAGCAGTTTGCTGTTCCCCGCCCTCGACTCCGGCGTCAGGGCCGCGGTGTTGACCACAGCTTTGTTCCGGACCTTTTTAGCCCTTTCGGGTGCAAACGGGAACATGCTCTCAGGCCCGGGCCCCAGTGTACTGCGCATGCTCAGACCTCAAAGGGTCCAGGGGGAGCCTTTCACCCCCGGTGACTCCGGACTCCACGCTATGTGGCGGGCAACGACAGGGAGACTGAGAGCTAACCGCTGCGGGATTGGCATCCACGCTTCCTCCCCTGGATGTGAGCCCAGAGTTCCTCCCCCACTCAGACCCAGAGTGACAGAATGACAGGCCCCGGGGGGAGGGGGGCGCCCTGAGACCCCAACTCTATTTCCTCTCGTTTCCTTTCCTCTCACTCGAATCATTTCCTTCTGCCTTCGCCTGGACCCCTTCCCAAAATGCCATCCCCCCTCCCGCAGGTTACCAGAAGACTTTGCCTGGCTTAGAATGTAGAATCATATGGATAATGAATATTCATAAATGTACCTTTCAGCATATCTTAATGTCGATAAAGTTTCCTCATAGCAGATGTCAGCTGGACTTATGGCTGCTATCTGTAAACAAAAATTCCCTTTTAGGTTTTGTTTTTATTATTATTGATCTTATATAGCAATGTACAAAGAACATCTTGTAATTTACAGTATTGTTCAAACTTTACAACTCAGAAAACTGAGGCTTAGGGAAAAGCAGTGCGCCCAGGGTGGCCCACATGATGCCTGGCGGAGCTGGGACTTGAACCAGCCCAAGTAACTCGCACTGCTGTGCTGCGGGCCCCTCACCCCACCGCCCTGGGGACCTAGTCCCCGGCAGCTTCACTCGGGGTTTAAACGACAGTCGAACTGTCATGAAACCCCTTAGCATTGCAGTGACCAGTAAACGTTGCCCGTGACTGGGTAGCCACATGTAAGGGTTTCAAGTCTGGCTGTTGACTTTGGGTTCATTGCTCTAGAGTTCAAACGAGAACACCCTGTCTGCTGAACTGGAGGTGAGCGGGGCCCCTGCGGGTGGACAGGAGGGAGGTGACTGGCCATGTGGTGACGTGGCTTCGGCGGCCTGGAGGCCCCGAGCCAGAGCACCTCCAGCCGGGTGAATGCTCCCTGGTTCCGCTCTGCAGCCTTAGAAGCTCGTGCGTTAACCCACCTCGTTTAACCACCGAGCAATACAGATGCTGCTCGACGTGCCATGGGGGTACAGCCCGATAAGCCCATTGTAAGTGGGAGACGCATCTAACGCACCCGCCTACCGAACATCACGGCGTAGCCCTGCCTGGCTCCCACATGCTCACGACATTTCTGTGAGCCTAGAGTTCGGCAGGTCTCTTGAGTTTCATCCCAAGAGTCACTGCCTTCCCCCTCCTCCTCCTCCTCCTCTCTCCAGAAGCAGGAGACACAGGCAGGCATTTTGTAAACATGATGGGGCGCGAAAACACAACATGCAGAAACACGCCAGCCACACAGTGCCGCCGGCTGTGCACCCTCGTGACCACGCGGCTGGCAGGGCAGGACGCCTGGGCCCACTGCCCAGCCTCACCCGAGAGGGTGCTGCGAGCTCGTCCCCCGCCCGCGGGAAGATCAAAATCTATAACTCGAAGTGTGGTTTCTACGGGCTGTGTCGTCGAAACGTGATAAGCTGAGCAACTGGAAGCCACAGACTGTCTGTATTTCCAAGCAGATACTGCTATCTCAGAATGAAAAGGGGGCTTTTAGGAGAAGTAGGCTGCAATGGTCTGGAGCCCTAGAGATTCCAGAGCCGGGACGTTGGCTTGGCCACTGCTCTTTTTCTTTCGCCTCCTGAGATGCCCCGTGACCTCCTGCCCGCCGTGGGTGTTGGTGGCTCGGTGTCACGCCTCAGTCAGGGCCTCCCCTTGCAGGTCTGGAAGCCACCCCTCTGCACGTGACTGCGCACACCTGCTCAGGAATGAGCCCACCATTCGGAAGGCACCTGATGGGCCACCTTTTACTCCAGGTTCTTGGGCGGTGCCCCATGGAGACCCACGGGGGCTGACAACCCGAAACACTTTAAAATGAAGCGTGCTAACGTCGTTAGGCAAGATTACATGACAGAGCAGAGATATGTTTTCCCGCGCATTTCGGAGAGAGAGGCCTGGTAACAGGTGCCGGCGGGAACCGACTGACCAGGAAGCAGCCGGGGGCCAGCACAAGGCTGGGGGCAGAGTTTGCCCCGTGGTGGTTCTCCCTGCACCCGCATTTCAACGCACCCTGCCTGGTCCCCGCCTGGCCATCCTCCACTGATAAGGCTCTGCGGTCTTTGCCGGGAGGACACGCTTTAGCCGCTCTCCAGGGGGCACGTCTGCCGTGTGTGTCTCAAGGCCAGTTACCTTCCCGCCTTGCGGTGAAATGACCGCTGACTTAGAATAACATGACACTGTTATTTTATAAATCGGTTCGTTTTTCCCTGGTAATAAAGTCGTGTGTGTTCCTTGTAGGGAACCTGAACACTGCACAAAAGAATAAAAAATCGGGACGTGCCATTCGAAAGGTTCTTGGAACACCGCAGTGGAGAGAGCGTGGGAGTCGGGAGGTGGGTGTGAGCGGGTGCCGTGTATAAGTGCAGAGTGCAGGCTGGCAGTGGGGGGCAGGGGGCAGCCTTAACCACGACCACAGCAGCGGGGACCATCTAGAAGGGCGCGGCGAGTCATTCACCAGGGTGGTCCGGCTGTTCCCACCCAGCGCCGACTGGAGCAGCTTGGTGAGCACCGAGTCTCTGTAGGGAACGTGCAGGACTCTCCTCCCCACGGCCGCGTCCGCCAGGGCACTGCAAGGAACAGGAGACGCGAAAAAACAACACGTTCAGCACGTGCCTCCAGGAGAACTCCGCCTCCCTGGGGGTGAGTCAGAGAGGGGTCTCACGTCCCCCCTGGGCCCTGGAGGTCTGAGACGTGACTCCAAATAACAGCCAACCATTGAGACACCTTCTGAGAAGACGCTGAAGCTGGGTAACCAGGACGCCTGGCTTCCTCTCCTGGTGAACCCTGCAGAAACAGGAGCCCAGAGGGAAGCCCAGGTCCGAGGGGCTGACCCCTGACACCTGGTGAGCATGCGGGCTACTCTGAGTCTGTGTACAGAGAAGGGTTACGCCCTGGTGCAGAGGGTGGCAGGCTAGCAGTGAGTGGAGAGCTGTGGGGTGACGCCCTTGACTGCCTTCCTCACACAGCCTTGAGGACAGCCCGTGAACTTGGGACCCCCTGTGACTCCTGCACCAGAGTATGATGCCTGGGAAGCAAAGGTCCCAGGCCCCGCCCCGCTCCCGGGGACCACAGAGAAAGCAGCGTTGGCATTGAAGACAGTGGGGAGGAGGGGGAGGCAATGCCTGTGTGAGAAGTAGCTCAGAGAAAAGAAATGGAGAAAACTGATCTAGCAGATTTGGGGAAGGAACACCACTGGGAGTTTGCCATCAGCAGAATATCACCGCGGAAAATCTAAAGCACGTACTTCAACCAGGGGGAATTCGATCTTAGAGAGCAGTTCGGGGATTTAAGAAGTGAATAATTTAAAAAAAAAGGTGTGGTTAATGTAAATGAACACTATAAAATGGCAATGTCCTTTGGGGTTAGAGGAGAAGAGAATTCAATTACATATCAGCAATTACGTATGTAGGGTGAGGGTCTGTGTATTATCCAGAAAGGGGATAAAGTGTCTACTACATTTAGACTTTTGATCAACGAGCTAAGAAACAGCCAAGCGTGTCGAGGTTTGGTGTGTGACGGAACACAGCAGGTCACTGCGGGTGGAGGGACCAGTCACTCTAAGGGAAGAATGATGAAAAGAATTCTGCCTTACGCACTGAAGTCAGCTCCAGGTGCGTGGGAACTCAAGTGTCACAGAGGTAGATACCTTTCTGATTCTAATTTTCTTAAATAAAACAAAATCGTAGAACTTAAGCCAATATCCTCATCTGTTAGGCAAACTAATCCTTGGTGACAAAGGTCAGTTTTCTGGGTGGGAGTAAAAGCCAGGAGCGGTGTGAACCAAAGTGTTGCAGGTTCAATTCCCAGTCAGGGCACATGCCTGGGTTGCAGGCCACAGCCCCCAGCAACTGCACATTGATGTTTCTCTCTCTCTCTTTCTCCCTCCTTTCCCTCTCTAAAAATAAATAAATATTTTTTAAAAAAGCCAGGAGCGGGGTTGTAAATCCCCTTTACCCCCTTTCTTTCACTTGACTTTTATTTACAAAAATTCCTTTTTAAATGTATTCTTTGCTCTATAACTATGTAAAATATGTACCTGGTTCCCAAGTGAAATCTACGAAGCAAGATGTATTCAGAGAAGTCAAAATTGTATCCTTGTCTTCCCCACCTCCCTCACAGGTAAAAGTTTTATTTTCTCTAGTTTTTATTCTGTCTTCCCATTGTTTTTATCTATTTTTAAATTTTATTTTTAAAGTATACTTTATAGTCAGCATTCTTTTTTATTAGTTTCAAGGGTACATACAGCCTAGTGGTCAGATTGCAAAGTGATCCACTCGGTATTTTAAGTGCCCACCTGGCGCCACACACGGTTGTTACGTATTATTGGCTGTGTTCCCTGCGCTGTACTTACATCCCCGGGACTGTTTTCCGGCTGCCAGTCTGCACTTCATTCCGCCACCTGTTTCACCCAGCCCCCCACGTCCCTCCCTCTGGCGACCGCCGGTCTGTACCCAAGAGTGTGTTTCAATTCTGTTCATTTACATTGTCCTGTAGACTCCTCATGTAAGTGAAATCATGTGGTGTTTGTCTTTCTCTGTCTGCCATTTCACTGAGGATAATACCCTCTAGGTCCATCCATGCTGTCACAAATGATATGATTTCATTCTTTTTTTTTATAGCTGAGTAATATTTCATTGTGTAAAGGTGCCACAGCTTTTTTGTCTACTTGTCTCTGATGGGCACTTGGGCTGCTTCCATAGCTTGGGTATTGTCAGTAGCGCTGCACTGAACATAAGGGTGCCTATGTTCTTTCAAACTAGTGGTTTGAATTTCTTCAGATAAATTCCCAGAAGTGGAACTGCTGGGTCATAAGGCGGTTCCATTTTTGATTTTTTGAGAAACCTCCACACTGTTGTCCATAGTGGCTGCACCAGTCTGCATTCCCACCAGTAGTGTGCGAGGGTTCTCTTTTGCCCACATCCTCGCCATCATTTGTTGTTTGCTGATTTAAGAAATATTCTGTATCTTGCCCTGGCTGCTGTGGCTCAGTGAATTGAGTGCTGGCCCTCAAACCAAAGGGTCGCTGGTTTGATTCCCCAGTCAGGGCACATGCCTGGGTTGTGGGCCAGGTCCCCTGTGGGGCGCGCGTGAGAGGCAGCCACACACTGATGTTTCTCTTTCCCTCCCTCCCTTCCCCTCTCTCTAAAAATAAATAAAATCTTTTTTTAAAAAAGAAACATTCTGTATCTTAATATGGGTGATAATTACATAGATATACATGTGTAGATTCATTAAAATGAACATTTAAAGTTTGTGTACTTTGTGTAATTTATACCTTAACTTAAAAAAGCAAGACCCAGAAGATAATATTTTATCCTTTTAACAAAGTTCAAACACGAGTGCTCCTAAATAATATTCACATGTGATGAGATAAGGAAGGATGAAAAGAGGGGGGAGAGAGAGAGAACATAAAATTCGGGATGGCGGTTACCTCCAAGGAAAGCACAGGGAAGGAAGGCCAGCTGTCCATTGCGTTGGGTGGTGTTTTTTTTTTTTTTTTTTAAATATTTTATTTATTTATTTTTAGAGAGGGAAGGGAGGGCGATAGAGAGAGAGAGAGAGAGAAACATCGATGTGCGGTTGCTGGGGTTTATGGCCTGCAACCCAGGAATGTACCCTGGCTGGGAATCGAACCTGGGACACTTTGGTTCCCAGCCCGCGCTCAATCCACTGAGCTACGCCAGCCAGGGCGGGTGGTGGTTTTATTAGTGTTCATTTTATGAAAAAGCAATTAACTAGTTTAAAGTGAAATACGCAGGAGGACCAGCCAGTGATGACCGTGAGTCATGAACCAAGACGTATGGTTAGTGTGGTTTTTGATACCTGAGCTCATTTTTACGGCACCACAAGTGAATGAACACCTACCCGCCGATGACTTACCTGATGACGTTTCCTAAGTTGGTTAGACTCAGGTTAACGCGGGACCCTTCCCTCAGTCTGTCTCCCTCGGATCCCGAGGATTTCTGTCTTTCACTTCCCGCCAAGTCCACCAGGTGAATGCTGGACTGTTTGCTGAGGCCCCTGTCCGGGAAGACCTGCGGAGAGCAGCACACGGCACGCCTCAGAGGGCCGGCGGGCGGCCCGTGGGGCCGACCGAGTTTACACCTCGCAGTAGTGTGTCTCATTCCGGTTCCCACACACAAAGGATAAAGCACCGTTTACAAGTCACAGGGCTGTCCTCCTAACAGTGACATTTTACAGTAACACATCACCAGGCCCAAGGCTCTCGGTCGCCCCTTCCCAATTCTGCAAAGCTATTTCCGGGCAATGTATTAGATTTCCAATGACTGCTGTAGTGTTTCTGTGGTTAGCAAATATTTTACATGTAAAACACTGTGAAATCTGCCAAAGCAGTAACTGTTCGGTACGGAGTGGTCGTGTAGTGGAGAGAGCATGGATTTTAGAACACTGCGGAGTCCCCTGCTGGTTACGTGGCAGGGAGCACAGGACGATGTTTCGGAGCCGTAACCTGCTCAGCTGTGAAACGGGTGGGTAGCCATTGGTGGGACATTCGGGGAGTGAGCGGTCATCGGTAGTGTGGCTGTCCCTGCACCCGGCGTTGTTATTGCTGACACCGGTGCACGGTGTCCCTGCACAGTGTGCAGGGATGCTAGGTGCCTGCAGGTCTCTGGGCTCATGTTTCCCAGCTGCTTTCTTCTTTTCTAAAATACCGAGGTAAAAAAAACAGGGCAAACCACTTACAAAGTTCATGAATTCTCCTAACGTGGGGAAGCCAAGGGAATAGTACTTAAAAGTTCACAAAGCTCTTTAGCACGCCGTGTTTTATTTAAGCCTTCCCTCACTCCTGTGCGGAGGGCTCTCCGTCTCATTTCACGGTGCAGGAAACTGAGACTCGGGGGCTGGGAATGAAGTCACACACGGACGGCGCTTCCCCACCGTCCCTGGTCAGAGCAGGACACCTTCATTCGCTGTTGTGCTGGTGCTGGTGCTGTGGCTGAGGGATGCGGTACAATCACAGCTCCTTGCAGCATTCACCCAGGCTTGGGGAGCAGCCGTTCCCCGATAGGAGGGGTGGGGTTTGTTCGCGGACCCTTCTCAGGTACCCAAATCTGAGGATGCTGAAGTCCCTTATGTAAATAGCATGGCATTCGCATATAGCGTGCACACATCTCCCGTATCCTTTAAATCAGCCACGGGTTACTCAGGTAGTGCCCGGCACAGTGTGGATGCCGTGGAAACACTGTTATGCTGTACTGTTGAAGAACAACACCAAGGAGAAAAGCCTGCAGTTCAGTGCAGACACAACCGCGGCAGCCCTGACCACCGAGTGCACGTCAGCAACCGCGTCACCCACTTTCCCAGATGCCGTGGGTGCACAGTTGGTTGAATCCACAGCTGTGGGCCCTGCGGATACGGGGGGCTGTCTGGAACCATTTCTGAATCACTCTGGCGACCTGGTGGAGATCGCGCTCGCATCCACACCAGGGAGGATCTCACTTATCACAGACTCTGGTTAGTCCACAGTGGCACGGATTCCCTGCTTCCCGAGACTTTATCCGTGGTCCTTCCAGCACCACGCTACCTGGTGGGCCCCTGGGCTCAGGGACCTGAGAGCTGGTCTGAGTTCGTCAGGGAGTCAGGCTGGGCACGGATGTGCAGGGAGGCAGGGAAATCCTAAGCACCCTGCTTCCTCCTGCTTTCTTGTGACTTACCACCTCCTGATTGGAAGTAGCCCCCTTAACCTATCACTCAAACTCAGAAGGACTCGACCGTGTTCACCAGCTCACTGTGCCGCTGGGACCCACTGCCTGGGACGCCCTTGGCGAGAGGTGGGGACAGCAGTGCCCACTGGGCCTCACCTGCTTGAACTGAAGGGTGATGACCATGTGGGACCTGCTGCTGCTGGCGTTGAGGTGGGTGGAAGCCGTGGTCCTCATTTTCGTTCCTTGTTGCATCAGCCTTTCGATCTGCGCGTAGCTCTCACACGGCACTGACTTCAGACCATCCACGTAGAAGCCCAGCTCCGAATCTTCCCTCACCCTCAGCCCTCCGGGCTGCTTGGCTCCAGACAGCAAATCCCTCACCTGTGGGGGGAGAAGGATCACAGCATGTCCCCTCCAGGAAGGCCGGGATTGCTGCTTACCTGTAGAGCTCTGCGGGAACGTATTAGGTGCTCAGCAAATATTTACTGGATGAATAAATGCATGTTACATTTCCATAGGTACCAGACGACCTCGTAATTTAAGAAAAAATAGGGAAATGCAAACAAGGAAATAGGGGAACCTGTTGTAATTACTGAAATCAGAAGCGTAATTTTTTTGTTTTTAGAAATTTGGCTTTATTACTTTCAAGTACTGAGAGCACTTCAATGCCTGTTAAACGAGCCAAGTCCGTTCACTTTCACATCATTTGTGGCAGCTTTTGTGCCTTGAGGGAAGAGCTGAGTAGTTGCACGGGAGACCGTATGGCCCTCAAAGCCTAAAATATAGGGTTGGCCAAAAAGTCCATATGGTTTTTCCTGTAGAATGAAAGACATAGTTTTCATTCTCACCAGTAACATTTATTGATTTGGATATTTTGAGCATGTTACCTCCCACAGGGTATAATGTTGACCGTTCTCAGTTACTCTCGATTTGACCGCTGTCCACTTCAACCGGCCGCCCGGCCGTGGAGCACCGTCCAGCGAGAAATCCCCAGCACAAAACCACCTTTGACACATTTGATCAGTCACAGCACCTTCTCTACACTCTGCACAAATCTTTTTTTGCATTTCAGTTGCATTTTTACCTTTTTTGAAATAATAAAGCATAATATGCTGAAAATGTTGGGTGTTTTCTTCCATCTTCAATATTGAGATAGGTACATAAGAATTCACCAATTTCGACAACTTTTTTTTATGCATGCTGATATGACAGCTGTCACAATACAGTCTAACAAATTGGTTTCAAATGGAGTTAAACATAACTAAGTGCTAGTAGACCCATCGTACAGGAAAAACGAGATAGGTAAACTTTTTGGCCAACCCAGTATAAGCATCTGGCCCTTGGAAGGTCACGTTTGCCAGCCCTGTACCACACGTCACACTGACAGGTCAGCCGCCTCGGGTTGCCCGAGGGCTGACATCTGAGCTGGATCTTGAACTTTGATGGTCCCCATGACAGCAGGGGGAGGGCAGGAACAGGGAAGTGACAGGCTCTGAGAAGGAGGAACGGTGCCGTGTGGCTGAAGCACAGAGGGTGTGGAGATAGGAGGACGTGAATTGAGGTTGCAGAGGAAGAGGGGGGGCCAGGCAGAGCCAGACTGGGGAGTTCAGGCTCTGTCTGTGCGGCGGGTGAGGGGCGCCCCGGTGCTGATGAAGCCGCGGAGTTTCTCAGGTGTGTGTGTGTCGGAAAGCAGAATCACCGTTACCTGTTCGTTGTAAATTTCCAGCATACTGAACGTCACCTGCAGGGGAAAGAGCCTGAGGTAAATGAACATTCTCTTGAAACTGTCATCTTTGAAAAAGAGAAGTAATATGGGAACAGTATAAATGTCCAACAAAGGGAACAGCTAACATGAAATGTGGTAAAACTCCATTTCACACGTAACACAAGGTTCTCCAATAATTTTAGTGATATGGAGGAAACTCTTAATACACATTTTTAAAAAATGCAAAAGTGCGTGTGTGTGTTTCAGCCTCAGTCTCAGTCGGGAACAGAAAAAGGTGGTTCTTTAGGGCTCACCCTCCCACCTGAGCACACGGAAAGAAAACTGGTCTTTTCCCTGCCGTGGTTTTGCAACAGTGCTGGCCAAGCTCACACAGTCTTGAACAAGAGGTTGGAGGGATCGCAATGGCTCTGATCTAGAGAAAAGGCCCTAAAGTTCTTTTTTTTTAATTTTAATTTTATTTTTCAATTACAGTTTCCATTTAGTAGTATTTTGCTTTAGTTTTGGGTGCATAGCACAGTGGTTAGAAAGTTACGTGCTTTACAAAGTGATCCCTCAGTATTGCCAGTCCCCACCCGGCACTGTACACATTATTACAACATTATCGACCTATTCCCTGTGCTGTGCTTTCCAGCCCTGTTACTGGTCCGTAACTACCAACTTGTGCTTCTTAATCCCTTCACCTTTTCCCCCCAGTCCTCCAGCCCCCTCCCCTCTGCCAGCTGCTGGTCCACTCTCTGTATCTGTGAGTGTGTTTCTATTTTGTTTGTTTTGTTCATTAGATTCCACGCATAAGTGAAGTCATGTGGTACTTGTCTTTCTCTGACTGACTCTTTGCACTGAGCATAATACCCTCTAGGTCCATCCACGCTGTTGCAAATGGTGAGATTTCACTCTTTTTTATTGCTGACGAGCATTCCATTCTGCATGTGCACCCCTGCTCTTTTATCTCAGTCATTGAAGGGCACTTGGGCTGCTCCCATATCTTGGCTCTCGTAAATAATGCTGCAGTGAGCACTGGGTGCATATAATCTTTTGAATTAGCATTTTGGGGCCTTCGTCAGCTATATCCCCAGAAGTGCAATTACTAGATCATAGGCAGTTTCATTTTTAATTTTTTGAGGTATCTCCATACTGTTTTCCACAGTGGCTGCACCAACCTGCAGTCCCACCAGCAGTGCACCAGGATTCCCTCTCTCCACGCCCTCGCCAGCACTTGTTTGTTGATTTATTGATGACAGTCATCCTGACAGGTGTGAGGTGACAGCTCATTGTGGATTTAATCTGTGTTTCTCTGATGATTAGTGACACTGAGCATCTTTTTATATGTCTTCTGGCCGTCTGTATGTCCTCTTTGAAGAAGTATCTATTCAGGTCCTCTGCCCGTTTTTTAGTTGGATTGTTATTTTGGTGTGGAGTTGTATGAGTTCTTTAGAAATTTTGGATGTTAACCCCTATTGGATGTACCATTGAAGAATATCTTCCCCCATTCAGTGGGTTGTCTTTTTTCATTTTGTTGATGGTTTCCTTTGCTGTGCAAAACTTTTAATTTGTTGTAGTCCTATTTTTTTCTGTCTCCTTTGCCTGAGGAGATACATCAGAAGAAATATCACAAAGAGAAATGTCTGAGGTTTTACTGCCTGTGTTTTCTTCTAGAAGTTTTATAGTTTTGAGTCCAGGATCTAAGTCTTTAGTCCATTTTGAGTTTGTTCTTGTATATGGTGTAAAAAAGTGGTCTCATTTCATTTTTCTGCACATATTGCTCCAATTTTCCCAACAATATTTATTGAATACATTGTCTTTACCCCTCTGTATGTTCTTGCCTCCTTTGTCGTATATTAACCGACCACATAGGTGTGGGTTTATTTCTGGTCTCTCTATTCTGTTCCATTTATCTGTGTGTCTGTTCTTATGTTACTAGCATGCTGTTTTGATTACTATAGCCTTGTAGTATAGTTTGATATCAGCTAGCGTGATACCTCCAATTTTGTTCTTCTTTCTCAAGATTGCTGTGGCTATTTGGGGTCTTTTATGGTTCCATGCAAATTAATGGATTATTTGTTGTAATTCTGTGAAAAACACCATTGGTATTATGACGGGAATTGTGTTGAATGTGTAAATTGCTTTGGGTGGTATGGGCTTTTCAATGATGTTAATTCTTCGTATCCATGAGCATGGCATATGCTTCCAGTTATTTATATCCTTTTCAGTTTCTTATAACTTTCCAAGTACAAATCGTTTATCTCCTTGGTTAAATTTATTGCTAGGGGTTTTTATTTCTTTTTATTTTTTTTATGCAATTGTGAGATTGTTTTCTTAGTTTCCCCTTCTAATAATTCATTATTGGCATATACAAATGCAACTGATTTCTGGATATTTATTTTGTACCCTGCTACTTTACTGAATTCACTTATCAGTTCTACTGGGTTTTTGGTGGAATCTCTAGGGTTCCCTCTATATAGTATCATGCCATCTGCAGATAGTGATTGTTGTACCTCCTCCTGTCCAATTTGTATGCCTTTTAGTTCTTCTTCTTGTTTGATTGCTGTGGTAAGGACTCCAGTGCTGTGTTGAATAAGTAGCGAAGGCGGACATCCCTGTCTTGTTTCCAGTGTTAATGGAAACACTTTTAGTTGTTGCCCATTGAGTGTGATGTTGGCTGTGGGTTCATGAATATGTTGCTGTGGGACACTCACGTGTAAGGTCTGGTGTGGACACAGGCTTTTCTTTCTCTTGGACATGGGAGTTTTTAACCTATACATGCATTACTTTGAAAAAAATTTAAAAATCAGAAATATACTGAAATGTTAATAGTATCTGGGTGATAAGATTATGGGTAATTTCTGTTCTCTAACTTGGACACATTATTTTTAAAATCAGGGAAGAATTCGGATAAAAAGTCAATACGTCACTGACTTTTCATATCACAAATTTCATCTCTTTTGCCACTTAGAGGAAGCAGAAATGTGGACTACGGTTACAGAGACTCGCTGACATTTAACTAGCACACTTTAAAGCTAATCACATTGATGGTTACTCTTCGTCGTGAAAATGTCACCAGTCTTCAAATGACCCTAAAATTCAGTCTTGGGCCTCTGTGCTAGGACAAGAAAGAAGCTTTGATGGGACCATTAAGAAACAAAGTAACATTCTTTATCTAGAAATAAAAGTCAGTACATCATGATGGGAACACGCCCACAACCTTATAGAAGAGGGGAGTCTTGGAACTCATCGAGTTGAGTTAGTATTAAAGATGTCCACCTCTCTGATGCTCAACATGCCTGTCATAAATATTTCCTTGGGCTTGTCTCCATAGAATCAGACAATTCAACATTTTATTGGCTGCAATTTGGTTTTGTAACTACACAGTAAGGATTTGGGTATGAAAAGTTACCATTATCCTAACTTAGAGATGCCACCAACTTCCTTTTAAGGTAGGGGGTTTCCAAAATGGGGGAAAATGCCTTACAGAGAGTCTCTTGGAATAACACGTACCTGGTATTCTTGATTTCTCTCCCGGTTCTCGATTGCTTGAAAGAGCTCTTCACACACACTGGGAATGAGGCCCTTGTTGGCGCCAAACCCGATCATGGAGTAGCTCTTCCCGGAGCCCGTCTGGCCGTAGGCCAGGAGGGTGGTGTTGTAGCCCTGCCAGGCGCTGTCCAGGACGCCCCGGCCCAGGTCGCGGAAAACTTCTCTCTGAGGAGAGAAGGTCGCAGGCATCAGGTTCAGTGCCGGCTGTTCACAGGACCCTGAAAACCTCCCACATATTCTGATTTTGATGAATTCTACCCTAATTAGCACCACACAAGCTACTTAAGATATGCCTCGAGTTGCTGCCTTAGAGCCCGTAGAAGAGAGCCAGACACCTAAAAGGGTTTTTGTCCATTTGGAAAACACTGATCACGGGGCATCACCATGGGTCTCCAGTTATTATTATTACCCATAAGGAATTTGGGGATTTTGTAGCCTCTCCAGAGCATGGGTTGGTTCTTCCAAATTCAGCAAGCCCACAGAGATTTCAAGGCATCGAGGGACAGAGGCTGGTCAAAGAGTTTTCCACTTTCTGTTCTTCAAACAGTGGCATCCCAGGGTTTCTACACTGACTCCTCTGCCCTGCACTCGGCTCTTTGTTCACGAGACCTGCTGGTTCTAAAGTGGTTCTCTAGCACCCCCCTCCCACCCTCCTAACACAGGTGCCGTTCTCTAAGGGGCAGGGACACCTGCCTGTGCCCACAGCAAAGACAGGATGTGGCTTGACTCTGTTATTACCTGGACTGTGGCTATAGCCCGTAAGAATTCTCTTATTTGAGGCTGTTTCAAAGAGTACAGTATTCTTTACTTTCTAATAGCAACAAAATGATAAGCATTACTTGCTCCATTTGTGACAATATATACCTTTGTGTAATTTATACAATTTCTATTTCTGGGGAAGAAGCAAATACCAACCCAGTGTGATGCCTGTAAGGACAGTACGCAGCAATCACCACGTTTGTTACACTACTCATTGCACGTGCGGTGGGGACGAAAATGATCACACCACTTAATTGCTCTTTCTGGTTTTTCATATGTGGGTATTGATTTTGTACTCTGCAACTTGACTGTGCTGATTATTTCTGATAGTTCTTGGTGGAGTCTTTAGGGTTTCCTCTCTATAAAATTCGGTCACCCACAAATAGTTACAGCTTTACTTCTTCCTTTCCCATTTGGATGCCTTTTATCCATTTTTCTGGCCTGACTGCTCTGGCTGGGACTTCAATGACCACGCTGAGTAAGAGTGGGCATCCTTGTCTTGCTCCTGATCTTAGAGGAAACACTTTCGGTTTGCACCACTGACCATGAGCTAGCCTAGCGTCCAGCCAAGGGTATGTGTGTCCTTTATTGCACTGAGGTACTTGCCTAGACCATCTTGTTGAGAGTTTTTATCATAAATGGATGCTGATCCTTGTCAAAAGCTATTCTGCATGTCACATGCTAATAGTTTTACTTTTTCCTTTTTCATCTGCACACCACTTATTTCCTATTAATTGCCTTACTGCCCTGGTTAGAACCCACAGTACACGTTGTATAGAAACAATGAGATTGGACCTCCTTGCCTTATCCCCAGTCTTGGGAGAAACAGTCAGTATCCCATCATCAAATGGGATGTTACCTGTGCAATTCAGGGGAGTTAGTTCTGTTTCTAAAAAGCACCGTTCTATTTCAAGTTTGCTGGGAGTTTTAATCACGATGGGTGTTGCGTTTGTCCTGCTCCAGGAAGTGACCATTCATGTCTTTGTTGGAGATCATACCACGTCCCCTGTTGCTGGTGCACAATAACTTATCACCTCCCCAAAGCTTCTTTCCAAACCGTGACTGTCCCACTGATTTTGGTCACCAAGCGGTCCTCTTCTTCAGTGGCCTGGACTCACAGGCTCTGTCACAGTCTCCACTGCCTCCACCATCACAGCGATCCCAGCCGCCACTCCATATCCTGGTGTGGCCCGTCACGACGACTGTCCCGTGCCCCTCACGGGGCCGGTCTGAAGGGTAACACTCTCCACTCTCGTCTCCGAGGCTGTCGTCGCCTCTTGTAGGTGGGTAGTCATCAGAGCTGCCTGGGCGGGGGGCATGCCGGGCCCTCCGGACCGCATCTGGTTTGGCAGAATCCCAATTTCTGCCGTGGCCAAAAGAACGATCCTCGCTGTCCTTCATCATCCTGTGCTCGATCAGCGACGCCCACTGGAGTCCTGTTGCCTGGAGACTCTTCACTGAGGCTCAGGGCACGGAGCAGCAAATCCGAGGCCTCAGACGCAGCCTGACCCCAACCTGTCAGCCTCCGCATGGCGGGACTCACGTGGTGAATGCACCGCACGCAGTAATTCCTTCGTGCAGACTTCTGGCACGTCAGGGGCAGGCGCCCCCGAACCGCAGTGTAGGGTTTGGGAAGACGGGCCCTGCCCACGTCCATGCTGCTCGTGGAGCAGGGGACAGGATGGGATGGCCGACTGGAGGTGCCCTGTACACGTCATTGTCACTGTGCCAAGTGGGTGAAACATCTCCTTCCCCACCGCCTGTTTCGTCGGCCCCCCGGCCCGGTTTGGGGGCCCAGGAGCATCCTCAGCCAGTCCCTCCCCCTCAGCCAGCAGGTCTGGTGGGGAGCTGGGGTCCCCCTTCTCAGCCTTGTTTCTGCTTCTCACAGGCCTGGCTGTCCTGTGTGAAACCACTTGCATTTTGGTCGGTATTTTTATTCTTATTCAGTTCAAAATATTTACTGATTTCCCTTGTGGTTAATTCCCCAGCCTAAGGATAATTTAAAGGTCTGTTCTTTTCCAAATATCTGTGGATTTCCCTAGTATCTTTCATTTCTTTCTAGTTTAATTCCAATGTGGTCAGAAAACCTACTTTATATGATTTCAGTTGTTACATGTATTGAGACGAGCTTCGTGACCTGGAATATAGTCTGTCATAAAGGTCATGTTCACTCGGAAGGCACGTGCAGTGCTGTGCTTGGGCGGGGCAGCAGGTGTTTTATAATGTGCTTGCCAGTTAGGCGGCCTGCGGTCGTTCTGGTGTTCCGCAGGACTACTGGTATTTTTATTGTTGTGATTTGTTCCGTCCAGTACCCAGACAGGAGCGATGAAGTCGTCAGCACAGCTGTAAACTGGTTTATTTCTCCTTCCGTTTCTGTCAGTTTCCAACTCGTGTATTTGGAAGTTCTGTGATTGGGTACATAACCTATATGGGATGGTATGTCTTCTTAATGAGTTGATTACCATTATAAATATTCCTTGTTCTGAAGTCTACTTTGTGTGGAAATACAGCCTCTGTGACTTTCTTAGTGTCTACGTGATAGGTGTCTACTTAGTTATATTTAAATTGGTTTCTGTACACAGATATAATTGGATCCTGTTTTTCCTGTCAAGTCTGATCATCTCTGCCTTCTAATTGCCATGTTTGTTTGATATAATAGTTGATATGGCCAGCATTAAAGCTACTCTCTTGTTATTTGTATTTTTATTACATCTCTCCCCCCATTCCTCTTTTCCTGCCACGGTTTGGACTGTGTCATAATTCTGTCTCCCCACAATTGACTCATTGGTTATGCTTCTGTTTGATTTTTTTTTAATTGACTGGGGGGCGGGGGGGGTGGTCCTCAGACTGCATTCCAGGGTCCGTGAGATCTTTTGGGGGTGTTTGTGGAGTCAGAACTCTTTGAGAGAGGGCTTTTTTAGGAGCGGTCTCATAACGGCCGTCATCTCTGGGCTACCTTTTAAAAGACAGGCAGGCAGGCAGGAACAGAGACGAAAACGCTGGGGGGGAATGAGCAGAGCCTCGAGGCCTGTGGGACAGCGCCACACGTCCGTGTGACTGCAGGTACAGAGGGACCCGGCAGACATGATGGATGAAATGTCCCGGATTTAATGGAAACTCTAAAGCCACCTATCCAAGCAGCTTAATGAGCTCTGTCCAGACTGAAGGGACCACGTCTCCTTCACGCACCCCGCCCCCCCCGCCCGCTTTGTGCCTCGTCCGCACTCTGATCACTGAACTCCAACACTGGAATGCCTGTATTCGCCCGTCTCCCCAGGTGACGCTGGGAGCAAGTTACGGCGCATGGTGCGATAAACACTTGATGAAACGGAAGTTCTCACTAGTTTTGCTTTCTTCTCTGATCTCATCCATACACTGGGACACCAGCTGACTGAGCACCTAAAAATGACTTGGGCAGCAGCTGCACTTTCTGGGCCTCTTGTTTAGCATGAGAAGGGAATATACTGAAAAGCAGACTCTCAAATGAAAGCATGTATTGCAGCATGCTTGCATGAAAAATAACCGTCCTGTTATACTGTTAACACTTCATTTAAATGCACACACACACACACACACCCGCCCCCCCCCCCCGAAGTTGTGTTTTAAAGCAGGTTACCTGGCCTGCAAATTCACTACTAGGATCGGCGGAAGTAAACACACCGTCGCTTCCCACGTGGAATCCACTGTGAGACCAGTACGCCAGGTCAAAGGTGAACGTCTTTGTGTGCCCCGGGTTCCTGGGGTCGTGTATGGTGGTCGTGGTCCCGGAATGCATGGAGACCACGCATTTGCTCCCGGCATCCTTCTCTCTCTACAGTCAGATTACAAAGTCAGAGTCAATCATCGTACCTTTCTTTGGCATCCACGTTGTTTTGCAAACCTTTATGCCTCGTAAGAAACTCAGCCAGGGACTTACCATTCATTCATTTTGTTCTCTAATGATGTTATTCTAGGAGCGGTTAGGACCGGCGGTTGCTCTTGTATTCCCTCCGTTTTTGGAAGGCTTGAACCTAGTCACTGTCCTTTCGAGACAGCTCAGCTACCCCTCAGCTGTGCCAACAGCAGTCACTAGGGCTGTGCAACACCCACTTCCAGCATCACAACGTAAGGGGCTCCCACTGTCCCACGTCCCAGTGACAATCAAAGAAAACACGCCTATCTAAAATCTCTTGAGATCGTCCTAACAGCCGGTGAAAACCCGTGTCCAACATCTATCAAAGTTCAGTAAAAGCAGTCCGTGGTGTTTGAAGCCCTTCCTCTTCCCCCTCTCCCCTGCCAGCCAAGGACACGGGCTCCCTCACTCCCCAGATCCTAATCGGAGGGCTTCCTCCTGGGAGGGCCAGGATAACGGCCTCTTCCATCCGGCCCTCGCCTACCTGTGGCTGTGGCCAAGTCCCGGGAGAGAGTGCGGGGAGGCAGGGGGGTCCTCACCCACCCGGGTCCCAAACACGGAACAGAGGCTCTGCTTTGGCTGCAGCACCCGGAGAACACTCGGGGGGGGGGGGGCGGGTACTGACTACCCTCGCTCCCGAGACCCACGGAGAGGGTCTCAGGCTGCTGCTGTCCCGTACCCCCAACCGCTGGGCGCCTGGAGCGGGGGTGTCCCTCAGAGGGCAACTGGCCCTTGTCCCCACCCATGAGCCCAGCACCCTGGTTTCAAGGTCTTGCCTGAGGGAAGAGCACCTAAATCTCGCCCCAAAGGAAGTGACTTCCTTTGCCCCTTTAAAGTAATGTGATCGATCCCGAGGTATCCCCAAGAACCGAGAAGGCTGTGATGAAAGTGGGAGGAGATTCAAGGTACAGGTTCGGTTATCAGCCTTCAAGTTTGCAGGGGCACAGGGACAGTGACCCGGGGTCGGAAAAAATGTCAAGCACGGATCTTGAAACGCATCTTTCCCATAAGGAACCACAATTTGATTGAACTAATTTGGAGAGCAATTTGGGTCCCCAGCACATTGTTGAAAACAGAGCCTTCAGCCAGCCACCACGACAGCCCTCTGTGACCAGGAGTGGACAGCAGCTCTACCCAAACTGCTCTCGCCCCAGGGGGCCTGGGGCATATCAGAGCCATGCCTCCGGAGTAACAAAGGTGGGGGGGTGGGTAGGGGACAGACGTCACTCAAACAATCCAGTCACTAAACAAAAACACAAGCAAATAACGATAAGCAGAAGGGTGGGAGGACCAGTACCCAGATTTGCTCGAGTTTCATAAGAAGTTGCAAGGCATGCAAAGAAACAGGAAGGTAAGACCCGCACACTGGGAGGAAAGGCAACAGAAGCTGTAGGAGCCACCGGATGCCGGGTTTACCAGGAAAGGACTTGAAAGTAACTGTTGCAGACACATTCACAGAACTGAAGGAGACCATGAGTAAAGAAGTAAATGATTATAAAGGGGTACTATGAACAACTGAGTACAGATGATTCAGAGGAAATGGACAAATCCCTGGAATGACAAATGACTAAAACTGGTCTAAGAAACATACAATCTGAATATGACTGTAGCAGGAAGCGAAGAGACTCCAGTAGTAACAGTAATTAAAACACACAACTTCTCATAAAGAAAAGCCAAGATGGCTTGACTGCTGAACTCTACCAAACATTTAAAGAAAGCAATTCTTTATAAACACTTCAAAAAAAAAAAAAAAAAAAAAAAAGAACACTGCCTAACTCATGTTCACGAAGCCAGTATTAACTCTGATACCAAATCCAGGTGACAGACAACGTCACAAGAAAACAGAGCCGCGGACCCGCATCTCCTCTGAATGCGGATGCAGGGACACTCAGCACATTCAGCGGAACCCAGCGGCGTGTACAAAGACTCACACGCCACGACCACGCGGGAGTTCTCCCGGGGGCGCAGTACGGCTGGGTCAGTCACGGTCCTTCCCCGCTGTACTGGACGGCGCTCCGACCCCCTGGGGCCCAGAGAGGCTGCCCCTGATGAAGGCTGAGGAATTCCTAGAGAGAGAAAACTTGCCGTCCATGCAAACCCACCCAAGTCCACGTGCTGAACACCTCCTTCGCCCCCTCTTGTAACACACCAAGCCAGTACTGCCTGTGCCCTGCACCATCACCCCAGGGCCAGGTATCTGACCACCAGGGGCCACCCCCATAGCCCAGAGCCCCCTGAAACGACTCAAACTATCCAATCCTAACGGTCAAAAGTGCCTAGCGTGCCTGCCCATTCCTTCCTGCAGGGCCCAACATCAGCCCGCGGGCCAGGCACCTCTGCTCCTCCTCGTACCCCCGACCGACCCTGACGCTCCCCCCACGTGGCTCTGCGTGGCAGGCTGCGTTCTGCTGGGAACTGTGAGGTACTCGCCCCTTTGTCGCCTTACTGCGCCCGACTAAAACGGAACTTGGGGATCCTCAGAATGACTTCATGTGGTTAATCCATCACGTCAAGACTGAAAACCAAAAGCCACCGCTCAACAGGTACAGAAGCCACATGTGACGAAACCCCACACCTTTTCATGATAAAAAGCCAACAAATGAGGACTAGAATGAAACGTTACCTGATAAAGGAAGTCTAGAGAAAAACCCATAACTAACATCATACGTAACGGCCAACACTGAATGTTACCACCTAGGATCAGGGAGACGATGAAGATTTCTACTCCTGACACTTCCATTCAGTACTGTCCTGGGGGCTCCAGCTAGGGCAGCTGGGCAGGAAAAAGACTGTCATCCAGATGGAAAAGCATGAAGTAAAATGACCTCTGCTTGCAGATGGCACTGTCTTGAATAAGGAAAGTGCTAGGAGATCCCCTAAATACTGTTAGAACTAATAAATGACTTCAGTAAAGTTGCAGGATACAAGCTTGATATACAAAAATCAATTTTAATTCAAGAAGTGAATAATTAGAAACCCAAATTCAGAAAACAATTCCATTTCTAATAGCATCAAAAAGAACAAAACATTCGGGAACAGAGCGGACACAGGGAGTACCAGATCAAAGGTTGCTCGGGGCCGCGCGAAGGAGGGTGCTAGTCAAGGGCACAATTTCTTTCCTGGGTGCTAAAAACGTTCCACAACTTACTGCGGTTACGTATACCCACAGACGTAGTAATCGTCATGAATTGTACACTCTAAATGAGGGACTTGTATAAATGTGAATCGTATCTCAACCGTTGAAGAGATTATGGTGAAAAAATAACCCTTAGCAGCTAGTACTGAGTCGTTGTTAGGCACCGTGCTGACTTATACATTATTTTATCTTTGTAACAAGCATCCTGTGAGGTACTGGTACCTCCATTTTACACGTAAGGAAACCAAGGCTCAGAAAGCTTAAAACCTCGCTTAAGGCTCCCCAGGGGTGAGTGAAAAAGTCAGGTTCTGAACTCGTGTTCATCTGACTCCAAAGGCTCCTGAGAATGTAGTGCATCTTGTGACAGAGAGTCTCATGAAGTCGGTCCTCTGGTCCCGCAGTGGGGGGAGGCTGTGTGTGAAGTTAGAAAGCAGGCAGAGTCCAGGTCTTAGGGGGCCGCGCAGGTGTGACCGGAAGCATCTACCCTCACATCCTCTCTCGAGTCCATCCTCTTTCCTCACGGCCACTTGCTAGTCTGGTCTAAGCTCATGGACGATGTGGGCCGTGGACCTGGACCAAATGCAGTCTTTCTGGAGCGGGGAACCTGAAGGCTGTGTGAATGTGTAACTGTCTGCTTCCACACCCACTGATGTAAAACTTGCAGCGAGTTCCTCGAGAGGTAATTAGTGGTGAGAGAGGATGGCCACTCTCAGTGTGCTGATCACAGGAGGTAAAATGGTTTCCATGCCTTTGGGGGCAGGGGGTGCAAAACATTTAATTCGCTGACCACAAATTCTTGGACATCCATAAAATTACCTAATTCTACATCTGCCTGGCTGCTGAAACATTTTCTGCAGTATGAATGAATGTTAAGGGACAGAACCGAGACAGACGTGCACAGTGGTACAAATACTGCTGGGGAGAGAGTGAGTGCAGGTGTCCAAGTGGGAAGCAGACTTCACGTAAGGTCACCATTACCTTGCACCCCCATTCAGGGGCCAGTGGGGCCCACTACTGTCAGATAAGCTGAGCAGTGTTTTTTCTAGCCCCCTCTTACCCACACTTTTCAAAATCTGATCTTTCTCTGGGCGCCAAGATGATCTACCTTCCCACTACGTTACAGACGGCTACAAATGAGTTACTCCTGTGGGACACACTGCTACAAATGAATGACCTAAAACTAAGCCAGTGGAGAACAAGGGATTTGCCTCTGAACCCTCAGTTTCTAGTGCAGCGTTTCACCCACAGCAGGCAGGCCGAAGTCTGCCAGGTGGGTCGCCCGTTCAGCATTTTGTCAAAACCTGACTGCTGTGTTGGTGATCAGAGGTAAAGGACCCCGACAAGGTCCCAGAAGGAGTCCGATCCACATTTTATCCTAAATGTTGTGGCAGTAATTTAATATCCAGTGTTTTTGTAAACAGTTATATAAATACATTTATACATAAACGCATTTAAAACCATTCATTCAAAATTGGCTCTTTTTTGCTTACAGTTTACTATCGGGGGAAAGAAGTACATTTGTTAAAAACAGATACTGCGTGCCTACATTCGTCAGACTGCATTGGCTTTAAAAATTATTGACTTGACAGTACATTTCTCTTGTCAACTTTTTTATTGTGCTACTTGCACCAAGAGTGAAGTTGTTTACTGAATTATTTAGATCTTTAAATTTCTCATTTAACAAGTTCATTTAAATAAGTTTAATACTCCATAAATGACAAGCAGTTTAAATACAAGTTCGAGAACTAAAAACGTCAACGTGAAGGTCACAGTCCGAGCCTCACAAGGCGAGGGCGCAGCCCCACTGACCTGGCTGAAGGGCCGCACTCGCACCGCCACGCGCACACGGTCGGCCCCCGGCGCAGGCGCCGCCGTCATTTCCCCGGTGTGTGTCGGTAGAAAAATAACGTAGAAAACACCCTGCTTCTGCTTCACACTAGAACACTGAACGTTCAGCCAGCAAAAGCAGTCTGTTTCCAGATGATCAATTATTGATGGTCCATCCATTACACACTATCAATTACCTGTTATAAATTATTTGACAACACTCATTTATTGATGAATTGTATGGCCTACACCAAGCATCACCACGTAATCACACAGTCGTCCTGCCGAGAACCGTGGTTTCTTTCCTTCCCTTTTCCACGTGTGCGCCCACACACTCAATAGTCTGCGCCTGAGGTCCTACGAGAATTTATCAGTTTTAAAACCCGAATATTAAGGGATTTCTGTGATTCAGTAGCAAGCTCCTGCAGAGCAATAATAAAATTTCTTCCCACTTCTCATTCTAATATTAGGCCCACACAAGGTACAAGGTACATCCATGAAAGAGGGTTTGTTTTTTCTAAAAACATTCTCCTTCCTTCTCACACCCTTGTGAGAAGTTGCCAGTGCGCAGTGAACCGGTCAGTCTAACCTGGGTAATTCGTCTCTGAGTAATCCAGAGACTTCACAGAAAGGTGCCTTTAAGCTTGCTGAACAAGAAATGCCAACATTACATTTAACCAATGCATTACTTCGAAAATTACTCATTTGAGGTAGAATACACAAAATTCGTTAAAACGACAAAAAAGTGGCAAAATTACATGTCCATAATTCAGTTTGAACATAGCAACCACTGACCCCCCAAAACATTTTATGATTAGAAATCTTAATCATAGAAGCAAAGTGCATAAATTATAAAATAGCAACTTAAAAAAAAATGAACAGTTCAATTGTCCTCATTTTAAGATTGGCCTACTACTTGGTAGAGAAAGACAACAAGAGCACTGTCTACTATTATATAAAATTATTACTGAAACAGAAATCCCCCTCAAAAATCTAACCGACACGAACTACTGTGAAGTATATACTTTATTTAACATTCTAATAATAAGCCATATTTACATATTATATAAATGTATGAAGTCTTAATATAAAAAGGGGAAAATGCCTCTCTAAAAGAATCTTACTCCATATGGAGTCATTTTACTTATGGAAGACTTCCTGTTTACAAAAATTTACAATTTATATAAATTACTGTCTTCCAAATTAGAGGATTTTTAATAATCCACAATTCTGTGAGTTTACAAATAGGTGTACATTAAAATTTGAAAAAATTACAGCATTTTTCTGCGCACGATCTGTTTTGGGAAGGAGGATGGTTTCTTCCTGTTTCTTCCGAGAGTTTTTCCTGTTCCGTCCACAGTTTTCCTTGGCTTGCTCTTCACTCTGTCAACTGGGGTCGCCAAGGGAGAAATCAGCTTAATTTCTACTGGAGGAGGTGACCAAGAACTTTCTTTTTCTGTGATTCTGTGGGAAAAAAAAAAAGGTAATTCAAGAAAGAATAAACCCATTGTAATATAAAATATAACTGGCTCCCCAACATATAGAAAGGAACTTCAGGGGAGACCCTTCCCTGTGCTTTCATTTTATGCAAGAGAACTGAAGTGAAGCTTTAAGTCACACGAGCCAGTGAGAGGCAGAGTTGAAGTCCCACACGACAGACATTCCCCTTTCTACTCCGGACGTTCACGACCAGTCGCCGAAGAACGCCCTTGGGTGTTCCGCACGCACTAACAAACGCTGCTGGGACCCAGGGCTTGGCCGGCTGTCAGCAGCCGGTCCAGGGACCGGGGGCCCAGCGGGCCCAGGAACGTGCGAGAAAAAGCCGTTCTCCGCAGCAGCGGAGGCCAATCACCCTGTGTGTGTGTGCTCACAACGCAGGCTGCGGGCACAAGGAGGTTTACACACGTGAGCACGTGAAACCCAGTTTATTCTCGTGTTACTCGTTACTGTGTATTTCCCATACGAACAACTGTAGACCTCCTTGTGCCCTGCCCTGCATGAAGTAATTTTCCACATACATATAAAGCCAATTTATGTGTAAACAGTGTTACTATAGTCAAATATCTCATTAAATTCATTTTTAAAGATAAAATGGACTACTTTATTTTTATGAAATTCAGTGATGCCTAAGCATAGCATAAATAAAATACCATGTAACAAAGATATCTGAAATGGAGTAATTTCCCCATGGATAAAGTTTTACTAGTACTATTAGTGAAATAATCACAGAATTTCTAAGTTTACAATTACTTTCTACTAATAAAGACAGATAGTCGTCTGTCTTTACTAAAGAAAAGGTGAAACATCTCACCCTCGTCCCCACCCAGGTCAAAGCAAAGAGTCACTGGGTGTCAAACCGCTCCTTCGTTAAAGAGGACCAACGGGCTTTCGCGCTACGAAGGAACCCGGCTCCCACGCTGAAACCTAATGGTTACGAGGAGCCAGTGCTTATAAATGCCCCTAAGGATAACACTTTTCTAGTGAGCTGAGTTTCTTTTAAATAACCCTTGTCAAATCTAATTTTAAGAAGTGAAACACAGAAATGACAGCATTTCTCATTTTCACAAGAAAAAGCCATACTTGCTTGCTTGTTTTGTTTTCTCAGTCCTGATTCTTGTCACTTGTTGCTGTCCCACAGCACCGTCTTCCTAAGAGTTAAAAAATTTTTCAAAAAGGTAAATCTTAAGTAATTAAACATTTTAAATTTGACGTTCTATTCTGAGTCGGCGAGCATAGCCAAACAGTGCTAATGAATTCAAACCCAAGAAATCCCAAATGGACTCGAATTTTCTGAGCAGAAAACTTAGCCACAGAGACTCCCTTGACCCCTCACCCTCACAGTCCTCGGTTCCCTCCTGCTCCTGCCGCCTGTCCCCAAACCCAAGCTCGCATCGTCTCCTGAGAGCCGGGCCGCCGGACACTGTGTTTTCCTCACTGGAGGTCATTTTTCATAGGAGCAACTTGAAGTGCGCACGGGGCTATTGGCTGGAGCGCCAAGGGCCTCCCCGGCCCCGCACTGCCGTGCTCCTGTGCCTCCGCACCTCGGCTTTCTCGGCCAAGAACGCGCATCTCCCTTCCTTTCTGTCTACAGGGATTATCGGGCATAAATGATTACCATGCTATAAAATTGTTTTTGGCCACTTCAGTTAAACTGATCTCCCAAAAAGACATGTAATTTGCCTGAATTATTTTTGTGTCTCTGCCATTGTGTGATAGCTGGCCAATGGCAGATAATTAAACTGCTTATGAGTTCACACTGGTAATTGTAAGGGTCTCATACTCGATCCCCGATCTACGCCTGCTTCAGGTGTTATGTGCGCTGAGGTGATGGATCGACTGTAAAACTCTCTTCAAGCATGGTCCGTGGATGGCATTCCTGGGGTCCAGGGACCCACATTTTAAATAAACACAGCCCAATAATTCTGATGAGACACTAAAGTTCAAAAACCTTTCCCCTAAATGAAATTTAAACAGCAGCTGCCAGTAATTCACCATCTGTAACACACCACAAATCTGTCGTAAGCCAGGGTCTCAGAAGTGCAGACGAGGCAATTTCAGGCTATTAATGTGAATGTCTGCTCTTTTCTAAAAAAGTTTCTTTAGGAACCCTGCTTTAAAACAAAAGCAGCATGTTTAAACGAGCCACAAATAAAACCACGCGTTCCTCACCAGTTCACGCACGAGTCTGGGTGTGTGAGACGTGTTCTTCCGCCTGCTCCTCAGAGCAGGAGGGGAGAAGACAAACGGAGAGGATAAATCCGAAACTAAGTCCTTCAGCTGCTCAGGAGCTTCTATTTTTTTAGCTAAAAAAAGGTAGGAAAAAAAAAAAACCTGTGAATCACTTCATATAAACATATACATTAAAAAAAAAAGCTTAAAACAAATGATGTGCATTAGGAAGATGGAAACATCTCCAAACACAGAAAACGCCAGCACCCTAACATGGTACCCTTGAGAGAAATGACAGGAAGAACCCCAACCTCATTTGGGTAATTAAATGTTCAGGATAGTTAATGCTGCAACTGATTAATGCCATAATATAAAAACAGAGCTTTTTAAAAGCAGATACACAACAGTATCTATCATGTACCAGTTTCAATGTTTCCTGCTCCCCAAACACTCAGGAGGAAAAGCATCCTTCTCACGGACATCCTGAGCGAGTCTGCTCCATGAACGCCCGCAGTTCCAGAGACAGGCTCTGGAAGTGATTTTTTTTACAAAGAAGAAACCCAAACTCTTCCTTCCAGCTCATTCTGAGTTAACTGTTCTAGCCGGGGGAACAACAGAAAAGTACGTATCATAAAAGGAAAAGGCAAGCTGATAGGAAGCTATTCAATAAATAAAAATGGATTAAGAATTGGTTTAGAACACACATTAAAAACATCTGTCATCTAGACTTGATCTCAGATTTTTTGCTTTGTTTTGTTTCTACCATCGAGGGTAACGGCATTAGCAATGTAATTCTGGAAGCGGCCCGGTGCAGTCGAACCAGTCTGCCAGGGACAAAGTCCCAGCTTCTGGACTTGCTAGCGGTGGGACCAGAGGCGAGTTATGGGACCTCTCTGTGACTCAGTTTCTATATAAAGGGATCGATGATAACATTATGAAGTTGTTGTGCAGGCTAAAGGACTAAGAACAATGTGTGGCACATGGTAAGTGCTTTATGGATGTTTGCCTTTGTTAGTGGTATTTGAAGAATATCATGAACAAATCTTTGAAATAAAAATTAGCAAATTACAATTCAATGTTACTTCACTTACTGAAACAATAAGATGAGTTTTAGGAGATGTCAAATTCTGCTTTTAAAGCAAACAATTCTTAACAAAAGAATAGGCATGAGGTTAGGAATAAAAGTTCTCTGCTCCCAGCTGATAAATGGCAGAAATGACTGGGTTTTCTGCTGGTAACCAGAGAAGTTTATCAACAGCTTCTTTGGCTTTTCAAAGACCGATTCATATTCTCCACCTACGGTTTAGCCAAAGGATGCGCAAAATACACGTGTAAAAATGTTCAGCACCTTCCATAAGCTTCTATTAGCCAGACCAGACTCATGTGTCCATTTCCTCACCCAGCTTTGTAAGCAAACCTAGTATTGTGCTGGTAAACACCTTTCGGGGGTGTGTGTGTGAGGGGGCGGAGCGGGGCGGGCGGTAGACAGCTCTGATTTATAGTATTTGCTGATTTCTGTGGTGTAAGTGTTCCCACCATGGCTGGCTCAGAAAGTTCCTGAACATTTTTACAACTGGCTCTCAGCAGCCAGCAGGTGGCGGCTCCAGGACACCACCCCCAGTCTCACTGCACTTTCATCTCCTCCACATGTAGTAAAGAAACAACAGTACCTATACTCAACTGGGTTTTAGTGAGAATCGAGACCATAAATGCAGACCCTAGTACAGCCTCAAGCATATGAACAGACTCTCCTTGAATATCTGCTGATGAGTAATGGAAACCAGAAAAAAATCTGCTGAAACATCAAGCTCTACATTCTTTAGGCTATAAAACACATCTGAATAAAATTCTAAGAAACCTGTTTCTCTGACAGGTTTTGATTAGAGAGGACAGCCTCCAGCTTTCTACTGGAATCTAAATTAATTTCTGATCCAATGCTTCCGCATCCACTATTCTCTGCCCCTCCCTAAAGGAGCTTTAAAAAATACAATTTAGACAGGCAAAGGGGAGAGAAATGTTCTTGAGAGTGTAAAAACTACAATTTCAGGGCAAAAGAAGAAAGGAAAACTAACTGTACCCTATGGTGTTAGCTGCTTCATTAAGAATACTCACAAGAACCCTGCAGGATAGGCATTAGTACCTTCGTTGTAAAGATGAGAAAACAAGAATCGGAAAGGTTAAGTAACTTTCTACCCAGCTAGTAAGTGGCAGAAATGAGAGATCCCAGCCCCAAATTTCTCATTTGAAATTTCATCATCTTGTACTAGAAGGTGCCTATTTATAATACTAGAAAATCTGCAACGCAAGTACTTAACACAAGGATGTTTAAGCAGTCTGCGGTACGTTAATGAGATGAAATGCCACATGTGGGCACTATCAACGTGGACTAAAAAAACACACAAAAAACCAAAAACCACGCACACTCAGGGTTTTGAGAATAAGAGTATCAGAAAATGCTCATGAAATAAAGGCAGGGGGAGTATCTACTTCTAAATTCTAATTTTCTATGGTAGGCATGTATTAACAGAAAAGTTATAGTAGATGGTGACTATGTAAAGATGATAAAAGATCAGCGTTATTGGTATGTTTGCTATACTACACGGAAATAACTTGCTATTTTTGTGTTTACTATACTTCTCTAAGTCAGGAGGAAAGTATAAAAGAATTCTGTTAATAACATTCTTTTGCCACTCATTGCTTTTTTTTTTCCATTTTAATTTCAACATAGCAGGCTTAGTAGTTAAAATCTCACATTTTGTCATTTCATTCTCAGTGCAAAGTAAAGGCATGACCATTTTCATAACAGCGTGAAGAAACTGTATTGCATACACTACCACCAAAATCAAAGATTCAGTAAAAAAATTAGGGGGACCTCCTACAACTGCACATCATTTTAGGGGAAATAATTCTATGGTGAAGGGTCCTTTCCCGGGCTCAGGCTATACAAATATAACAAATGAATGCATAAATGCATTTTTTTCAAACAGTGTCATTTCTCAAAAATTCAAATATTTAAAGTTTTTGCATAATGAGTGACGATAAAAAAATATCAGTTGGCAAATTTTTAAATGGCTTCTTTCTCTTGGCCTTCCTCAAGTCAGAAGGAAACTAAATAGGATGTTCACTAGTGCATTTAAAAATACACGCAACTGTTTTAAAGTTTCGGTAAATAAAACTGCGAAGTCACCTACTTTAGAGTCCTGAGCTATCCTAATGGGATCTAGTGAGCTATGCCACGGTCTGGACCTTTTCTTCATTATCATCTCTCTCAACCTTTCTCCTTAATTGCTTCCCTCACTGGTATCTTACAGGACTTTAAAAGATTATACTCAACCAGAAAATTCCTGAATCTCAAAGTAAACTTTAAAATTTAAGATCTGTAAATTTTACCATGAAAAGATCAAAATTGCTTTGCTTTGGAAAAGGAAGAAACGCCTTGTAACTACAAATCATCTTTAGAAGAAATAATCAATTAGAGCCTAATCAAATCATGTTTAAAACAATTTTGAAGCTGAAGACTAAATAAAATGAAAATTGTGTTTTGAATAGGAAACAAAAGTACCTCTCTCTTTCCTTGGGACTTTTGACACAGGAGGAGAAAATACAGACTCATTTTCTGGTTCAGAAAAGTCCGGCGGGAAGATGGTCTTGCTAGACCTAGTTCTTGTGCTGTAGGAAAATGGAGTCAGAGCAGTGTTGGCAAGTAATTTTTCTTCTCGGTCATTTGGTTCTTTGTGAGTCGTATCGTCCTCTACGTGTTTTTCTGATATTGAGCGTAATGAACGTTTTTGGCTTTGACTTTCAATCCTTTTTGTACTCTTTTTTTTAGAGCTCATCACTGTAACAAGTTCCTCATTTGGCACTAAAACTGATTTTTCTAAAGTTGGTTTTCCGACATCAGTATTTTCACTTTTAGCTGGGGTGTTTCTTGTAGATCTCTTTTGGATGCTGAGAGCTTTCCTGTTCTTAGGACTTCTCTCTTCCTTAACTGCCTCAGATCCTACATCTTGTGATGGATTAATTTTTCTCGGTCTACCACGTTTCCTGGGTGTAGCAGGCGTATCAAATTCTGCTTGTAGGGTCAACTGGGATGGATCAAGTGTAGAGTCTTCTCTAACATCTGATGTGTTAATGTCTCTCTTTTTAACCCTTTTACTACGATGAATAGGCAGCTGCTGTTCATTGAACTTTCTATCTTGTTCCCGTCCTTTATCTTCAGAGGTTTCTAAATTAGTACGTCTCAGTCTTTTGGTACTTTTGCTAGGACTTGCTACTTTCCTCACTTTTAGGTCATTTATAATTTCAATACTTTCCTGATTTTCTACGGATTTTTGCCTTCTTTTAGGAGTCTTTTTGGTAACAGATGAAAGCTTAACCTCTTTTCTAAAAGAAGTTTCTGTGGTTGCTGATTCCAACATTTGAGATGATCTTAATCTCCTTAATTCCCTGCCTGGAGTAACCTGTAATTCTTGTTCCGCAGAATTAATACTTTCTAATGCATCTTGATTAATTTCTTTCTTTCTCCTTCCTCTTTTAGGAGTAACAGAATTTTGAGGTATTTGCTGGTTCTGAGATATTTCTTCAACATGAGAAAAGGCACTTTCAGAAGCCTTGGAAATGTCTTTTGTTTTCCTAGTTTTCTTCATAACCGAAAACCCCAGCATCTCGGGAGTAGCGACATCTGTTGATTCTTCCTGCTGCACTGATTTGACATCCTCGCTTTGGACGCGCTGTCTTCTTGTTCGAGTTCTGGACGCAATCACGTCGTTAGCCTGGTTAACATCTATGGTCACTGTACTTGTTTCCTGAACAGTCTTAAACGTAGATTTGCCTAACTTAGTGGAACCCATTACCTTTTGGCTTATTAAAGGTATGTTTTCATGAATGGACTGTTCCATTGCATCTGAAGTAGTTTCTTTACTTCTTGTGTCTTTAATTACATCTAGTAAATTTTCTGCAATTACTACTTTAATTGGTTCAGGCACATATGGTAATGTTTCTACCTTTTGGGACTCTTGATCACTAGTTACGATAGATGGCAAATTTGCAACATGTCCGCAGTTATTTTCCCCAGTGTAAACATGTTTTGACTCAGTAACTGTGTTAGCTGCTTTAGCTAACACATTCGATGCTGCAGAATCACCTGTCTCAACTTCTTCTTCACCTTCCAATATCAAGGTAAAGTTGCTCTGAGCCACAAAAAGTTCCCCATCTACTTCAGCAATGTCTCCACACTCAGCAGAGTCCTTATTATCAGGTAAGTCATGAAACTGTTGCTCTATGGTCTCAAAATTATATTGAAGCTTAAGAGTTCCCGAGGGATACTCATTAAATGAAAGATTCCTAGCCTCTTGTCCTGAATCTTGAACTTCAAGCTTTTTGTTTTCCATCACCTAAAATGAATTAAAGATAAGAGACTGGTTAAAGGATTTTAATATATGTATTTTAACTTATAATGTTTTTTAAATGACCATCTCACCCTTGGTGCATGAATTTTAAACATAAACTACATTTGACAAGGCATATACTTATGGGTTTACTTAACAAAATATCCACTTAAGCAATGAGACTTTCTCAGTTAAAATAACTAGACAGAAAAAGATTTTGAGATTCTGTATGGAATTAAAGTAGATATCCACATTTCCCTGACTATAAAAAGACAATCTTAATTAACAAAACCTTGGAAATACTATGATGCTAACAGTTGTGAAAAGAATTAAGGACTTACTCTATTCTCACCCAAGAAAAAAAAATTAACTGGAGAAAAAGAAATAACCCCCAAACTGTGTTTTAATGATAATCCCCAAACTACCTAACTATCCACACTTTTCTAAACAGCATGATCCCCATAAGGTTGAAGAAGAATTCACCTACATAAGCTCCCTTGGGCTAGACTCAATCCTCTTCCCTTTGCTGGGGCTGCATAAACCATGAAATTCCTAAGGCTTTCAAGTTCAGTACCTCTCCTGCAAGGGTTTGGTGGAAGAAGGAATGGTCCTTGCATTTACCTTTTGGTAAGGGAAGGGGAGAAAAAGGAGGAGGTAGAAAGTAACAGAGAGATCTCCTGACCAAGAAGGTAGAACATCACCACCCACCTAGACAATGACATTTTCCCACGACCCAAACATTCAATGAGATGAAAGACTGGAAACACACACAGAAATAAGGATTACCATTTACACCACGCCCACAAGCTTTTAAGCTTTCCAGCTAAAGGAACAGGGACTGTATCCATCTATTTCACAGTGAGAACAGTCATAAAAATGAGTATGGACAACCACAATATTTTTATGAGTTAAGAAACCTTCCCAATACCAATCAACTAAATTTCTATAAATAATTAAGAGTTGTTTTTTCCTCATCTTAAATTCACTTATCACATAAAAAGTTGCCTGTTGATAATAGAGAATTGGTGGAATTTTTAGAAACCACAGGTCAGATTAAGTACCAAGGGAAAAAAAAATCCTTCCTGGAGTGTAGTTCAACCCTAGCCAGGTGAACATCATCATCCCACAAGAATTCATGGGGAAAAAATTGTTTCACCATACTCAATTATTTTCAAATACATGCTTTGAATAGTTTCACTGTCACACTTGTCTCTGGAGTAGCCGTTTTCTTGTGACTGAAAGAACTTTCATTTGAACCAAATACTAAGCAAAATTGTTATAATTGTGACTTAATTTAACATAGCCTTTTGGTCTTGGTTAAGTAAGGAAAACAATTTCTTACTTAAAGGCTGTGCTCCTTTATATTCCACAAACTACTTACATAGTTTTTTAAACACAAATTTTTAAAGGAGGTTTTTATATAGTAATCAAACATACATTAGGCTCAAACTGTGGTTTAAAACCTAACTAAATTAAAACAAAGACAAAGAGTTAAAAAATTAATTTTTTTTACATGAACTTCTTGAGTATCAGGAGAATCGTCAGAAATTGGAGGCTTTTCTTCTGGTAAGTCAACACTTTCTTTTAGCACATCAACTTCTATTTCGTGATCTTCTTTTACATTCACTGCTATTTCCTGTTCAAGCCTATGTTCAGAGATAATAGGACTTTCAGAGCTAATGAGCCCAGAGCTTCCACTATCACCAAGGACATCGGCCACAGCTGAAAGAAAAATAGGAGTTAATCTTCCATGTGTTAAGTTGAAAAAGTGACATACACACACTATCTGGGAAGCGAACAGAAGGGAAAAGGCTACAATGCACTTGTGAGAATATTTCCTTGAAAAACATTTCTTTTCCCCTTTGATATGGGAAAAGCTCCGGGGGATTTTCACATTAATCCTGTTTCTTCAGTATCCAGTTTAAACAATACATGAGCTTTCCACAAAGATCAAACATATCAGATAAAATTTACATTTGAAGACAGTAACATTGTTTTTCTCAACTGGAATATAATTTTCACACTTATTGTGAAACATCGGTATGACAGTTTTGAGGGGCTCAGGTATCTGTCCCTTGCTGCAAGAATCTGGAAGTGCTCATCGGGCTAGAGGACCAGCTGCCCCTCTCTGGTCACTGCAGAGCCAACCACACAAGGGCCGTGCGAGCGGGGCTTTGACCTGGCTGTGGAAAAGGATCGTAGATCTCTCTTTTGGCAGAAAGCACCCACATGGCCACAAATGTACCTTACCACTAGAAAAAAAAAAACCCAACTTAGGGCTCATTAAAAAATAAATTCCCCCTTATCTTTTACCTTCCTCTTTGCCAAAATTTTATGTCATTAGCACCTGCAGGCCCTATTTGGATGTAGAGTTCATGAATGACACAAAGCTCTAACTAAATTAAAAATCCTCTAGTGTTTAATAAAAGTCAATAAAAAGATTTAAAGTAAAAAGACCCACTAGGGAAAGGCATTTTTACACATTTAATTGATAATGGGGCTAATAGACAAAGACTGCTTATAAAAACAAAAACATTTTTCACCTGTCAGTTTGGCAAAGAGGAATGGGAAAATATGCACTTTACCTTCCAATTATCAGTGTATGAAAGCAGAAACAACTTTTACTAATAGGAAAAACAATAAAATATTAAAAATCTGTGCCTACTCGCTGCCGTGGCCAGTCCATATTCAGGAATCTACCCAACAGAAATACTGATGAGTGTACACACACACTATTCACTGCAGAAATGAAACAGCAGAACAAAAATAGTGATCAGCCCAAATGTCCAACAGTAATTAGCTGAGCATTAATTAGCTGAGCATACCAGAGGACATCCCTATTATGGAATAGTATTAAAACAATGAAGAAGGACAGGACTAATCTAACTAATAGCAAGGAAAAATGCCTTAAACTTATACACAGTTAAGTGCAGAGCTGGGTTATGAACCCAAGCAGTCTGCTTCAAGCCCCTGTACTCTTTAGCTACCATACTGACCTACTCTTTCAACATATGGGGGAATATAAGCACAGAAAAAAATAATTCAGGAAAAAGGTACCTTAAATGGTTAACAGTGGATTCTTGAAATGGGTAACCAGGTTACAGGGATTTTTATTTTACATATTGGACTTTTTCTCCTGCTTATTTTTCAATAAACATATATTACATCCATAATTGGAGGGGAGGTGTGAGGTCTATTCAAGCCTGTCCTAAACCCTACTTGAAATGCAGTGAGCAGAAGGGTATATAACAGAGCACGTGCTCTAGGGTGAGGGCACCAACATCGGTATCATAGCATTATGTCCGCAAGTAAAATGCGTGGACAGGTTCTGGGCCTAGGCATTCAAGATGTCTTTCCCCGCCAAATCCAACTGTGAGCTCAGTGAGGAAAATGGATCCTCCTGATCTCTGTACAGCCAGGGGCTAAGAGGAGGCATTGGGGGGGGAGGGGAGAGAAAGGGTAGGTGTTAACTTCCTTGAAGTAAATTCAGTCATTTGTGTTTATTTTCTAATAACGAAGTCAATCTTGGTCTTATATTACCACAAACACAGAATAAAAAGGAAGTTGCCCTGTGAGATACGAATCCCAGAAGATCAAGAAGCAGTTACGCAGTCTGGCTGGGGACTGGTGATTTACTTTGCTCTTCTCTGACGTTCTGAAGGAAAATATGTCCACAAAAACCATTCTAAGATCTGCACTGTTAGACTCATGGAGTGCCTTACAAGTAACCCACTGTTTTGATAGCTGACACACCTCCAGACACCATACACACCAGAGAAAAAAATCTTGAGAATACATTCCTTTGTTCTAAGAGTAGAATTCTTTAGAATTACTTCATTTTAGTGTTTGAATAAAGTAAAAATCATACAAACATTTACTGTTACCTGTTTGAATTGTAGAGGTGCAGGTTTCAACTGTTACTTCATCTGAAACTGGTACCTTGGGCTTCTGCGTAAGGATTTTCCTGTAGAAACAGAAACACATACTTTACAGTGTGAGAAGATCCCATCTGCTCTAACATGCTTTATACCTTACTCCTAGGGCTCCTACCTGTCATACTGCTGAAAAAGAACAAAGGTTCAGGGAAATTAATATGATTCAAGTTCATTTTGAACTTCACTATAAAAGTTACAAGTGAATTTAGAAACAAGTAATGCTTTATTTGTTTTTCCTATTTTCTAGTATTTTACTTTTTGGCAATAATGGCAAGGCCTTAAACTACAAGTAAAACGATTTTAAAATGTTTTATTTATTTTTAGAGAGGGGGAAAGAGAGAAAGAGGAAGAGAAACATCAATGTGTGGTTGCCTCTCACCCGCCCCCTACTGGTGACCTGGCCCACAACCCAGGCGTGGTCCAGACTGGGCATCACACTGGTGACCCTCTGGTTCACAGGTTGGCACTCAGTCCACGGAGCCACACCAGCCAGGACTCTTATGCCAATTTTAAAACTGTGACCACAATTTCTAAATAAGTCCATCGAATATGGGGTATTTCCTATATACTCAGTAGAAGCAGGTTCGGTATTTTAAAGCTAATTGTAAAGAGTATGATAAATAACTCAGAATGGGAGACCAATGACACCTGTATTAATGTGCTTTATGAAATTAAGTTCTGGAAATATGTTGACAGTGATCCTTCCTATTCTTAGCTAGCCTTTCCCCAAAACCCAACTAAAGCATGCTAATTTTTAAAAATGGGAAAAATACAATTGTAAAGCAAATTCAAGAAAAAGCATGTACATGGCCTATATACATGTTTATAGACATCTGAAAGATTATCTCAGATATCTGAAAGATCTCAACCACAATGTTTATAGTAAGAGTACGAACTAAACTAGTTTATATTACACACACACACACACACACACACACACACACAAAAAACTAGCTTGCCCAGATGGAGGATATTCACCGAGATTACTCTGATGACCACCAAGTTTCCTGTCATGTGACTGCTCTTTGCCTTGTGATTGTTACAATTATCCATCAAACTCAACCCAAGAAATGTGAGCCTTAATTAGATTTTAAAAACATGAGAATTAATAAAACAGTCTGGACAATCTCTTCATGTTGTTTTTTCCCACCTTTTCCATGAAGGCCTAGAAAGATTCCAGCTAATCAGGGTTTCTCTTCTCAGAAAAACGTTTGATTAAGTGCAGTCTAGGAGAGGTGACAATTATGATACTGATTTCTGTGAGTGGTTTATGGAGGCACTCTCAGGACTTACTAAGTAATAAACCATTTACAATGTGTTAAATTATGTTTTATGTGTGTTAAATTTATTACATTTTCACTATTTAAAAAATTTTTTTCTAATTGATTTTTAGAGAGAAAGGAAGAGAAAGAGGGAAAGAGATGGATTTGTTGTTCCTTTTATTCATGCATTCAGTGGTCGATTCTTGTATGCACCCTGACCGACCGGGGATTGAACCTGCAACCTTGGGGTATTGGGACAATGTTCTAACCAACTGAACTCCTTGGCCAGGGCTCCTTACTACTTCTTAGTAAATGAAAATTACAACTTTTTTGGTATCCTCTACAGTGGTGTCACTGTATGACAGTGCTGATGTGCAATGCCTCCAGTGTTGCGATGAAGCAAGGAGCTTGTGTCACAAGGTGAATCAATTATGTCACTGATTAGTTCGACTAACTTGCAACAAAGGAAAAAAGTGCTGTGCTGACTTATATTTTAACACCAGCTGCTCCTCCTGCTGTGGACCACAGCTGTTTGGAACCTGGCACCCATCTGTTAGACCACACTTCAGCAGCACCACCCCGCTGCATCATCGGGCACACCTTCTCCATGTGCAAGTGCTAAGTGAAATTAACTGGGAGCATTGACAGCTCACGTAGTCATTAAAACACAATTAAAACTTGTATCAGTCAAGGAAAGAACGGTCTCTGGGCCATCTCCCCTGTGCCCCACCTGGGTGCTACAGGCAACTTGCACCTGATCACGCTGCAGCCACTGGAGATGGAAGGGCATGAAGGAATGCACGACTGGGTGGGAAAATTTGGCCCAACAAAAACAGGGCCACCAGACGACGTGAGTCCTACTTCAATCCATCACCATCTCGTTTCAGGAAATGTTTAGTATCGTTCTAAGATTTCACAACACTGTAAGTACTAAATAACATACAGTTGTATGAATGAACTTCTTAACAGAAAACATGCACAAATATGGACATGTCAGAGATCTAAGTAAGAGCCACTTACGCACAGACTATTTTCCTACTGGTTCAGTTTCATTAAGCATCATTAATATTTGAAATTTTCTCTAAAAACGTACCGTTCATGGGTTGACGGTAAAGAAAGAGGAGCTTCCACCCCCTGAATAGGGCTTAAGTGATTTAATCCTGAAAGCGCCGCCTCCTCTGCAACCAAAAGACCCTTTGTCTCCGCATCTTCAGGGGGGCCTGTAAATCATACAATTCAGAATATTCACAATTATTTACATTACACGTTTAGCAATTACTCATGGTCTTGGACTACTTTTTAACAAGTTGTTGGGTCTGCTCTTTTGTATGTTTACGTTCACTCCCTTGACATTACACTGACAACAAACAGTTCCTTCTAATTATCCAAGTCTAGTCCAAGGGCCCCATCCCCTTAAACTACCACTTCTTAACAGGCACCACTGCAAGTGTTTCACACGTACCAATTCACTTAACCTACAGCATTCAAATCGGCAGTAGGTGTATGTTTTTTCCCCATTTTAAAGATAATAAAAAACAAGTATATAGTTACAGTGTTTATCCCAGATCACAAACCTGGGTGAGTAGCTGAGCTAATAAAGATTCAAATCTAGCCTGTTTCACTCTAGTTTATGCTACATAACTCCCCCAGAAAAACAATAAAACTTTCTAGTTGAGATTGCGTTATCATTTTAGCAGTATCAATTAAGATACTCCCATGAAATTCCTCACGTGCTATTTACCATTTCAGTATTTTAGTGGAATGTAGCATAGGAGAATGATATAAACTTCCAAACATTTGCTGCTTTTGAAAAGTCCTAAATTCTGAGAGCAGTTAAGAAAAGCTTATGTTTATTAAAGACATCACAGCCCAAACTTCACTGGACTAACATCTTAAGAAACCTTAGTTCAGCTCAGGCAGAAAATATTTCACAAAAGAAGCCACTATGACCCAGATTTTCATAAAAGCACTTGGTTTTACAGATTTAAAGTCAGGCATTACCTTTAAATAAGTTTGTTAAAACTATGCAAGGGTAAGAAACTAAAAAAAAGTTTTCCAGTCCACCAAAGCTCCTCTTCCTCCTTCCTTCCCGGTGTCCCCTGATCCCTTCTGTGTCCCCCATCACATCACTGTCAAGCTACGTTCAAGGTGCCTGTTTGTCTACACAGTCCACTGGGCCCTACCTCACAGGTGAGCAGGTGCCATGTCTGCTTCACTCAGCTCAGCAACAGGTGGCACAGACACAAGAAAGCCCACCTGCTGTTGCACATACATTAGGGGCTTAACATTTTTTGAGACAAACATGTAAGACAATAAATGCATGGGCCGCTGTACATTCGTTTTGACTGTCCAGTGATGATTTTGAAGGGAGGGATGAAGAGTAAAATGAACTTCTTGGTTTTAGAGCAGCATTTTAGATAAGCTGGTTATGTTAAAAACTGAAATAGCAACCTTGTCTAAAGTTAAGATTATTTCTCATAGCTGTAAGAAGGCTTTTAAGTCAGACTGACAGCTGACATTTCTTCCTTAAACATACTGTTCTTCTCTAGCTGGTGTAGCTCAGTGGATTGAGTGCGGGACACGAACCAAAGCATCGCAGGTTCGATTCCCAGTCAGGGCACATGCCTGGGCTGCAAACCACGGCCCCCCAGCAACCGCACATTGATGTTTCTCTCTCTCTCTCTCGCCCCCTTCCCTCTCTTAAAAAAAAAAAAATCTTAAACACACACACATACACAAACCCCCATACTGTTCTTTTCCAAATTTCATTTCCAAATAAAAAAAGAACACATATAAGTCTTCTCCCCTCCTATTTACTTGTGAGTGGGAAGAATAGCATGTGTGTATTAGATCATGTAATTACTTAACCTAGACACTTTTCTTATGGTGAAAAAATTCTGTTAAAATGAGGGACATCGATGGCCATTTTGAATATTTGGAAATGAGTTCTTACCCATTTGTTCCTCTAGGTCTAGAGGAGTTACTTCTGATTCAAACACATCTTTATCACCATCCCTCTCAGTTTTTTCAGTTAAGTTAGTAATTAATTCAGTGGAAGAGCTCGCTGGCTTAGAGGCCATGAAAATATATTCAAATTCTCCTGGAGATGGTGCATCTTGATACTCCAGTGATTCGGTTGAAACATTGCTATTTTCTTTGCTCACATCCAGTGTTTCCAAACTCTGTGAAGGTGTATTCTGTGACCTCACATCCATTTCTCGATGGTCCATTTCAGGGCTAATCAGGGAGAAAGATGTCTTATCTTTGTTCTTCAGCCATTCAGTTTCTCCTGGTATTCCAGATTTATAAAAAGGCATGGTAACAAATCCTTTTGTTTTGCTGTCATCTGCAGTCTGTTAAATAAAAGGTTTCAAAAAAATTTTTTACTAGTAAAAATCACAATCAAGTCTAAGCTATCCATCCCAACCATACCCACCCTTTCCAAATCCAATATTTCTCCAAATTCTCAAATTTCATGTATTCTAAATCTGTTCTCTTCAGATACATGATTAAAATTTAGTAACTGTTAATGTTTCCCTAATTCATAAATCAGTATTTCCAAGACTTTCATAGGCAAGATGGGTTCCTATTAACCCACAGTGGGGATCTAAAGATAGACCCTCCGAAATAGACAACCAATTAGGCACTTAATAAAAAGGCAAAAAACAATACGAATTAAAATACAAGAAAACATGGACTAAAAATTAGGTCTTCATTCTAGTCCCATTTCTGCCACCAAAGAGCTACTTGTAGGCAATTTATTTGGTGCTTCTGAGCCCTTTTTTCTTCACTTGTAAATAATGGGTTTAGCTTACTCAATATCCTAGTTACTTTCTGATTTCATGACTATCTACAAAATTGCATATAAAAACCCATAGTCCTACAGTGATAGTGATACTATTTTAATTGATTTAACTTTTTACTTATAGGAACTAATATATTCTTAAGTGTTTTAGTTCCAAATATCAAACTTACTCTAGCAATCCATTTTGTGGTCATGCCTTCTTCCATGAATGAAATTCTGGTTTCTTTAAGTCGTAAAGGAGGAGTGAGAGACCTTCCAGGTGACTGAGAGGGAGATGCTAGAGGTGTTGACCGAAGACCAGACCTTAGGATGGACTGAGGAGTGAACTCGGCAAATCCAGAGGAAGTAACGGACATGGCCAAAGTTTTAGCTTTCTGTGACAAAGAGTAAATAGAAACCCACAATTAGTGTTTATAAAAGGTGCCCATATAAGGACAGAGTCAACTGAGACACACCGGTGACTAGATTCTCATCTCCAATAAACTCATCAGTGACAAGTTTTATTACGGATTACCAGAAAGAAAATACAAAATTTTATTTAGAACATTCTATATTTAAGACTACAAAACATAAAAGTCCATTTATAATTATTTTAAAGGCTTTGGTCATTACCAGTTTAAAGTCAACTTAAAAAAAAAGTGCACAGATAAATTATTTAACTACTGGTTAGAGAACTTTCATTAGGTTAAAGAGATGATATGGAATCTAGTTTATAGCAATCTGATCTAAATTAATGAGACTGACTTTAAGAATGTTTTAGAATACAACAGTACCTGGATTACTTATAAAAAGCCTCTGAAGATTTATTATAGTGAATAAAAATAATTAGGATAGAAACCAGGTAGTAAAACCCCTTTACTTCTCTAAAGGACTAGTAAATAAATTATCCCATTAGATTACTGAATCTGTTAAAATATTATATTTCCCCCCCTCAGATTATTTTGGCAGCAGGTACAAAATTATCCTGATTTAATTTCATTCAAACCTAGCAGTAGACAATATAAAATTATTGTTTTTCTCTTTTTAAAAGATTTTATTCAGTTATTTTTAGAGAGCAGGGAAGGGAGACAGAAGGAGAGAAGCACTAATATGTGAGAGACACAACAATAGGTTGCCTCTCCCATGCTCCCAACTGGGGATCTGGCCTGCAACCCAGGCATGTGCCTTGACTGAGAATTCAAATGGCAAACTTTCAGTTCATAGGCCAGCACTCAACCCACTGAGCCATACCAGCCATGGCTCGTTTGTTTTTTCTTGATGGGGGGGGGGGGGGGGAAGGGTTAGAAATCCTGTACTCGTTATTAAGTGTCAGGAAGTTAACAGTCTTAGCAACCTTCTTTTCAACTTATTTTAATAACTATTTTAGGATGAGCATTTACTGAAGTATCTTTTATTCAACCTGAAGAATAAGAAAATTCCCTGGCTCACTACAAATGCTAGATATCAAGAAACAATTTTTAAAACAATGAAAATAGATTCTGGCTTTGGATCTAGAAGAATGGACAAGGAGCTAGGGGATAACATATGTAAAAACATTCTGACAATACGAAGGTAAAATAATCACTGTTAACTTGTCATCCTAAGTTTACTTTTGTGGTTTCTCAGAGAGTAATTTATCAGAAGGTGGGGAGTGGAGGCAATTTAAAGACAAGTGTCTGTTAGTGGGAAAGACCAACAGTTTATACTTGCATCAAAGGAGTCAAGAGAATTAAAATAAATAAGCCTGAGAACTAAAAAGCATTTGCTAGAACAACAGCAGAATGCTATCAGAAGTAGAATTTAAAAAAATAAAAAAGCAAACCCAAGAATGTGAAAGCATTTTTTCAAAGGATACAGGCCAATTTCGAATGACCACACAGAGCCATGCATTACTTTCAGAACAATACATTTGTGAACTTAGAGTATAATGCCAGTTAAACACAAAGGATAAATTTTGTAAAGTCTGTTTAGTAACACTCACCTTAACTATAGCAGGAGTTTCAAGTAAATGTAACTCTGAGGCCCTGGAGGTATTTTGATATGATCCTTTTAATTGTGAACTGGATGTCAGGTCCAAAGAAAATCTTGTGGGGGTCTGCTGAATAAACCCCAAACACTGAGAAAGCTGCGGAACAGGATGAACAACCAAATCCAGGAGTCTGTAATCAGAATACACATAGTAAAAAAGTTAACCAGAATTTTTCTGTTCCTAAGTTATACTAATGAAACAAAAGAATTTTGTATTCCATTTAATTACTCAGGCTTCTACAATCACTGATAAATATGATAACCACATGAATATAAATATAAATTCAGTCAAGTACATTAATTAAATGCATGTTCAAAAACATAAGAAAATCAGCCCTGCTGTGGCTCAGTAGATTGAGTGCCGGCCTGCAAACCAAAGAGTTGCTGGTTCGATTCCCAGTCAGGGCCACATGCCTGAGTTGAGGGCCAGGTCCCTAGTAGGGGCCATGTGAGAGGTAGCCAAACATTGCCGTTTCTCTCCCTCTCTTCCCCTCTCTCTAAAAATAAATAAATCTTAAAAAAGTTGTAGCAAAAATGGGAAACGGGGAGTTCTAGCCCTCCTCCCTCCCTTTTTACCCATGTTTGATGAGCCCCTACTATATTTCAGGCATTTATTTTCAAATGAAGATGAACTGCTAATGATTTAAAATACTAAAGAAAATAGAACAACACTTCCCCAGCAATCCATTTGCTACAATTCACTCTCACCTACACATAAAATTCCTTTCACTTACATGTGATGGACACAATAAATACTGGTTTATTCTACCTTTACAGTTCTCATCACAGTAAAGACTAGACTGACCACCAACAAAAAAAGGTCAATTTTTCAAATTAATGGTGACAAAAATGGAATCTGAACTGTTTTCTCTAATGACCTGGTCCCAGTTCACATCAAATGATAAAACTGATCTCATTGATGACTTGTATTAAGCAGGCATAGTCCCAAAGAGCTTAAAAACTCAAATTATAAATAAATAATTGAAACTTGAAAGTAAAATTTTCAGGTTACAATTTTTGGTGAATCATATAGGTCACTCCTTTCCCAATTCCCTAATAAATAGTCTACAGTTTTATTATCCCAAAATGCCTATCTTGCTCCACTGAGAATGGCACATTTTGGTGCCTAGAAATAAAGATTCCCAGTTACCCTATCTTCCCTGTCCTTCTATCCTTCATGTTTGGGTGAGATTTTCACAATTAGAGCGGGTAGAACAGCAAAGGTAACAGATGCTTTAAAACCCAACCTATTACCCATTGGGGACTTATTTATAAGAAGCATTTTCTTAATACGGGGTGGTCTTGTTCTTCCACACTAAGCACAGCTCTGAGGTCTCCATTAAACAAGAATATCCAGTCGGGCTGTTCAACATTTCTTTCTCTATGTCTCTTCTAATTCCTATCCTCTCCCTCATTTGGATTCAATCTTATATTCGTATTTACTCAGATTTACATTGAGCTATTTCAAACATAAATGTTAGCACAACTGGAGGCATTTAACAAAATAACACTTATGTTTTAGGTGAGTATTTATGAATGATTGCTTCTCAAAATCAGGGCCTGTGCACAAGGACCAACTGAGTAAAAGCCATATTCTTACACTACCAAGACTTAGTATGTTAAGAGTTATATTTAAAAAACTATCAACTTTTGGCCAAGATGGAGGCGTAGGTAGACAAACTGTGCCTCCTCGCACAACCAAAATAAGTACAACAATTTAGAAACAATAACAACCAGAACTGACAGAACACTGAACTGTAGAGAAGTCCAACAACCAAGGAGTTAAAATAGACACATTCATCCAGACCGGCAGGAGGGGTGGTCGGGCCTCCCGGCGGAGAGGGGTCGTGGCAAACAAAGCAGTGGGACCCGGCGCGCTAGAGGGCAGCGGGCGGACCCAGTGAGGAGCCAGCGAGGCAGCAATTGTGAATCAAGGCACAGCGCACAAGGTGGCTGCTGACCAGGTGGTCCCACATTCACGCACAGATAAACCAGGCGAACTGGGAGGCGAGACAGACCGCACAACCCAGGGTTGCAGCGCGGGGCAATAAGGCCTCAAACCACTGATTGAAAACACTTGTGGAGGCTGACGTGCGGGGAGAGACTCCCAGCCTCACAGGAGAGTTTGTTGGAGAGACCCACAGGGTCCTGGAACGTCCACAAGCCCACCCACACGGCAATCAGCACCAGACGGGCCCAGTCTGCTTGGGGGAAGCAGCGGAAGGGACTGAAATCTGACAGAGAGTGGAGCAAGCGCCATTGTTCCCTCTTGGACCCCACCCCCACATACAGCGTCACAACCCTGCGACTGGGCTGCCCCGCCCTGGTGAACACCTAAGGCTCCACCCCTCATATGTAACAGGTGAGACAAGACCAAAAAAAAAAAAAAGGCTCAAACAGAAGAACAGATCAAAGCTCCACAGCAAATACAACTAAGCGACAAAGAGACAGCCAACCTATCAGATGCACAGTTCAAGGCACTGGCGATCAGGATGCTCACAGAATTGGTTGAATTTGGTCACAAATTAGATGAAAAAATGAAGGCCACGCTAAGTGAAATGAAGGAAAATGCACAGGGAATCAGTAGTGATGGGAAGAAAACTGGGATTCAAATCAATTGGGTGGACCAGAAGGAAGAAAGAAACATCCAACCAGAAAAGAATGAAACAACAAGAATTCAAAAAATGAGGAGAGGCTTAGGAACCTCCAGGACATCTTTAAATGTTCTAACATCCGAATTATAGGGGTACCAGAAGGGAAAGAGGAAGAGCAACAAGTGGAAAACTTATTTGAACAAATAATAAAGGAGAACTTCCCCATTCTGGCAAAGGAAATAGACTTCCGGGAAGTCCAGGAAGCTCAGAGAGTCCCCAAGAAGTTGGACCCAAGGAGGAACACACCAAGGCACATCATAATTACATTAGCCAAGGTAAAAATGAAAGAGAGAATCCTAGAAGCAGCAAGAGATAAGGGGACAGTAACCTACAAAGCAGTTCCCATCAGACTGTCAGCTGATTTCTCAAAAGAGACCTTACAGGCAAGAAGGGGCTGGAAAGAAGTACTCCAAGTCATGAAAGGCAAGGACCTACATCCAAGATTGCTCTACTCAGCAAAGCTTTCATTTAGAATGGAAGGGCAGATAAAGTGCTTCTCAGATAAGGTCAAGTTAAAGGAGTTCATCATCACCAAGCCCTTTTTGTATGAAATGTTAAAGGGACATTTAGTCCCTAAATGTTTAGGGACTTATCTAAGAAAAAGAAGATAAAAAAACATGTATAGTAAAATGACAGCAAACTCACAATTATTAACAACCACACCTAAAACAAAAACAAAAACTAAGCAAACAACTAGAACAGGAACAGAACCACAGAAATGGAGATCACATGGAGGATTAGCAACAGGGCAGTGCAAGGAAAGAAGGGGAAAAGGTACAGAGAATAAGTAGCATAGATGGTAGGTAGAAAATAGACAGGGAGAAGGCAAGAATAATATGGGAAATACAGAGGCTAAAGAACTTATGACACATGGACATGAACTAAAGGGGGAGAATGTGGGTGGGAGGGGGTGTGCAAGGTTGAGGGGAGTGAAGGGGGAAAAGAATGGGACAACTGTACTAGCATAATCAATAAAATATATTAAAAAGTAAAAATTATCAAGGAAAAATATTTTTTATTATATTTTCTAAAGAAAATGTTATTTATTGCATTAGGTCTTAGGATTTCCTCAACAACTTTTTGACCATAATCCAAGTAAGTAATGCATTTTAGATCACATACAGAATTAATCAACACTTAGCTTACTATATGCAGTGTCCACTGATTTCATCCTACTCTATTTCATTAAAAGGTATGTAAACTTAATGGGTTTTGACCAGCATACTTTGTACTAATGCCAACCAAAATTAGGTATTATAAAAACAGCCTTCATTTATGGATCAATCAACATGACTGTATTAAAGAAAGCAGGTTAATGATTCATTTTGCTTGTAATTTTAAGAAAAGTTTGCTTCTTTCTAATTTTAGGACTGTATAAATGTAACTGCTCATTAACTGTTACAGAGTTGAAAATACATTCGGCCCTTTGAAGGCAAATGTAATTTTGAGCCTTTTGAGGCAGATGTGGCCCCTGTTGAAAACGAGTTTGACAGCCCTGCTCTAAGCAGTCTGAAATCGTTAAGCAAAAATTCTAAGTAGTCTACCAGCTGATGTAAAATTTACTAAAATTAGTATATTACTGCCCAAATTATTTTAAAAAGCAAGCACACTGAGGAAATTAAAATATGTAAAATTTTAAAAGTAATTAAAAATTAGTGTAATTATTGCCAAATATTGTGTCTTTAAAAATAATTGAACAAATTCTTACCTAGAAACTTTTTGTGATGCTTTTAAAATCGGTGTTCCAACAAATGCCCCAGGCAGGTTGGAATCTGGGAGAGAACACACTACAGGAGATGGTCCTTCTATTTTAGGGCTACAAAGAAAATAAAAATGTAACTTTTAATTAGGTATCACAGGAGTATTAAATTAAAACTAACATTAAGGAAGTAAGATCAGATGGAGGAGAAAGGCTTTTGTTTTTTTACTCCGAGCAGTTCTGATTATTTACAAATACCAATAAAAATATTTGCTTTTTCCAACAAAAATACTTGCTTATAAAGACGAAAAACATTCTTCTTGCATGAAAGTAGCCAGCATAAAGAGTTTTTCCTTTTTACATACACTAATAAACTCTAAGGTTGGTATGTTTATGAATGCTGCTGATATCTAGGAAAGATTAACAAGTAACATGATCATAAAAAGCGTAAGATAAACACACCTGTTGTAGGCTAAGATGCTATTTTTAGGTTCATCACTTTTCCAAACCTCTCCAACTTTAGATAACACATTATGGATGAAAGTAGATCTTGTTAACACATTCCCTATTACAGCTTGCTTTGGAACAGCTGATAATGGTTTGGGCCGAGAAACTGTAAAATGAAGAATGTTAAGATTTAATGTCATCTCTAACACCAGGATTTTACTAATAGTAAATTAATATCTAAGTAATTGGAAAACAGATCAAAAGATAAGAGTTCGGTTAAAACTGTATTTGGTTTAACAATTATCTATGTATAAATTTAACAATTTGGGCTTTTAGGAAACTGAAAAATTATTCTACATGTTCTCTAAATGTTGGACAGGAGTCTCAAAAGAAATAAAAAGTTCTTTCATTCTTTACTACATTACTAAATAAACTGTAAAAGCTTCCAAGAAAGCCTTACATTTTGGGGGTAGAATGGCCAATAGAAAAAAAAAAAAGCACCACTGTGATGATTCAAAGCAAAAATGAGCTGAAATATAAGACAGTGATGGTGGCAGAAGGTAAATCATTCATTATCTTCTAATTTAACACTTAGGCATTTTTCAGTGAAACCTTACCTTTTCGAATAATTGACAGTGCTGATACACGGTAAGGCTTAGCTTGCTCAATGGCTAATTTTCGATGGATTCTAGGAAGAACTTTCCCATATTGGTCTAATATAGAATTTCGAGCCACTGATCTCTCCCGCAGGTGAGGGTCACGATCATTCTATTGAAGATATCATAACTGGTAAAAATTTAATCTTCAAACACGTTAGGTGATATGTTTATAAACTTACTGTTTAAAATATAATTACAAATATCCAAGAATAATTCCCTCCTCCCTACTTATGCATTCTTCTAAACCAAGGACCTCATACACATGATTACTTTACCGAACCTTATCCATCAATACATTCCAAGTCTTTCCTCTCCAGCCTTGATTCTTGACTCATAAAAACATCAACTGTCACTTATTAAGCTTCTACATGTGTCAGTAATATGTACGTGTTACTTCACACCACTCACCTTTGTACATCCTCACAGAGAGATATTATCATCTTACATATGAGGAGCCCAAGACAGAGAGAGATGTCCCAAGTACACAGCAAACTAAGATCAACCTGACCCCTGAAACACACGCTCTCTACGCTGGATACTTTCTACCGCCGTCCTCCACCTCACCCTCTCGTCGTCCCTGGGGGAAGTAGGTAGTCTGGCAAGATGGTAGACAGATACTTAATTCTTTTACATATGCCATTTCTGTTTAAATAAGCGATAAAACCCTGTTCCTAATTTTGCTATAGAAGGTTAAGAAGAGGACTGATTCTCTAAGCTCAGATTTATAGAAAGCCTGGTGGCTGGTTCCAAAACTGCAAGCTCTTGTGTAACCAGGTTGCTGGTTTTCCTTATTCCCTTGTCTCCCGTAATAAAACAAGTTAACTATACCGTAACATTACTCTTCAGAGTTTGGTTCAGTTTCAAGGCAGGGATGTAATTGGCACGTTGTAAATGGTGAACTAAAAGGAATTCATGATTCTGAACACTGGTGCTGGACTGCAAAAATCTCACCAGACACTCCTAGGAAGAACATAATAGATTTGTAAGCTACTAACATATCCAGAAATTCTGACAAGTTTTTATTGGTAAGTTGTTACCTGCTCAGTGTCTGTAAACGGTAACTTCAGTAAGTCCTCCATTAAGCCAATCTCTTGACAGACTTTATACATGTGCTTTAGTAACTCCTCCACATTCAATCCATTAGAATGGTGTCGCAGTAAACTCCAGGCCTCGATCATGCACCTGCAATCAGTATTTATCAAAGTTCAGTTCACAAAAGCTATTTAAAATGTTCACAACAATTAATCCATCTGAAGATTCTCAAAGACACTTTGCACATGTAATTTAAGGGCACTTTTATAGAACACTAATCACCGCATAATCAAGTTTGCTAATGTCAACAAGGCATAATAAAGACTTAATTTTATGCTGTTCTGTATCATTTAAGTGTAATAAAAAAAAACAGTAAGTACAGAAAAGGTCAAGATAGAAAACTAATGTGATGTGAATAAAATGGAAAGATTAAATGGTATGACAGAGAGAGCCAGGCTCTTAAAAAAGTGATAGCATGAGGAAGAAAAGTAGAAAAGAAAATGAACAAAGATGGCAACAACCATATTGTTTATGAGGAGGAGAAGAGTTTAAGCTTAGTAACAGAAGATTTTAGCTATCTATAGCAAATGTGGCTGCAGAACTGGGTCAGATTAGACAGTACGAGGTACCATGTGTGGTCACTGAGATAGATATCCTTCTCTGGGCAACAGAAGTCATTGAATGAAGCAAAATTTCTCACTGTATATTGTTAAGTTAAAAAAAAAATCTAAAACAGTATAGTGATTATAATTTTTAGAAATTTAATAAACAAAGCCCATAAATGTTTACGTATTTATTCGATGACATTTATCCTGGTACTTAGAATTTTTGAGGGACTGGTAACTTTCAAGGCAGAAGTAGACAGAATAAAAAAGTAGCAAATAGCAATATAAAGGAAATAATTTTCTTAAAAAAAATCATTCCTAACTCTAAGTCAGTAGGTAATTTTGACTACAGTGGGCATCTCAATGAACAAAGCTTTAGCTGTAGTTTTTATTGTGATAACAAACACTAAAATAAAGACTGGTAAATACACAACATATGTAAGAAACAGAGTATATAAACCAAGTTATAGCAATTAGTATTCATAATGAAATAAATGTTAGGAAAATGAGTGGTCCTTTGTTTTTATTTCTGAATGTAGTGTATAGGACACAATGTTGCTAGATTTCTGGAGACTGGATAATTGAAGCTTTACTGTACTTGAGAGAAATAAGGTTTAGAAACTACATGATGTATGTTTGCTATGGTAAAGGAAGAGGAAATGAGAATCTAGCAAATCAGAGAAGTGTGCTGCAGATGAATCAAAGGACAATGGAATCAAAATGAAGAAAACACAGCAGCCTTATAAGCTGTTGTGGCTTAGTGGATTGCAGGCCAGGTCCCTGGTTTGGGGGCAAGTGAGAGGCAGATGCTTGAGGTGCCTCTCCCTCTCTTTCTCCTTCCCTTCTCCTCTCTAAGAAATAAATAAAATAAAATCTTTAAAGGTGTTTTTTCTAAGGTTCCAACATCTGCACTTTGATGTAAGCATTAGTAACAAACTAGTAACTCTTTAAAGTCACTAAAGAAGCTTACATAGAACTGAAAAAAAATTTACATGCTACTGGCCAACCCAGTATTAAAACTCTTGATCCATTTATTAAACATTTGTCACTTCTACCTTCTTACATTCATCCTAGACATTTTTTTAAAGCTAGCCAAACACTTTTAAAAATTTGATCTTGAGAGAGAGATAAAGAGAGAAGAAATAACACTTTTTTGTTCCACTTATTTATGCATTCATTGGTTATTTCTTGTATGTGCCCTGACCAGGGATTGAACCCTCAACCTTGGTGTACTGGGATGACACTCGAACCAACTCTGCTTCCCAGCCAAGGCCGAGCCAATCCCTTTTGTTCACCCAAATTCTTTACTCAAATACTGCCTACTCCATTACTTTTAAGGACATCTTAAGTTTCTACATGTTTAGCCAACTTACTATTAAACTATAGAACTTTTCTCCTGATTCAACCCTTTCCCCTCAGAAATACATTCTATTTAACCAAAGAACAAAAACTTAACTTTCATAGTACTGACACTAACTTGCTGATCATTTACAAATCACAACTTGGGGTGAGTAAAATGACCAATTTCTAACAATATAAAAATAACCAACGAAAAAGACTGAAAACAAAACACTATTATTTGTATATAAAGTTACAATTTGGGAAGAAATATCAAATCTAAGCAAGTTCCCCAATTAATTTAGGTAACAAGAAAATGCAATAACCAGACCACTACATTTTCAGTCATGCCATTTAACTTGTCACCATTAATATAATGACAAGTACAATGGTTACAGCAATATTGCTATACTATAAATGGTGGCAAATATATCACGCTGATTATAATGTAATACAGCAAACACAAAACATATCGCTACTACTCATTTCATCGATTCTATTGTATTAACAGACACAATCAAGAGTTTGGTGGTACTTTCAAAGTAAGTACTCACCTATTAAGAAGCAAAACATCGATGTGAAGGATAATATCAGTATCACTGGACACTGTTGGCTTCATTGTCTGAATATATCTGAGGGCTTGTCTGTGCTCGCCCTGACTCATGAAGGCTTGAATGATCTTTGAATGCTGCCATGACACAGGTTTTGCAGTAGCTGGATGAAACAGAAGATCCAAACCGTTCTGCAAAACAAACATGAAAATCGGTACATACAAATATGAAGTTCTGCATTTAGACGAAGTAGCATATCTTTAAAAAGAGAGGCACTACTAAAGCCACAAAAATCAAGATAAAACCAGTGGAAATATAAACTGAAAAGATCTATTTTAATCTAGGGTGTACTTTAAAGAGAAGCCTTATCAAAAGCCTCATACTTTGAGACCTCCTTAGGCTATTATATAAATCTTTCCATCACCAACTTCTTAATTCAAAGCCAAATCCTGACTTTTGTGGTTCCCTCAACACATTAAACATTTTTCTAACATAATCACCATATTGGCACTATGATTAACTGATTGTTTACTTGTTTCCTTCTTTAGGCGGTGAGAAACCTGGGGTTCTTAACTGTTTTATCTTTGTGCTCTTACTGCTTATGGTAGTGAAGGTATTAGTTAAACTGACTCCTTATATTACCTCTAGAAGTAGATTGCATCCTATCGTTAATATTAAATTTAATTGTTATATATTTTTCTTAATTTACTTATTTTTTAATCCTCACCTAAGAATTTAAAGAGAGGAAAGGTAAACGAGGAAGATGGAGGGAGGGAGACATCCACTGGCTGTCTCCCATATGACTGGGGATCGAACCCACAACCCCTTCGTGTACGGCACGATGCTCTAGACAACTGAGCCACCTGGCCAGGGCTAATCATTATGTATTTTTATAGTTTACAAAAGCTTTCATTCTGTGTGAACTAACAGACTTACCTCATAGTCATTATGATCTATCAGCCAAAACCCTTGAATAAGTTTAACCTGGTCCCAAGAAATGGCAAAGGCAGTTGGAAATGATTCAATGGCAGTATCTGTTTTGTTTGGGAAGGAATATATAATATCAAGTAGCAAATAAATGGTCTTTAAAAAAAGATCATTAAGGACAATAAACAAAAAGAAAAACTCCTATGTACATATTTGTAATAGGTAGCAACAGAATATAGCAGGAAAGATTCTTTAAAGACTGCAGTGTTCAGAAAGCTTTTATGGATATCCAGCTAAGGGAAGTATAGTTTTATTAAATGTGGGTACAGCTAAACTTGCAACCAACTTCATTCTCAAATTTTTAAGTACCAATAGGAGTTGTATTTAGTTCATTAAAAAGGAGATTAAATTACAAAGGAATTAAAGCATACCTTCTTTATGAAATTAGTAGCTTAGGAAATTTAAGAATCAAAAGCTATAGGCAAAATTCCAGTTATCTAGCAAAACCTGGCAGCTTAAGGAAGAATATCAATATCTTATAAATCATAAACTTATTTGTAATTTATAAACACATTTTTAGACTAATAACTGACATTAGTACAAAATCTTTATTGCAAAGACCACAGGGCTCAACACAATGTCTAAGGTAATGTTAAGCTAACTTAAATATATTAGTATTCAGTATATAAGTTAACCTATTTGAGAACGACTGCTTGGCCAGTAATGTTTTAGAACAGCTCTTAACTTAGGTAGTGTCTCAGACACATTTAAGAATCTGAAGAAAGCCACAGACGCATCCCTACAAAAATAAACATAAAATTTTGTGTAGTTTCAGGTTAATCATAGACCATTTGAACCCAACCTACAGATCTTGGGTTTAGAACCCTTCCTTTAAAAAAACCCCCCAAATTTTATGATTTTAGTAATACATGAATTATTTGACTACAAATTTTAAAGGATACAATAGAATGTTTGCTTGCTTCAGTAACATTGTCTAATAGGTATATGTCAAGTAGTGCCTATAAAAAAGATAAAAAATTCAGTGCACTTTATATACTCATTCATTCAAGCTCTTTGCTCTTCCCAAGCCTGCGCCACGTGTGAACACACAACTAAGCATGTCTCCCTCCCCACAGCCCTGCAGGCCCTGTAAGAGGCATCACGTCACCGCAAACCTACATGTAGACTAGGAGGAGGGTATTTTCCCGTTCCGCCTTCATCCCGTTTCCACAGCTTCTCAACTCCATCTCCTAACTGAGAAACCATTCCGTCGATCATCAAATAATCAGGGTTCCACTTCCCTCTGCAATAAGGGCAACATTACGGATTACTTAATTAGCGTGGTCATTATTACTATCATCAAAACAATAGCATTAAACTCAAAATGATCCCAACTATCAAAGGGAGAAGAGTTGAGGGGGAAATAAGGGGGGAAAAAAAAAGAGTCGTCCAAGTGCTGAAATGTAACTGTTAATGGAAAAAATGTAAAATAACTAATTGGTGATATATTTTATGCTTTTTTTTTTGATATCAGCTTCCAGTCTTTTTCTGAGTAAGAATTCTCAGAAAAAAATACATGCTTAAGTTATAGACTTTCTAATAATGAATCATGGTAAATAGTCTTACTTAGGAAATAATAGCTCTTTACTCAAGTTCTAAATCAAAAGTGTGACCATTAGGTCAACTCAAACATTACAAATAAAATAGTAATGTTGGTAACACTTCCTGATACTTTGCTGAGAATTCCACCCATTTAATCATCTTACAACGTGATGAATTCTGCTCTACCTCCGAAGGCTTGACTTCTTACAGAAGAAATTTCTAAAATGTTGCTTGAAAGTTCTGGATGTACTATACCTTGATAAAAGCTCACACTTCTGTCGACGACTGGTGTAGTAGTTCTGAATTACAGGGTAGTTGTAGTATAACCTTGACAACTGCACAGCATCATCTAGATTTTTTTTTAAGAGTTGGAAAAAGAGCTAGTAATATTTCCAAAATTCCCAATAATACTTAGGTTACACACATTGATATTTTACTATAATTTTATATTGTTTAACTTGTAGGCTTCCTAAATTTAAGTAAGACTACCCATCCCTTCATTAATATATACATAAATGAGAAAACCTAGTCTCTCATAAACATCTGTAACGACAAGGATGCTAAGAGAATTAGGAAAGAATAGGACTGACAGCAATTATGAACAGTGGGAGAAGCATGTGCAAATGAAATCTAATGCAAATCCTGGAAATGCAGGAAGTTAGAGGCTTTGAAGTGTGTCTATTCTAAACAAATATAATTTAAAAAGTCAAAATTCTCTAGTTCTTGATATTGGCATTAATCATCGGATAAAAGGAGTTATTTAAATGACAGCAAATCATATTAGGTAATAGCCACATTAAAAATCCCTTAAGAGAAAAAGGTTGACAAACTAGATTATAAAATGCATAGTTCTATGGAACTAAACACAGCTGGTGGTATCATTGAACCAACTCTCAGAAGCTATATTTTGTCAAATACGCTTTCCTTCAAAATGTCATTCAATCCAATAAACATGTATGGAAACCTGTGTATCAGGCATGGGGTGAGGTACTGAAGACACAAAGGAGGAATGTAAGAAAAGAAGTTAAGAATAGAAGAAAACATAAGTGAGGAGGCGGAAGCAAGAAAACCCAAAACACTGAAACACAGCAACAAAATTATAAAGGCTTAAGAAGCTTTCTTTGAACATCAATAAAAGAAGAAAAAAAAGCTTTCAGTTAATATTTATAGATTAAGTAAGTATTTTACCTAAGCCCTCTGGTAAAAGACCAGAATGAGAGAACCAAAGAACCATTTGTGCATACTGACAGATGAGCTGGGACACCATACACTTATTGGTTAAGTTCATACGACCTGTAAAAGAGTTAAATATCAGTTAACTTTCAACCCCAAATGAAATATCAAGATACTCAAAAGTTTTCGAAGAACTAATTAATTCCTTGATGATTTTTAACAATATTTATATATTTTTTAACAAACGTAGCTGGAACAAAAATTTTCCAAAATGCTAAAATAACTCATTGACTAAAGTAGATGTTTTAGGTAAATGTGTTTCCATCTTAGCTACACTTATTTCCACTTAGTTAATTTCAGAAGTCAAATTTATACATTAATGCTAACTATATAGTATCATTAATACAGGTTGTTCATACCAGGCCTTTAAATAAAATTAACTGTTTTTGTTTAAATGGCGAAACAGAGAAAAAAATTACAATGACCTCTGAATAAAAACTTATTTTAAAAATAATTCAAAAATTTTAAATTTTACTATAAATATACTACCTTAACAGTCATTAAGTTTAATTCCCAAATCTCCCATGGTTATTTAAGTATGGGCTCATGCTACGTTTAATATTCTGTAGCTTTTCATAAAAACAAAAACAAACAAACAAAAAAAAAAAAAACAAAAAAATCCCAGCATTTGAGAAGTAACAGCCTTCTGTACAACGATCCATCTAAGACAGGAAATTATTCTTTCTCCGAAGCCAAGAAGTAAAATTTAATAAAACATTCGTTTATGTAAGACAAACAGCACACCTCTTTCGGTGATCTCTTGGGCCTCTGTTATAAAACAGCTTAAGACTGTATTAAGATTGCTAAGGAGCAGATGGCACTGTTGAACAGACTGGATCGTCTGTGGATCGATGAAACGGCACGATCCATCAAACAACGGGATACCTTTCAAGGATAAAATACATAATTAGTTTCAACACAGTAAATCTGAATTAAGCTCACAACTGCACACTTCCTCAAATTTACACTGACAACAGAATTGTTCTGTGTATTATGAGATTAACAAAAAGAGGCTAGACATGGCAAACACCCTCAAGGAAACTAGAAGGGACAGATACAAATTATTATTTGTTAAATGTAGCGTGAAGTAAGCAGTATGTCAGCACAAAGAGAAGTGGTACAGATTCAACTTCAAAGTCACTAAAAATCAGTTATATTAAGTGCTTCTCCTTCAAATAAATCTTTTATACTGTTACTTTTATATACCCTGTTGTTTTGTAATTAGTATTTTATAAGAACTTTTGTCCACCTCCAGTCTCCAAAAGTGAGACATTAAAATGAAGACTCATATACAGACTTATTATAATAAAACTGTAGGATGCTATAATTCACTATAGACTCAGTTGTCCTTTCAAATTCAAGGCTGAATTTACAAATCCTTTGCGAGGGTATTTTAGTTGCTATTGGTTACATCTTTTGAAGATTTAATTGCATTAATATTTATATGTAATTGCAATAATATGTAACTGAAAACAAATATCTTAATTCTAAAGCCTTCCTTCCTTGAATCAAATTATTTGATTTATGCCCTGGCTGGGTACCTCAGTTGGTTAGAGTATCATCCCAATAAGCCAGGGTTGCAGGTTCAACCCCTGGTTAGGGCACATAAAGAACCAACCAATGAATACCTAAAGAAGTGGAACAACAAAAAGATATTTTTCTCTCTAAAAACAGTTCTTTTTAAAAAATCCTATTAAGAATACAATTTTTAAAATCCATTTGTATAAGGGGGCTAAAGGGTAATGGAAAAAATACAAGAAAGATAAAAAATACTTCTAAATAAATTTTACTCTCATGTACAGGGCAATCATATATTGCCCTTTAATATTAGTTTTGCACAAATTGGGCATAATGCATTTTTAATGTTCACAAGACACCTCACAACTCACAGTGTACAACAGACTAGTGAACAAGACTACCAAGAAGGAAGATGACTTGGCACAACTGATGACGACATCTTTTAGAAAACAGAGGGGAGCTTTACCCTACTATTCAGCTTCTTTATACACACATTTTAAATAAAAAACGAGTGAGAAGAGGAGCTTCTGAGGTTAGTGGCATATTCTTCTTACTCAATCATAAGCATGTTTTGTAAATTAAACTAAGACCAACAGACATCCAAGGTATAATTCTGAAACTTGCTACTGTGGACATAACATGGTGCTAGTTTAACAATCTGTTGCAAAATCTTCATCAACAAATAATTTTGTCACTCTAATATTAAAAGAAAGTTTTCTTCTGGGCCTTCCTTACACAGTTTATAACTTTAAAATGATTAAAATGATTATTATTATGTACTTAAAAATATATCACTATTAGTTTCTTAATATAACACTCACATAGTCTGTCAAATTCCTCTTTTGTGAGAATCACTTTATTCCATGTCCATTCAAGAACAAAGCGCAAATTAGCAGCAGAATTTGGTTGTTCTTATTTGCAAATATAAAAAGGAAAAAAAAAAAGATTACCAATTACAAACAAACAAACAAACAAACAGACAAAAAAGTAACTTTCAGCAGAGAAACCTGACAGAAAATCACCCTAACCATGTGAGCAAGGAAAAATAATCATTAATGGAGACACACCGGTATCACATATCTCTTCCAGTACAGTACATCCTTTTGTGTGAGAAGTCTAAAATCTGAAGCTAATCAACAGAAAAAATCAACACACACAAGGTGAAAGGCAGTCTACAAAATAACAAGGTTATATTCTTTTTAAAAAAATGTCAGTCTTTTGATAGACACAGGCTTAGGATTTACACCAACCTGAGAAACTAAAAAGACATGACAACGAAATACAATATATATTCTGGACTAAACTCTGGATTGCCCCTGTCCAGAAATGCTGTAAAGGACATCACTGGGATCATCAGTGAGATTCCAGTAAGTTCTGTAGATTATCTAATCTACATGTTAGCAATGTTCATTTTCATGATTTTTACAGTTACAACACGGGTTTTCTAAGTGAATGTCCTTGTTATTAGAAAGAAAGTATACTGAGAAGAAGTGTGATGTCTTCAACATATTCTCAAATGATTCGGAATGAAAATAACGCGTGTGTGTTTGTAAGGAAGGAGAGTAAAACACACAGCTTGGATAAATCCCCAGAGAATTTTGCCGAGTGAAAAAGAGCCAGTCCCAAAAGTTTACATACTGTATGATTCCATTTGTGAACATATTTTAAATGACAAAATTACAGAAAAAGGGAGTAGTTGTCACCAGGGGTTAGGGACAGGGCTGCTCAAGGGCGCCCGGGGGGACGCTGCCTTGATGCTGCGGCCGAGGCCTGCCAGCCTGCACCGCTGGGCGGCAGGAGAGAGGACACGGGAGTTCTCTGCTGTCCCCTAACGGTGCACCTGAATGTGCATGTGCAGACAGCTCCAAAGTGAGGTTTACCTAACCACCCCTCACAGACAGTGAGCTGATAATTTTAAAAATACAAAAGAAATTTTTCATTAAATATCATCTTACCCTCTGTTATCCACCTTCTGATATATCCAGTCAAAAGTCCCAGGGAACTCGTGTGGACTGCTGCTGACAGTATAGCTTTTAATTGTTCTTCCTGCACCAGAAGAAGTTCAAAGATAAGAAAGAACTACTCAGAGGTAGCATGTTTTATGCAGCTCAGAATACAAAATTCTAAAGGCTTAAAAAGCATTATGACTTAGTAGGACAACTATATCAAAAAGACAATAATGAGCATTGGTGATGATGTGGACAAAACGGAGTCCTGACAAACTGCTGGTTGGAATATAAAATGGTAAATCCCAATTTGGAAAATAGTCTGATAGTTCCTCAAAATCAAAAGCACCACATAAACCAGCAATTCCACACCTAGGTACAAACACATAAGAGAAGTGAATCGGGTGACTGCTAATAGGTATGGGGTTCTGGGGAAAGTGATGAAAATGTTCTAAAATTTAATGGGCCAAGAGCTTGACAACTCAATAAACATACCAAAAGCCACTGAAGTGTACACCTTAAGTAGATGAATTGTATGAATTCTATCTCAACAAAGCTGTTACTTAAAAAAACCAATTGTGTAAAGAATAGTATAAGTCAACACGGGCCAAAAAAACAGAAGGCATCATGAGATAAAACGGCTCAACAGATTTCTGAAAAGCAGTAATGAGCAGAAAGAATGTGGCTTATTTAGCAGTGTGAAGGAAACATGTTTTAAAGACCCCACAGAGGGGAACAAAAAATGAGAATAGAGTCAATGTGGCTCTAAGAATATTAGGCTAAATTCCGAGACAAATCGGGAACGGGGGAAAGTGGAGAGAAAAGACGGTCAAACATGGGACTGAAAACAGACAACAGGTTAAAAGTAGTGCATGAACACAGTCCTTTCTGTTACCCTGGGTGAGAACTGAGGCCACCAGCCTAACAGGGGCCTTTGGAAAAACAGAATGGCCCCAGAAAATATCTGGGGTTTCCCTACTGAAAGGGTGCACACCTCATCTATCATCCTGACGAATGCCTCTGGATGAACTCTACCCACACAAGAGAGAGTTTATAATCAATCAGCTACTGACTCACTTTACGTATCAACAGCCAACTAAGGACCACCAAGCATTAAGGATAGCCGTTAGCATCAGAAGGACTAAAATAATAAAAAGTGACTCCGGAAAAAATAGAGATAAGACAGAGAACTAAGTAAAACTTAAACAAGCATAGAATGTTATTTCATCCATTAAAAAAAAAAACAGATGACTATGAATAATGATCAAAGAATAAGAGCTCATAGAAATTTAAAATTAGATTCAAATTTTAAAAATAGGAAAAAAAGGGAAGATGATAATAATAATAAAAAAAAAACTCCCAGAAAAAAGAACCAGAGGCAAAAGAGACAAAGAGCTAGAAAGGTAAAGGTAACAGAAGATCAACTCAGGAGAGTAAACATTTGCCTCATGGAGTTTCACAAAGAACAAAAAAAAGTTAAGATAAAGTTAAGGTAGTGCGAGTGATAGCCTAGGAAAGGGTTTTGTTTTGTTTTTTAAGGCCATTTGAAAACACAAGAAAACACCAAAGTTAAAATCTCCCGATAGTTTTTATTTCCATGAAATTAAGTATTAGGGAGGAAGGAAGGAAGAAGGAAAAAAGAAAGGAAAAGAGAGAGAGATATCAACAAAGAAATTAAGCATTAAATATTAGCTGTAGGTGGTAAACAATGAGCACCGATATTTACATTGAATACGATATTTAAAAGGTTTTCCCCACTAATTTATTATGTTACTTTTCTGTAATTATTTAAATAACTTAACTCTTTCTGCCCAAGCAGTGTTTAAATTAACAAAACATTTTCTCTTTCTCCACGGAAAAGTGACTTGGGGTCACTTTCTTCTAGCATGTTTTACTAGCAAATACTGAGTTAAAATAAATGTGAATTATGAGCCATCACCAGGCATCTCCTGATTGGTAAAATGTACTGGGTCTGGAAAAACTGTGAGTAGACTAAATACCACTAGCAAGTTAAAATTTTGGCTTCCATGATTGCATCTGAGTCCTAAGATATACCTATCTTGTTTTGCAGGAAATTGGAATCTCCACTAATAGGCTTCCATAAGACACTTGTTTCTCTAGAGCAGTGGTTCTCGAAATACTGTGTCAGAATCACATCAAAAGCTTTATTAAAATAGATTGCTGAGCTCTACTCCTGAAGTTTCTGATTCAGTAGCTCCAGGGCGGGAATCGAGAATGTGCACTCTAACAAGTTCCCAGTGAGGCTGATGTCAGGGACAACACTCCATTGCTAGAGACCGTGACATTCACCTAAGTCGACATGGTTGCTACTCGTGCTTTTGTTCTCTTGCACCTACACTGTTCTCTCTGGGGGCTGGAAAATGGCCCTTATACTGTTGTAATGACTGCTACTTATGGCATGCCTGATGCAGGCACAATCTGTTTCCTTTCCTATGTCCTCTGTAGAGCTAAGTGAACCTGGTGCCAAGTTATGGCCGACTGGATCCTGGGAGTGTGAATTTTAAGTCAAATTCAAGACCTTAGGTACTGATCATGTAGAGTGGGCATTATACTTAACCTACTTTTGCAGAAATTAATAGATTTTTATCCTAATAGACAATAACAGGACACACAAAAACAAAGAGTTAAAAAATCACCTCACCTGACTTAAACTGGAAGGCTGAATATCAATTAGTCTTGGTGAGAGAAGGCCAGCCACAAGACATCGATTATAGCCATCAGAAATGACTTCATTGATAAATGGTCCTGATTTCTTTAAAAAAGTCAAAGTCTGTAACAGATCAGTAGGGTATCAATACTCAACCAAGTTAACAAATTTAAGAATACTTAATAAACTCACTGTCCTACTTTATACTTAACATTTTGAATAAAACTAAAAACACCGAAATGGAAATTGTGGAAGACTACATTTCCATAACTTCTTTCAAGAAAAACAGTTTATAGGTTGTTTAAGCTAAATCAATGCTGCCTAATTATAAATAATACCATTAAGGATATTTTATGTAGCTTGTACTTTTATGAAAGGTAATCCTGTTACCTTCTCTAAAGCTGACAGATAGATTTGGTGACAAATCTCAGTGAACACACACACACAATCCCCGTGGCATAATATAAAAGAGATCTGATATGATGTATAAATACGGCATTCATCCACATCTAGCTGATTATTAATTAAAAGGTCTGTCACTTGATGTTTTCCTGGGAAAGCATTTTTCAACGTATCATCGACACCCACTGTGCCTGGGACTGTACCACTGTGCAAGGGACCTTCTTTGTACGGTTTTGTTAGTGAGCTTTTGAGGGGAGGAGGATTTAGAGGGAGGATAAAAAGGGATGTGGTGTGGCAATGACCTACTTTGCTCTTTTCCTTGGGGTTCAAGCAGCTAACATCCAGAGAGAGCTGCTGGAGACATCCCAGTAACTCTCACTGACCTAGTTGAAGCTCCCATAAAGCCAGACCCATGACGTGACTTGAGTTCAGTAAGAAATACTGTCCGAGTTGTTGTTACCTACCTCCTTCTGAAAGCCAGTACAAGTTATGTGAATAACTCCGGAGTTTAACAAACAAGTGGCATCTAAAACAAAGATTTTTAAAAACCCACTTTAATATTATATTTGAGATGGCAATGATACAACAGAATTTATCTTAATAGACTGCTAGCCAAAGTACAAATGACCACATACAATAAATTTTAAAATAATTTTTCCATTTTTAACAAGATATTAAACCTAATCACAAATGCACTAACTGTGAAATACTTTATCTTTTCTAGCAAATTCAAAACAGTGATGATTTCTTTATAAAACATGTATTAGATTTCTCATGTATGTTATCCAATTAATTTCCTAAGTTATCCATATTAGCTGACAATGAGATATGAATACTATACACACACACACATATATTTCACATAAATACATACATACTTATATGCTATTTTTCTCAAAAGGTTAGGATAATACACACCAAAATTATAGGAACTGGGGTTAAAAAATTGCTCTGGAGGCGAATATGAAGGAGAGACTCCTCGGCTTAAGCTTCTCTCGTGTACCAATATATCCAAGATGCAATGTGGAGAAGTACTACTCACAACAGAGTCCAAGGACCACAATGCAAAGTAAGAGCAATTATGTAGATATTCTCCGGATCTAAAAGAAAATTTTACAAAATTACTAAGTCACTGAACTGCTACAGGTACAAATACCAAAAAGAGAAAGAGAATCATACCTTAATGAATCTGGCATTTGTGCATGATACCAACGATTTATGTCAAAAATCCCCAAATATATAGAAGGCTTTCCTTGTCCATATATATTCACTTGCCAAGTAAAGACTGATACACTTGTCTCAGGAGACAGTGCTAAAAGAAAAAGCTAGTATTAAAAGACAAATAATCTCAAAGTAAAAACCCCAAATAATATTTATAATGAGACTCGCACATAAATTCTTATTTAATTTGTCAAAACACATTTTTGTCATGTGCTTTGTAAACAGAAATTCATTCACTTGTATCTTGACTTTTTTATATTTCAAAAACACCTTATCAAAAACTACTCATCTGAAAAGTTCTATTCTGACTCATTTCAGTTAATACCTTGTCAGGTTTGAGGTTCAGAGGTAGAAAGTAGAGAATGATGTGAATGAATACTCTCCCAAAGTGGTACACAGCTAGCACCAGAACATCGACACCTAAAATGAGTGCCTGTAGAACTCAGAGCTTAATTCTTTAGAGGAATTCTGGCTGAGGACTGAGCTAGCTATATGGTCAAGGGGTAATAAAAAAGACAAGTACCTGGGTGGTGACTATGGAATGAGAAGACGGGCACATTTGACAGACATCAAAAGAAGGAAAAAGGAAAGTAAAAACGTGAGACACAAATAATGGGAAATACAGAAAAGAAGACGTGAGTGGGCAGTAAGAGTCTGATGAGTTCTGGTTCTGACACGGTTGGCTGGAAGTGAGAACTGGACCGCTACAGAGATGTGGGGCCGAGGACAGAAACAGCTCCTGGGTGAATGAGCTGCCCATGAAAATGAATCCCAACCAGAACACAAAAGCACAGTTCTAGTGAGCATTCCCAGAACGGAACGAACCTCCCACATCAGCATGTTTAACCCCGACACCCACCCTTAGCAAAAGGTGTAGCTTAATCATTCCACTCGCAGACAGAGACGTGCAGTCTGTCAAGGTCAAGGTCAAGTTTGTCAAGGTCACAACTAGTGACAGATCTGGGGTTTGAATCCATGTAAGTTTCTAAAATCTATGCAATTTTTACTATGCCAGAATGTTTACCAGGAAGATGGAATCAGACTAAAGAAAACAGAGAAGCCCTGACTGCAGTGGCTCAGTAGGCTGGGGGTCATTTGGCAAATTGGAAGGTCATTGAGAATTGATTCCTGGTCAAGGCACATGCCTGGGTTGTGGGCCAGGTCCCTGGTTGGGGGTGTGCAAGAGGCAACTGATCAATATTCCTCTCGCACACTGATGTTTCTCTCCCTTACTTCCTCCCTCCCTCCCCTCTCTCTAAAAAGAAAGAAATAAAATCTTTTAAAAAATAGATTAAAAAAATTAGAGACAACCAAGGCATGTTTGTTATGTCTCAAAAAAAGAAACATTATTCATGGACTATTCAGAAATTATTCACAGTAGTCAAAACTAGACACCATTTTTGTTTTGTGTCAGATTAAAATACAAGAATCCCTCATTTCCTTCCAGTGTTCAATTCATGAGTTCTATACAGCCATGTGGAGAACAAATCCCCAGTATCTCATGTATGCTACTCATGTTTCTTCTTAACTTCTTGGTTGTCAGACTTCCATACAGTTCAATTTCCTGGCAGTTCTGCTTTTTTTTTTGTTTTTAAATTAGCTGTTTCCTTCTTTTGGTTATGTGAGGAGGTGAAGTATACCTACCTACGCCTCCATCTTGGCTGGAACTCCAAAGATTTTATTTATTTGAGAGAGGGGAAGGGAGGAAAACATCAATCGGCTGTCTCTCGCACACCCCCAACTGGGGACCTGGCCCACAACCCAGGTATGTGGCCTGACTGGGAATCACACCAGCTACCATTTTGATCTCCAGGCCAGCCTTCAACCCCCTGAACCATACCCACCAGGGCTAAATCAAGATAAATCTTAAATCAAGCATTCACATGACATATAAGAGCACTTTTAACTAATCTTACCTTCACTCATCCCTTCCTCTCTATCACCATGAGATCGAAATTTCTCAATACTCTGGCATCCCAACAGTCTGGTGTTACTGGTCTGTCCCCTCAAAGGAAGCATGCCACCTGTGAGGTCCAGTGTGTACCTTTCTTCACAGTACTCTAACCCCTGAAAAAAATGTACAAACATCTTTACCCTTGTGAAATTCTAAGCAAAAAGTCATTCTAAAATTATCCTCTAAATTTAAAGATTTTTTTACACAATACAAAGAAAACAAATTAAACCCTAAAGAGAACATATCATTTATAGGGGCTCTAAAATTTTATATAGCATAAACCACTTATGAAATAAAAGGCTAGCTTTAGTCTCTCAAAAATACCAATCAATCTTCTACAGCTGTCACCGAACACAGGCAACTTCATGCACTTCTGGGTGGCACGTGAACTGGACTAGCCACTGGAATCAGATATACACACACTTGAGGCCAGCAAACCCACTCCTGTGTTTTCACTGAAATTCTCGCTCTGGAATAGCTAGTAGTTTGGGGGGGTTTTTTGCTCATCAATCCCTTTAAGAATCTGATAAAAGATATGAAACTTCCCCCCCAAAGTGCATAATCATAAAAACACCACACATAATTCAGGGACTCATAGATTCCTGTTCCTAAACCCTCAAGCACTGGGTGAAGAGAGCCTGTTCTAGAGGATGAAATGAGAGGGCTGACCAAATGCGGCCACTAGCAGCACCCCACTATCTCAAGAATTCGGCCAGAAAAACAGTCATGTGAAAGGCTAGATGCATTCATCCTTTTACAATTAACTGTCAGTGACAAAACTGTTCACAAAGTTACCTCATGGTTTACTGCTTCATATATTAGAGCAACAAAGTGGGGCTATTTCTCCTGGGTACCATTTAGGCCATAAGCTTCAGTTTTGTCCAATTCACTCACTTGATAAGCAAATGATACCTGGAGTGCTAATAGTGCTACCTTTGTAAAACAGCTGGTCTCCGAATCCCTAACCTAATACGTTTTCCATTATATTATGAATACTTTACTAACTTGAATATAAGAATAACTTTTTAACATCTTAAAACAAAGACTTAAAACAGGTGAACAATGACTAAAATGGTAATATGAAGCTGTATTACCGTTACCATTTACCTCATATAAGATTTGTCCTGATGCCAAACACTTTCTATCACCAAAGGCCAGCTGAAGCAGATGAAAACTCAGCACATCCCCTTCACTGAAGGAAAAAAAGATTAGCCTTTGCTGTAGTATTTCTCCTAAGAAATACTACCGTATTAATTATATTAAGCATCCCTTACTGTCTAGATCAACTTAGTTTGCATACAATATTGAGAGCATGTGATAGAACTGAGGTCATATGAAGAATTCAGTTTTATTTGGTTGTTCTCATAAAACACTGTCCTTTGAAATAAATACTGACTTTCAATTTTTCAATTCTAATTAAGTTAAGCTGATGGAGTTTGTATGCTTTAGGTGACACCTTATATAGCAGAGACTACATAACTGCTTGCCCCGTATTCCTTCTCCCCTTCTTCAATAGGTATGCTTTAGTTAGGCATACAGCCGCCTAAAATATAGTACATCACCCAGCTGCCTTTGCAGCTAGGTATAGCAGGCTCAAGTTCTGGCCAATAGCATGTAAACAGAATTATCCAATGGCAACTACAGAAAACCTTCCTTAAGGTGTCTACCTGTGGGCCAAAGGTAAGGAACCGTGCTTTAAGTCATATGTAGAAACACATACCAACATATATAAGCGATCATCAGATTCTGAGAGAGGTGCATGACCTACTAATTTAAGGGCCCTAATCGTACACTAAAAGTCCACAAAAATACCATTCCCCCCCCAAAAATCTCATCAATAATACTGATGAATGGAACAACCATTATTTAGGAATAAATCATCTAAATTACAAAGTAAATTAAACCTGTCTTAGTAGAAGAATATTTAGGGTACTAGAAAGTGGTTTAAAAATCATTAGAGAATTATTCCCATTTGTTAATTATTCAATGTGTTTTGGATAATGAAAAAAATAAGAGGAGTCACTTAAAAACAAAACAAAACACTCTTCTGCCTGTATTTTAAACTATGATTCCTTTGAGCTTAGAATGAAAGGACTAAGGGAAATGCATATAATTCACAAGGATTTTAGAAAAAAAATCAGAAGCAGATAGTTCTGTGGTTGTAAGAACAGAGTGAACATGACTTATAATTTTAAGAGGAAACCTCTCTAAACTTTAGTGTGGGAATTTAGAAGAAGTGAAAAAAAAATCCACACAAAGAATACATTTTTGAAACTATCATCAAAAGAAATAGTATTCAAAGTAAGTGGAATACAAACAGTTGCTGGAAGGTGCCCCTCACCCCCTGCCACACAGAGCCCTCACAAGGCCCAGTTCCCAATGCTGCTGGTCCGCGTCACACCCAGACGAACAGAAACATGGGTCTGGCCCAAATGATAGGTACCTGCCTCTCTTATTTTCAGCTTTTCTCCAGGATTGACAAATTTCAAAAATGGCAAGTCATTTCCTCATTCATTCACTTACTACAGTGTAAGGTAAGACAAAACCTCAGAAGCGGAGACATCTAACACAGAAACCAATATTGTCCCCAATTCAAGTACATAAATCTAAGAATGGAACTCGGGAAGAGAAAGTACTGGAAGCAGTGGGTGGTCAAGATCATGGCATTTACACCACAAATCTTAATTTCACCGATCATCAAAGAACTAAATAGCTAGGAGAAATAAAAGAAAATCAATACTTACACTGATCTAGCACTGGAAAAAGCTTAGCCGTAAGAAATTAAATTAAAAAGAAAGATTCATCTCTAGTTGTAGTTAGACAAAACTAGAGTTTATGACAGAGAAAAATATACCAAATGAATCCTAAAATATACTGCAAAAGGCAGGTAGAAGGACTAGAAAACAGAGTAGTGATAAATAATGAAAGAGGTATATAAAATAAACAGAAAAAAAGAAATGAGACTGTAAAAGAGAAAAAAAGTTCTTACGAGAGAACACACAGCACCATAAAAACTGCCCAAGGTAGCAAGGGTGCCTGCTCATCTGAATGGGCTCCCTCTTGGACACAACACTGAAACAAGTCAAGCAAACCCCATTTCTTCTCACTGATGTCTGTGCATTACTCAAACACACAGAAATAATCATTGAACTTTTCACATCATTTCAACTACCATTCACTAATTCACAGAATTATGTTGCTTTCACTAAAAAGAGACAACATAGCACAAAGTACAAAATTTCCAAAAGTAATTAACCACTGCTCCATTTTGACAAGTATTTTTTAAAACCACCGGTATCACACTTACCTATCTTGAGTAGACTGAACAGCCCACAAGTAACAGCAGTTACGAGGATCATTCTCAGGTTCTTGAAAAGTAACAGCATATATGGGAACCCTTCCACCTTCCAATTGTGTGTAGTATCTAGAAAAGGCACAAAAATTAGTACACTTCACGCTTTTCAATTATAGCCATGTGAAAAAAAGAAGGTGTTACAATGTAAGATTTTGCACCAGAGTTACTACTGTTTATGAGACCACCTTATCTTTAAAAATACACAGGGTACAGGACAAGACAGTGGGCAGGGCATCCACCCCCCAGGCAGAGCTGGAAGGACTAAAATTACGACACGCGTTCACATACGCCCGCGTGAACTAGCCCTTCCAGCACATGCCAGGGTACGCCACTACGCACCCCTGCACACTGGGAAGTACCCCAGAAAGGGTGAAACACCGCTCCAGCACTCCCTTTTAGCTGTGTGGGTCTAAGAGTCAGTCTCATTACTACAACAAAATGAGTTAGAATCTGAAGAGTTCCCACAAACACCTTCAAAAGCATAATTAGCCAAGAACTGATACTGCTACAGAACACACTGCAGAAGCCAGATTCCCCAGGGACTCTCTCAGGAGCAAGTCAAAGACAGAGCTGGTACAAAGGTATCAGCAGAGAGAGCTGGGATGAACTTCCCACAGGGAGCCACTACAGGATGGATACACAGCATCGGCACTTCACCGGTACAGTACAGGAGAATCCGACTCTGAGGAAGTGCAAAGACAGTCTGGGTTTACCTAAGGGGCTTGTAACACTCTCATATTATCAAAGAACCCAAAGGTAAGAAATGAGCCTATTTGAGATAAGGGAATATTCTTATTTTCCACCTTTCTTTTCTTTACTTCAAATTTGGCAAGTAGGTACCAATTTGTTGGCAAGACTAAGGACTAGCAGCAGAAAGTTCCAAGGGTGACTATTTTGTTGACTCATCTGCAAGATAAATTACTGCAAGATGGCAGTCTAATACACCTTGAAAAAATGAATATTAAATTGACAACTTAAAATACAAATGGGCATTTACTTAACTATTAGTAGAGATTAAATTAAAAACCTATTAATGCCTATTTGCTACCTCCCTCAATAATGGGTTAGTTCCTCAGCGATTTTAACACCATAAATATTAATAAAAAGTATCAGTATAATTGTATTTGGGGTAAGTTTTTCACAGCATAAAAATTTTTAAGCAGTATTTTATAACTGATTTTTTAAAAAGCCTTTGTCTTTCTGTCAACTGCGAACTACCACTTTATATGTATTTACACATATGGTCGTGAAGAAAAGGACTTCTGAAAGAAGTCACACTATACAAATATGCAGAGTTCATCTTTAGAGTCATGCTTCACTGGCAAACTGAACACCACCACAACTGACATACCTTTGAAATATACACTAAAAGAATCAATCTAAAGTCATTCCTTTATTATATCAAGTCATAATTTAATACAATGAAAATTATTCACTCATTCAATCATTAATCTATCCTACCTTGTTCTCCTTAAGCTAATTTTTAAATATTTATAGAGTACACGTTACATTCAGAAAGAAACGACCAAAAATCTAATCACAGAAGAAGGGTATGCTTACTCTCTCTTCATGGTTTTCATATTCCAGAGTGCCAGGTAGCCATCGGAAAAGCCGACGGCCAGCTGGTTTGTCCTGCTCAGGTAGCTGAGCGTCGACACGGCCGTTCCCGACGGGCTTCCTAGCTGGAAGCACAGATGGCGCCCTCCTTTTATCGCGCTTTCTCTGATGTGTGGCACTTCAGCTGGGATGCCAGCTATAACTTCAAGGTCTTAAAAAAAAAAAAGCGAGATAAACTATAAACAACGTAAAAGAAGATGAGTCACCCATTATTCAAGTGGCAACTGAAGACCACTGGGGTAAATCAAAATAAGATTAGTGATAAAATATGATGAACTATAAAATAGCCACTGTTATCTACTGAAATGCCATTAATTTTCAAAATACATTTAATTATGTAATTTTAACCCAAATATATCTCTTGGAGAAATGTCTAGTTTCAGGGATGGGGTAGAGAATATGTAAGGTCAGCCTGGTACACGTTAGTGTCAGAAATCTAGAAAACTATTAAAGTCTAAGAGGAATTTGTCAGACTACATGAAAGAGAACATTTTACGCATCAAAAAACAATAAATGACCTGAAACTAACACAAAATAATGCAGAATGTAAACTGTAATTGAAAAATAATTTTTAAATAATGAAATAAATGAATGAAACACATTAAGTAGGTAAAACCTCAGGAGTTTCCGCTCCTCTCACCTACAAAAGAACTTCCTGAATCACTGGAAATAAGTAGGTACCAGCTTCTTACTCTGAAAATTAGTACTTTAATGAAAGGCAAGCATCTATCTGCATTTTCTGTAAAAACTGTATTTCAGGTTAAACAAACAGCCCTAGTTCATGAGAAAATTCTTCTTTAGATTAACAGAAGTTTAAAACCATCACCTAATGAAAGAGGTGATTTAGGCAACAACCTCAATAAATAAAACAATTAATTTAGAACAAGGCTTTTCAACCTTCACTCTAAGGACGTGTTGGACCAGACAGTTCTTCACGGGGTCCGGGGCAGGGAGGCTGCCGTGTGCACGTAGGATGTGAAGCAGCATCCCCAGCTTTCACCTTCTAGATGTCAGTAGCACCATCTCCCTCCGGTAGTTACAAAGGTTGACGGGAAATTTTAAATAGGAAGAGGAAGGATCACTGTCCCCATCTGAACCCAATGATCACTAAATGTGAAACGAGACACCATGTGTCTCCTGATGTGATACAATATGACAATTCAGAAATACCCAGTACTTCTGAAGTATCCTTACCAAATGTTAAGAATGAATCTAATCAGATACAAAATGTAAATGACACAAAGAAGACAAAGATAATTCCAAAATGTGGGGCATTATTCCAGATGACTTCTTCAGCAAGTCAGTGTTGCTAAAAATAAAGAGGATAGAGAGAAGATTGCTCTGCCTTCAAGGAAATAGGAGATGTCAAGTGTAATGTGTGGACCTTGTCTGGATCCTGGTTCAAACTACCTAAACGCAAAAAGATGCTTTAGAGATGATCACAGAAATCTGATTGTTAGATTGTACCAGAGATTTCAACCTTTTTCATCTCATGGCACACATAAGCTAATTAAAATTCTGTGGCACACCAAAATATATATTTTTTCCTGATCTGACAAAGAAATAGGTATAATTCTGATTCTTTCACTCCAAACAGCTCCTGTCCTGTTGGCTATTGTCACTGTTTTAACATCTGAGGGAGAAGAGGCCACTGTCCCTGACTAAACAATCAGGTGTTGTATGTTTTAAAATTCTAATGGCATACCAGTTAAAAATCACTGGACTATACCAAGGAATTAGTATCAATGTTGTTAGGAGTGGTAATGACATCATGATTATATAGTAAAGTAATCTATTTGCTTTAAATTAATGCTGAAGGAAAGGGGAATAAAAGAAACATACACAAACAGAAATTTTTAAAACTCACTTGAATTTAGGTGATGGGTATGTGTGTTGTGAATTCTTACATTCTTTTATCTACTTGATGATATCAGCAATCTTTAAGAAAACTAACTATTCAGGCCTGTATGTCACTGTAACTGTTGTGCAAGAGTCGATTCCCTCAATGCTATCATGAAGGGGTTCAGAAATCATTATCCCATTGTTCTTGAACAGCTACCCTCCTGATCCCTTCTGTTTCTGATCATTTTTTCGGAGAACAGCAAGTGATTAAATTTTGCCAAAATAAACAGTTCATACAGTGAGATACTGTAAACTTATTTAAGAAAACAAGGTAGCCTCTACATGTACCTATGTGGCAGGATGCGTAAGAAATACCGTTAGGTTTGGAAACATTGCAGAACTGTCTTTACAGTGTGGAAGGAACTTCATTCTCTTTGTTATGTGTGTTTCAATAAAGTCTAAATAATTGTAATCATAAATTATTTTTTATACAAAAAAATCTGCATCGAACTCTAAAACTCAATTTTTTGTGTGCTATAAAAATTCAATACCTTCTTAATTTTCATAATTGAGATAATGGTTCTGTGTCTCTGATCACGATACAGAGTTTAATTATAAAATTACCCTTGTGCTACTTCAACTGATTGTTGACTTCTGAAACAGAAGATGTTTTAACTATTTTTATCTAAAAAGTTTTAATTATGAATATAAGCATTTTAATTAACCTTACACCTGTGATGATATCATACACAAAACACACTCGGGAACAAAACTTTAAGACTATTTAATTCCTTAACAATTTTCTATAAAAGTACAGTTAAACCATTTCTAATAGATTACAAATTCATTTTTAGTTATTTTCGTTAATCAATTCTTTTCATTTAAACTTTACCCAGGATTTTATTAACCAGGTCTTCATACACATAAAAATTTTAAAGTATTTTTTTTATTATTATAAATTTTTTTTCTTAAGTGCATATATGACCATTACTTTTGCAAAGTCAAATTTTTCAGGTTTTATTTTGCAGATCTAAATTTAATTCAAATGACTACTTCAGTCAAGTTCTGGTCAAACTTTTACAGCTTGCAGTTTTAATCAGCTTTATTATATATACTAACAGTTTTTATTACTTATGCTTATTATAAATTGAGAAAAAATATTGATGATTTATCTTTTCCATAGCTGATCTGTAAACGAACAGATCTTCAATAGTACAGGATCGCTTTAAAAATCAAAAAGGTCCTCCAGCCCTGGCTGCTGTGGCTCATGGACTGAGCGCTGACTTGCAAACCAAAGGGTCACCTGTTGGATTCCCAGTCAGGGCGCATGCCTGGGTTGTGGGCCAGGTCCCTGTGGGGGCGCATAGGAGGCAACTACACATTGGTGTTTCTCTCCTTCTCTTTCTCCTTCCTTTCCCCTCTCTAAAAGAAAAATAAATAAATAAAATCTATTTTAAAAACAACAACTCTAAACATAAAAAAAGTTTCTTGAAGGTCTAACAGTTCTTTTCTGAAATAAACATTTTTAAAAAGCTTTACAGTTCCTCCTCCATAAACCAGTCAAGAGCCCATAAACAAAAAAACAAAAACTGAAAGCATTTGAGTAAATTTGCTAATATAAGGATTAGTATTAAATAGGAAAAATGGCCTCTTTTCACTTTAAAAAAAATTTGATTAGCATTAGTTTGGTGTGTTACTTTGTGAAGGAAAACTTTCAGTCACTGTTATTTCCTAGTAAATTACTCCATTTGTCTTGTCTTACTACAGGAGCATAAACAGAATGCCAAAGCACTAGGCTGCAGCCTACATGGATGGATAATAAAATCTTTTTTTTTTTTTAAGTTTTTTGTTTATTTTAGAGAGAGGTGAAGGTAGGGAGAAAGAGGAAGAAAGAAACATTGATGTGCAGAGAAACATCGATTGGTTGCCTCTCACAGGCCCGCAACCAGGGACCTGGCCCATAACCCAGGCACGTGCCCTGACTGGGAAGCGAACAAGCAACCTCTCCCATTGAGCCACACCAGTCAGAGTTGATAATGAAATCTTGATAAGGTTCAAGATTTTATACCTTTAGCTCTTCTTTTGGCATTTACTTAGTAATGGATATTATGCAAATATATATCAGAAAACAAATAAATCGATATCCCTATCTCTTTCAATACCTACATTGATATATGAATACTTCATCAATAAAATAGACTTAAGATGTAAAAAGTATCCAGTGCCCAAAACATTAAAACAAAGGTCCAAACAAAAGAAACAAAGGTACCTAAAGCAATTTCTATATAAAAATTTTTGCCTTTTTAAAAATCAACCCCTCGTATCAGAATACTCAGGTGGTTGATTTCTGGTTTCAAGCAAAGACTAATCACCTGATGCCTCTACTTCATTCTGACTGCACGACAAGTCATCGAGACACAGGTCAATAAGAAGGATCTGTCCGACATTAGTCACCACAGCTGCCACACCAAAAAGCCATCGCAAACTCGGGTGCAAATGCTGCGTGCTTGCGCTGGCTCCTCCGTGATTAATTATAGGTTCAACAGCTGTTACCTAGAAAGTAGAACAAATGATGATGTTAAAGCAGATTATTAGATATAACAGACATTTTCAAGCATTTTCTAATGTAAAATCGTTAGCATCCATTTGATACTTATGAATCTGAATAACATAATGAACTTTTCCAATATAAAAAGAATTATATTGTTACTTCAGTGTATTAAAAATCATGCAGTTGAAATAATTGATGTTTATTGAGAATTTAATATAAGCCAGGAATTGTGCTAATTGGTTTATTTAATATTCATCATAACCCTTTGATATTGGACTATAATTGCATCTGTTTAAAGATGCAACACCCAGAGGCTTAGGAAAATTATCTGAGTTATTCAAGTCACACATTCATTAAATGTAAAATTCAAACCTAGATTTTTCTCACTTTAAAGCTCTTAGCTGCTCTTAAAAGCTCTTAATCTAGGATTATACAGCCTCTTCTCTTAAGGGAGAGTAAAAATAAATCATTTCAGAGAAATGGACTGTTTACTCTTAAAAAAAGTCTTGTTTATGGCCTTAAAGCCATTAGAGGTATACTGTTCTTTAAAAGGGCTACATTATAATGGACTTCACACAAAGCATTAAGAATGATTAAATTACTGACATTTAACAAGGACTGCAATGAAAGAAAATCATACTGTAGCTGCATTATGGAGTTACATTTCCCCTTCATCTCATGAGTGTCTATACCTAATAGTCCATATTTTATACTTAGTTTTCCTTCTGTTTCCTATTAATTCACAAATATTAATTAGGTATGTTATGTGATAATTTTTTGGTGTTTCTACTATAATACTGATAAATGTCCTACAAAGAGTAAATTTGTTATCAATGTTACATACATTAATATAAAATTAGAGTTTATTTCAGGCTGTAATTTTTTTACTATAAACAAGAGCCTGGCTCTACATTTCATTAGTAAATAAAACATTCCATACTGTTTCTAATTCTGAAAGATGTAATTTCATGGATTGTATTCCTTTTCTAAATTATGATAATAATGTCTCTAAATACTAAAGCATATTTTCTTTGATTTCCTCACTGAAGGGTAAGGAAATCTGTCACAGCTTACATTCCACATACGAATACTATATAAACTAAACGACAATCCTATCCTATTTTATTTTAAAATAAGACAGTTAAAAGCACACAAATTTAAGAGGCGATATTGTGCCCTACTCCCAAAAGTCAGTTAGTTGAACTTCCTTGAATGTTACCTATCACTATTCTTCATATCTTTCCCTTCTCCTACATTCTCTTTCCCAAGTGACACCAGCCACCCACCCAAATGAACTACGAAAACTTAGGTAAGTTCCTTCTCTATCACTCTAATCCAAATAATCAAGTCCTGTCTGTGTTATCTCCTGAGTATACACTGAAGCTGTCCCACCCTCTGTTTCTACTGTCATTTCTTTGGTTCAGTTCATCATCATTTACCTGAGCTACCCCAATACAAGGAGCTTTTTACAGTTGAGTTCTGCTTTCAATTTAAAATGATTTCACCATAGACTTTAGGAGGAAGCCCCTAACTGCAAACAAAGCTATTCACAATCTCAATCTTCAGCATTTCTGGCTCCTACTTCTTACTTCCCTCTCCCCGAGCAATTCTAAATAAGCCTAGTTTTCCAAATGCTGCATACACTGTGACTTTTTACATTCTGGTCCTTTTGCCTGAAATGTCCAGTCTTTTTGAGTAGAAATTATTCAGGAGTTCTCCATGTTCTAAATGGAAGAATCTGTGAAAATACTTATATTTATGCTGTTATCTTATTGTCGGTTTTCTCCTACTGGACCACAAGCTTTCTGACAGCAGGAACCAAGTTCAATTCATCTACTTATCTTCAAAATCTAGCACATAGCTTTTTATAGTGAGCACTCAATATATGTATTACTAGATTAATTCTGTCTTAGAATCACCACTGGTAAGTACATATGAGATACTCAGCTATAAATTACTTCAGATTTCCACATTAGCCCACAGTCTTCCTCACTGTAAAAATATATTTTATCATTAACCTCCCTCTTAACTTTAAAAACTCTATGACTGTATACATTATATATACATACATATTTCTTAAAAAAATTTACAATGTTTATTGATTTTAGAGAGAGGGAGAGAAACATCCATTGGTTGCCTCCCATACACACCATGACTGGGAACTGAACTCGCAACCTCAGTATGCACCTCGATCAGAAATTGAACCCCCAACTTTTGGTGTACAGGATGATGCTCCAGCCAACTGGAGCCACAGTGGCAAGGGCCATACATACACTTTTATGCATATCTCAAGTACATACTTTTCTCACACCAAGTACAGAAAGAATTCTACTCCTCCATGACTGTATATGGGGGTGTGAGCGTGCATTTTGAGTGTACGCATGTTCTCCCCATGTACGGAAGAGCAGCTGCAAACCTGCCGAAGACAAATCAAATTCAAAGTACTTGTACAATTACTACTGGGGAAGATGCCTGGCATATGGAGGACATACAGATACTAGAACTAATAAATAGTAATTAATTATAAGTGAAACCACCACTTAAATATATCACTCAAATCTTAACAACAAAGACATGCTTTCCATATCGCTCCAAGGCTATACAGTTGCCCCTTAAACAACATGGGTTTGAACTCCACATATGGGTCCACTTCTCTTCTTTAGGATTTTTCCCTCTAGCTTACTTATTTCATTGTAAGAATACAGTCTATAATACATGTAACATACCAAGTATGTGTTAACTGTATCAGTAAGACTTTTAGTCAACAATAGGCTATTAAGTTTTGGGGAAGTCAAAAGTTATAAGCAGATTTTCAGCTGTGCCGGGGCGGGGGGTGTGTGAGGTGGGTAGAGGAATCAGGGCCTCTAACCCCTGCATTGTTCAAGGGTCAGCTGTAGTCACACACAAAAAATGCCCACAGTAATAAATATTTTATAAGTATTTTTATAAACTTTTTTATTTTGAATTTTTAAATGAAAAATAACACTTCCATAAAAGTGAACCAATTAGAAGTGCATATACAGCTCAATGAATGTTCACAAAGTGGAACTGCCTGTGCAACCAGTAGGGGTTCAGTTTTGAAAACAATGTCCACACATCTTAAACAGTACCTACCCTTCCAGGAAGAACAACTGCTTTAACCACTCTTGATATACCGAGGTCATACAGACAAAGGACACTTCCTTCCGCATCTTCCAATCCAATTAACAATCCGGTTCTCTTCTGCCAAGAGAACTCTTTCACAGCTAGGATTATCGGTGGCTCATCATTCACACCACTGAACCTATAGGCAGACAGCCGCTCTCCCGTCAGAGAATTTACTACCTCGAGTTGTGGACCACAACTCAAGTAAGCAAGTCCATTTTTCCCTAGAAGAAAAGCAAGCAAATATGTTGCTTATTTTAATATTGTATGTACACAACACAATTATAGGCTTTTGCATGTATAATAGTTCATTATACAAAACTTTATATGATATCTCCAAATTGAAATCTAAACACTTATAAAAGAATGGTCCTCAATTTAGTCAAATAAACTGAACTACTATCACAATAATTAACCATTCAGTAAAGGAACCATTATTTCATTTACTCTTAATACATACCTTAATACAGAGATAAGGCAAGTAAACATTCATAAGTGGGATCCCAAGTCTGTCTAATTCCAAAGCTCAAATTTTAACTACATTATACCTTAAGAGTTAAAATACATGTCATAAAATGTTAACACATGACTTTAATCCAGAAGAGTTCAAATTCCAACTGAGACATAACTAACATAATAGGAAATATTACAAGCCCTTCTTGGCCCCTTACTTGTCATGTTTGGATTTTAATCTGCATGCAATGTAAAGTAACTACAGAGTATTAAGCAGGACACTGACAATCTGATTTACGTTTTTAAATGTTCCTCCAGCTGCTAAGTAGAGAATGAACCACAAGGGGGAAGCACAGAAAAGTAAGGAGATGATACTTATGCTTGATTGGTTGCCATTAAGAAGGAAAAATTGACGGACTGAAGGTTCATGTTAAGAGGCAGAACGAAAAGGATCTGCTTGCTGATGAATACGATATGGCTCCCTGAGTGAAACAGGAGAATCAGGAACAGACTCCGAATTTTCCCTTGGGCTGCTAGATGGATAGCGGTAATTTTCACTACTAAATTTGCAATGTCTCTCATGCATCTAGGTAAACAGATAGCTGGATATACTAGATTATGGCAGAGGGGAGGCTATAGGGCCTAGTGAAATAGTATGGCACAGTGGTGACACAGAAGACATGGGGTCAAAGCTCATTTTTGCCACTTGCACAACTAAGATCAAGTTGCTTCACCTATTTGATTCTGAACTGCATAGAACAGTGACTTTGTCGTAGAAAAGTCTAATACTTCACCTTAATAAAAAGTCATCACAGTGCCTAGCATATATTCAATACTGTTCCTACTTTTAATATTCAAGAGAATAGCACTGTAAATAGCTAAGTGCCCAATAAATATGCTTTGCTTGTCTGCCTGCTAGGAAGGATGGTTGTGATATTCACTTTCAGAAAAGTCTGCTGCAATATCTTTCACTAAAATGAAATCCGTAATTTAATGCCTTCTTTGGTACGGTTTCTGCTGTATTATATAATCCAAAACATATACTGAGATCTTGTTCAGATTAATGGAATTACAGAAAGATTTTCTAAATATTTTGTCTTATGCAAGCCCTAAAAATCAGAAATTATCTACTCATAAGACTGTTTAGGTTCTACCTCAAACTCAGCAATAAAAGGTACTAATTATAAAGAAAAACCAGCTGTATGTTATTTCTACTTTCCAAATGTAGACAGTACTAAAAGATATAAAATATACGATACTTTTAACAAGAAAATAAACTATACCCCCCAGAGAGCGACTAACGTGTTCTCGAGTGTGTATGCTATTACACCTGTAGTCGTAGATGTTAATATATTTACGTAAGATCACTCTAAATAGATTCTGCTTCTCGTTCACCGTAAAGAAATCTCAATAGTCAAATCAAATCAATCAATCAGTACATTTTCAGCAACATTATTTACCTGCAGCAAACTTCCCACGAAGTACAGACTCTAATGTTATTTCATCTTCTCCCAGGGCTTCAATGGTCACTTCTGGGAACTGCAGAAGATCACTAGTCACTTGTGCTGCTAAGTCTTGCATACTTCCACTGGAATTTTTTTAAAAGATATTATTATGATATATCTCTACTATCTCTAGCCAGAATAAAAAGAAAAAAACACACAAAAACTTAAAAAACTAAAACTAAAATCTGATTATGAAATACATATTATGTGCTTCTGGGTTTGAGGTATTCTCTCCTAAAAAAATTATTTCCCAAACAGCCCAGGAGAGTAAAGATTCATTAAACCAGTTGTTCTAAGGATATACATGATTACCTAGAATTAATCTTATTGCATGACTCACTCTGAAAGAACATGTCACACACCAAAAATATTAATATATATTTGAGAAAAATTACTACTAAGGTAGAAGGGGAGAAGTCCATGAAAAAATGTCCAAACCCACAGTAACCTCAGGTACTGAGTTTAATACATGTCTTTAAATAGATAGAAAAATTTTTAATTATCCTTCATTTCCAATATATAGAAGACTAGATTCCTTGAATGACTCCCATTGTAAACAAGCAAAAAAGATGGTTAAAATATCAAAGTATTTTTTTTCAATGGTTAATGAGTTAGCAAAGCCAAAAGTGAAGAGACAGCAGGAAGACAAGCAAGCTGGCTTGAGCCTTGAGGATGAGCTACCAAATCCAATCCAGGTGACCCTGATCTTGTTTTCAGCACTCTGAAGTCCACAAAGACAAAGGAAGAAGACAAAGCTTATGGCTAACAGAGCCAATGCAAATAAGAGGAGGTTCCCCACCCCACCACACTACATTAAACTCCATAAGGCTCCATCGTCAGCATAAATGTGAGAGAGAGCACCCATAGTGCAGGACAGAAGAATAAAGCCACCTAATTTGACCTTGGCTGTAAGTCTCTACTCAGAAAAATAAAACTCTCCCCTTCACACACATTAGTGGCCAGAATTCAAGCTATGTTATCTGAAAATATTCAGATGAAGATCCAATGAAAATGAACCTACAGTCAAAATAACAAAATAGACTTAGGATATCATGATCAACAGCTAGTTAAATTATAAATTAGTCTGTCAAAGACTTCAGATACTGAAATAATCAGAAAATGGTATGTTTAATATGCCTAAAGATTAAGCTTGTGAGGAAGAACCTTTAAAAATTAAAATAAAAATGGTCAAGTGGATTTGAAAAAAAAAAACAACTTCTAGAGTAAGAAATGAAATAAGTAAAGTTTAACTCAATGGGAGAAACTCAAAGGAGTGATGAGAATGTTGCAGCTACATGCAACAATATGAACAAACACCAGAATATAACATTAAACAACAAAAGCAGAAAATACATTTAGAATGATTATAATTTATTAAGCTACAAAGACCATAAATCTAAACAAAACATTGCCTAACAAAAAGAACATATGTAGCAAAACTACAAATGAAACAAGATAATAATGAACACAAAATCCACAGTAGTTACTTCTGAAAGGAGAAAAAACAGATTAGAATAGAAAGGAATATACATGAGACTCCAAGGTAATGGTCAAGTTCTTTTTCCAAAACTCGGTGGTGAGTACATAGGTATTCACTGCATCGTGGTTCTTTATAACTTAAAAATATTCCTTTGTGCCCACTCAACAATTAATAGACCATAGAGGGAGACGACCTACCATGTTTATTCAGAATCCCCTCGCCTGCCACCAGTGTAACACTAATAGCAAAGAACAGGCTAAAAAACAGTTTGATATTCGCTAGTTAACGGACAAACAGATGAATGAAACAGATAATCTAGACACAGAACCACCAACATTCAGTAGATAATAAAAAGCCTGTTTAGATATTTCAAATCAGAAAGGAAGTATGGACTATCCAATTAACATTACTGGTACAATTTGCTTTTCATTTCCAGCAAGGAAATCACATATTGGTGGAGGGAGAAGTTACACACATTACCCACACGCCCCCCCCCTTTAATACCTAGAAAATGTGTGCGCACATGTGTGAGTATGTGCACATCATGAAGCAATACAGAAGTGAGTTAAAAAAATCCAGATATTTCTAATACCCTGCAGTTTGGAAAGAAGTAAGCTGAAGGGGTGAAGATAATTTTAGGTCTAGAAGCCTTTAATACAGACACTGCCGACATCAGCAGAGGGCCATTTATTAATCTGGGACACTGTGCTGCTTTCTTGGGAGAAAGGCATTAAAAGTCCAAAGGTATCTTTCTAGCAGGAGAGTGATCCCAGGTACAGGTCACTTCTCCAGGTAAGAGGTTTCCCAGCAGGGACTAGGCTCAACTATAACACTCAACCCAAGTCACTCTCATAGAAGAAAATCAATACCATCAAACTGAAGTCTGTGGTAGAACAAAAGTATAACAAGCCATTCAAAAGACCTTCTTAAAAACCAAACAACATTTTTTAAAAATTGTACTCATTTATTTTTAGAGAAAGGGGAAAGGAGGGAGAAAAAGAAACACTGATGTGAGAAATACTGACTGGCTGCATCTCCATGTGAACTCACAACCCGGTCACGTGCCCTGACCAGCAGTCAAACCGGGGACCTTTCGCTTTACGGAGCGACACCCAACCAACTGAGCCACACTGGTCAGGGCCAAATGAACACCATTTTTAAAAAATGAAATAACTGCTGTATTAAAACAATTCCTGTGCCTTAAATTTTGTTCTATTTTTCCCACAAAATTAATTTTCTAAAAAATAGCATTTAGTTTATTCCATTTCATAAAATTAGTCTCTGTGTGAATTCTTCTCTGTGTATCTGCATACACAGATGTCTGAAATAATTACAAAAAGTCAGTACTGTTTACTTTGCGATCCAAATTTGGGATGACCCGTTTCTTTATATTTTTTTGGTACGACCTGGATTTTAAAAACATTTTTCGTTTTTATAAAATGACAAATAATTTTTAAAAATAGAACTAAAACTAAAACGAATAAAACTTTGAAAATACAGAAGATAGCCATTTTGAGAAAGAACAACAGTCTGAGGAATCACACTACCTGATATCACTTACGCCAAAACTCTGAGGACTTAGCTAAAACAATGATTCTCCAAGAAACTTTCCCTGATCCCCAAACCCTCCCCTACCCCCCACATCTACGTTAAGTTATAATCCTCTCTGTTCCTAGTGCACCTGGCACTTCCCCATCACGCTTGGCACTCACCACACCGCAAATGCCTCTCTGTGTCCCCAGCCCCACTGCAAGCTCTCAGGAGACAAGCGTGCACCTCGCTCATCACCTGACCCCAGCAGTTCCCACACTGTGGGGAGGGCACAAAATACTGGTTAAATCCATGAATAAATGATTTCCTTCTCTCCCCCTTACCATGCAAGATGTGTTTACCAGAAACTGCCCACTTCACAAAACAAAAAAGAAACACTGCCCTCCTATCATTTCTATTCCCAAAGACTCAGCCTTTGTTAAATGGCAGATCTCCACCTAGACGGTCTATGGTCCTTCGACCTCTAGCTTGTTCTTCCTTGCCATTCTTATTCTCTACTCAAAGCTTTAACTGGCAAGTACTTAAACCCTGCCACAAAAAATGTATGTGAAAATAATTTAAAGTTAACAAAAAGATCAATTATAATTTTTGGTTTAGTGTATAAATGCTATTTTATAAATTAAAATGTGACCAACTGCCTCGAAAAACTTAGATTCATCACTATTAACTAAAAAAAAACTTTAAAAATTATGTCTCAGAATGCTCGGTCATTAAGAATGAAAATCTTTTGCCCTGGCCACTGTGGCTCAGTTGGTTGGAGAGTCATCTAATATAACATAAAGTTGGGAGTTTGATTCCCGGTCAGGGCATATACCTAGGTTGGAAGTTCAATCCTGGTTTGGGGTGTGGATGGGAGAAAATCAATCAATGTTTCTCTCTCATATTGATTTTTTCCTCTCTATCTCTCTACCCCCCCCTTCCTGCCTCTCTAAAATCAATAAACATATTTTTTTAAGTAGAAGTCGTTTTATTATACAAAACAGATCCAAAATAGTACTATAATTGAGTTATAATTACTGTACTATATAGTCAATGGAAAATAATGACTATTAGCCTGAAATACACAACCTCATAAAGGGTCCTAGCAGTCCTTAGTTGCTAAAAGGACTGTATTTACACAAATTGATCACGTCCTTCTTTCTTAGTATCTTAGCATAGAAGAAATTTTTAAACAAATTTAGGCAGGAAAAGCCACCATCACTGGTATTATGTTGTTTCCTCCTATATCCTTGATAGAAACCAGTGTGTGTGTGGCAGGGGGGAGGAATGGGGATGATGGTTTCAGGGTGATTCAAGCTCATTACATTCAAGCTTACTTACTTTCTGGTGTGCAGCCAAGTTCCTAACAGACCTGGACCAGCACCAGTCCACGGCCTGGAGGGTGGGGACCCTTGGGTTAGAGCATCACCCCCATACACTGAAGTTGCCAGTTCAGTCCTGCCAGGGCTCATGTAAGAATCAACCAATGAATGCATCCATAAGTGCAACAACAAATAGATGTTTCTTTCTCCCTCTTCCAAATCAATTTTTTTAAAAAGTTATTCAGAAAATGGTCTTGCAAGCAAAGCAGTGGGAAAATACAACCCTCAATAAGTGGGGAAAAAACAACCAACAGAAACAGTCCTAAAAATGACACATAGCTTAGAATTAGTAGATGAGGATAACTAAAAATAAGTTATTCTAGCCTTTATGTCCAAGAGAGAGGAAAGCATGGGCATGTTAGTAAGATTTGGAAGATATAAATAACACTAAATCAAATCTCTAGAGATGATAAATTCACTGAATGAGATTGACAGATTAGACATAGGAAGTTGTAGTACATATAAACATCCACAGTGAAAACTATCTAAAACGAAGCACAGAGAGAAAAAAGGCTAGGACCAGGAGGAAGAAGGCAGAGCTGTAGCAGAACATCGAGTGCCCTAATATTTGTAACACAAATCTCCAAAAGGAGAAGACTGAAACAGTTGAAAAACAAATGGCCAAATTTTTTCCTAATTCGATGACAACTATAATCCCACAAATCCAAAAAGGTCAGTGAACCTCAAAGCACAAGAAACATGAAAAAACCACCAAAATTTTTCAAAATCAAAGGACAAAGAGATCTGAAATGTAGCACCCCACACAAAGTAACAAATATGACAATGGCAAGAGGCTTTTCATTGAAAACAATGCAAGCCATCAAATGACAGTGAAACATCACATTTTAAGTTCCAAAAGAAAAAAGCTTTTGTGACATACAACCTCTAAAAAGTGACTTACGAAGTTTCAACTTCTCAAGGTCTAGACAGGCACAGCAAGAACAATGTGCTGGCTGCCACTGGAAACACTGAGTATTTTCTTGACAGTGCACATGGATTATATCACTCCTCTCCTCAAAACTCTTCAACAACTCCCCACTGCACATTAAAAGTAACACCTTCAGCCTGAGGCAATCAAGGCTCTCTATAATTTGGAAGTTGCAGATTATCTTTACAGCATTGCTTCCCAAACCACTTATTTCATCAGTATGCTATAGCCTACCACTTTTATTCTTTTATTTATGCTGTTTCTGCTTCCACCTCTATCGGACAAAGCCCATCAGTCACACATGAGATTCCCAGTGTGGTCTGGATACAGCATCCTTTCCTATTTGATCTCATCTCTAAGATCACTACTTTTCCTCTTTGTGTTAGTAATCCTAAATGTAGTTTTTAAAATTCATTACCTGTGTTTGCCTGTCTTCTCCATTATACTATGAATTTCTAAAAGGCAAAAATCATCTCTTATGCCTGTGAATTCCAGAGGGTCACAACGACTTGCAACTAACAGGTTATAAACATGTGGTAAATTAGGACAGTAAAATACTAGCAGGGACAGGAATAGACACATTAAACAATCATTTCAATTAAAGAAAAAACCCTCAATATTCTTAAAACCCAGCAAGAAAACAACCTCATATAAAAACTGGCCAGGGACCTTAGACAGACATCTCAATAAAGAAGATATACAGATAGCAAACAAGCACAGGAAAAGATGCTCCACATATAGTATGTCTTGGGGGAAACACAAGTTAAAACAACATCAAGCCCTGGCCAGGTAGCTCAGTTGGCTGGAGTGTCATCCCTACACCAAAAGGCTGCAGGTTCCATCCCCAGGCAGCGCACAACGGGAGGCAACCTACTGATGCTTCTCTCTCCTCTCTAAAATCAGTGAGCATATCCTTGGGCGAGGATTAAAACAAACAGAAGAAAAAAACAAAACACCACCAGATCAAGAAGTCACAGTAGCTTCTGTCCCGTCTGGAGTGGCAGCAAGCAGCCTCAGGCCTTTGGCAACGAGACAAGCAGACCTGCAGGTTGAAGCGTAAAAGTAATGAATGGAGCTCTGAAAGGAATTAAAGGTGGTGGCTGTGGACTTTGAGAAAAGTAATACGAAAACCACCCTCTTAAGATGTTGAGTGTAAGGATCTTCATGATGAAATTTCTATAAATGGGACAGGCAAAACCTTGTTTCTGAGGATGAAACAGACCCTCCAGAAGACACTAACCAGCGGTAACACTGTATCAGCTGCCCTGGACCCAAAGTGGGATTTTTCTCTTACGGCTACAGTATAAGACACAGAACTGAACTGCTTTGCCTGAAGCAAGTGAAACGATTCCTCTCCTGTCATATGTGATTGCCGGTGGTGCTAGACAGTATCAGTGCGGCCTACTGCTAATTGCTAATGTCTATAAAGCAATTCCCCCAAGAAAGATTCATTTCAGAGCTCTTTGGACTTCATCTCCAAAAGCAGCCCAATGATTCAAGTGACAGGGAGTTTATCCCAGCAAATCTTGGGCAGTTAGTGAAATCTGGATATAACTAACAACATTCAGAACATCACAGCTTAGGTGATCTGAGCATTGCCTGTGTATTGGCAGAAGTGCAGTGACTGTAAATCGAAGGTAATTCACATGTGATGCTCTTCTGCAGGAAACATACTCAGCCTAGAAAAACATTTTCTCGGAGTGGAATTCTATTTAGCCAAATACAGAACACTGACAATACCAAACGCTGTGAAGGTGTGAGCAACAAGAACTCTCATTCACTGTTGGTGGGAATACAAAATGGTGCCTGCACTTTGGAAGACAGTTTGACAGTTTCTTACAAAACAAAAGATAATCGTACCATATGACCCAACAACTGCAATCCAAAGGAGCTGAAAACATGTCTATACAAAAACCTGCACATGGGTATTTGTAACAGCTTTATAATGATCAAAACCTGGAAACAACCAACATGCCCCTCAGTAAGTAAATGGACAAACAGCGGTACAATCCATACGGCTATTCAGTGCTTATGAAAAAAAGCTGTCAAGCCACGAAAAGACATGGAGGATGTTTAAATGCTTATCTCTAAGTGAAAGAAGCACATCAGAAAAGGTTACACACTGCATGATTCCAATTATATGACATTCTGAAAAAGGCAAAACTGGAAACAGCAAAAAGATGAATGGTTGCTAGGGGTCAGCAGAGAGGGGGAGATGAACAGGCAGAACACAAGATTCATGGGCAGTGAAACTACTTTGACACTAATGGCGGATACATGCCGTTATACATTGTCCAAACCCACAGAATGTACACCACCAGGAGTAAACCACGGACGATGACACATCAATGAGGGTTCAGCATCCATTCTGATTGGGTGGGGGAAGCTATGCATGACTACAGGCAGGGAATGGACTATACTGGAAACCTCTGTACCTTCCACTCAATTTTGCTGTGAACCCAAAACTGCTCTAAAAACTCAATGTTGGGCCTAACTCATTTTTAAGTATACTACATTGTTTCAGTTTTAAGCAAAGCAAAATTACTAGGAAAGATTAATACAGAATACACATCCTCAAATGTGGCTAAATTCCACTACAGAATATAAAACTAGTTGTTCATCTAGTTGTTCAATAATTACACTGCAACTTATACTGAGCAAACATTTCTACAAAATATTTTATGTGCATATTTACTTTTTCTTTTTGACTCAAAAAGACAGTTATGATTTAAATGTAAACAGTGGACCCAGAAACTTAGAACTTTTTAGCAAGTGATTTTCCAACTTAATTCAAGCATTTATTAACCGCCAAGTACTTTTAAAACGTTGTACTGGAAAAGGAATGTAGGGGCAGAAAGATCACCTACTTCCTGAATTAAAGGAGTTCCATTCTGAAAAGGAGATACATACCCATTAGAATATCAGAGCAAATAAATGCCACAATGGAGGTATTCAATACAGATGTTGTGAGATCCCAGGAAAGACGTGGGATACAGAGGAATGAAAGAGTGCACAGAAAAGATGGTATTTACACTAAAAAGGATTTGAATTTGAGATCTTGAAAAAGGCAGAGGTGGCACTCCAGGCTGAAAGCCATCGGCAAAGGAACATCAAAGTGCACCTTTAAGGAAACGGGCCCAGGATCACCATTCTGGAGTAGCTGAAGTGCCGTGTGCGACCTGCTCAGGCCGAAGAGAAGAAGAACCTCATTGTGTTACGGAGACAACGGTAGGTAACAGTCCCAGTGAGGGCTTCTCGAAAAAGGTTCACGGTTAGGGAAGAAACAAGGTCTGGCTTCCTCTCAAATCCAGAGGTGTCTGTCACAAAATCGCCGTGTACAAATCTTTAGAAAAATAACTACTGCTGTTCTGCACATTGTGACACTTGGGTACTAGGTTACGGTAAGATCAAGGATCGAAGACGACAGTACAGAAAAGAACGCAGTCTTCTTCCAGCGCTTAACACGGAGCATCTCTCCAGCACTCGTGGGAGCTGGGCTTGCTATCCCTGGCTAACCACCCCAGAAAAAGGAGACCTATCCCCATTTCTTCTCTCCCCACAGGCCCACTCGGTGAACGTTCATGACAGAGGCTATTCAAGTCTCCTGGCTCCTGACGATGACTTGAGAATAAAACGAAGTTTAGAGTTTCCAAGAGACTTATATTTTACCCTAAAGGACCCAGGTTCTTCCAAATATTTCTCCAACTGTCTATTCAAAAGAGAAGAACAACATCTATTACAAATAAACTTCCCCCACAAAAGTCAACCATTAATAAAAGTTTCTATCCTCGAGCTTCCAGGTGGATGTTGGGCACTTTAATACCCACTCGAGGGTGTACGGTTATTTTAACTCTCCGGGCCCTTAACAAGAGCCAGTTAATACCCACTTCAAGACGTCCGGCGGTTTTAAATCTCCGTCCCCTGACCCAGTCACCGCACCTTTTAAATCACGAGTCAAACTTTTTCCCCGCCCTGGACTCACCCGAGCCAAGCCCAGCAGCATGTGGAGTACAGACCGTCGTACAGCCAACTCAAAACGCCTTCGGGAACCCCCAGGGGAGGAGATCCCGTCCAGGTCGAACGGCTAGACCGTGAGGACCTGGCTGCCATCGCGGAGTAAACCCCGCAGCGCGTCTCCGCCGCCATGTGCCCGAACCGCAGCTTACATAAGCCGTGCTTCGAGCGTGCAGCAACCGCCAACGCTCGCGCTCGCCCCCTCGGGCCCGGTCCGCGGCCGCCCGTTGGGCGGGTAAAAGCCCGGCCTAGGCCGGGCACGAGGCGGGCCCCGCGGGCAAGGCGCGGCGAGACCCAACCGGGCGCCGCACGGGGCCCAGGCCGCCCAGACCCGCCTTCCGCCGCAGGAGCCCAACACCCTCCTCCCCTTCCCCCTACCCACCTGAGAAAGGCGGGTGACCGAGCCGCCGGGGCCGCCGAGTCCAGTGGGGCGCGAGGCGTGAGCTCCTCCCGCGCGGGGCCGTCACAGCATCTCCCGGGAGACACGATCGCCACTGGCAGGAGGCGCGCGCCTCCGCCGCGCGGAAGCCGCTGCTCTTCTCGCGGGCCTCCGCCGACGTCCTCCCTGACCGACCACCTTACAGCCCGAGAGTGCCTGCGCCAGCTGCAGGCCGGCTGACCGCTCGGCGACTAAAACGCAGACGCTGCCCGCGCCGCGGTTCCGGGTCCTCCCCCACGCGACTCTGCCTCCTCCGCCTGGACAGCGCCGGCCCTCCTTTGCGCAGTACCCAGGGCAGACGGAGCGAGTCCCACACGCCCCGGAGGGGAGGGAAGAAGCAGTGCGGAGAGGGAGGGGAGACCGCAAGGAGATCGCGGCGCGGAGACCTGAGTTCTCGCGATTGTTCCGACTTCGGGGGTGGGGGCGTGCTGCGCCGCGGGAATTTTTAAACGCCGCGTGGAAGGTGGGGGAAGAAAAGAGAGGAAAGGGAAGTAAGGTCGGGAAAGGCAGTCCTTACAAAAAATAGAATCTGCCCGCCTCCAAGGAGCTGAGGGGAAGAAAGACTACGATTCCCACAATGCCTTGGGCATTGAATGGCTGGGGCTACTAGACTCAAGGGTCCAGAGCAGAGTCGGGAATGGTAGTCTTAGACTAAGGTCGTGCTGGGCGGGCCCCTCCTGCCTCTGGGTCCCGCCGTGAGACGTCTGTGGCGGGAGAGTCGCTACATTATCGTCCAGCCGCGTTTGCTGGCTGACAAGTGATAATTTTTTGCCCTCCTGGCAACCCCATTTGCCCTCGGTGTTATTCTTTCTCTGTGCTCCTACTTCTGGTGCTAAAGACGAGCACCAGGCTAATGCGGGAATATCCGAGTGTGCTTTCAAATCAGGGTTACTTACCTTTTTGGTCACCCTTGAATTTTACTATAGAGCTTTTTTGTTGTTGTTTTGCTGTCAGTATCTTTGAAGCTTCATACGCGTTTCAGACAAACAGATGTGGTATGTATAGGTAATAGTAAATATTGAATACCAAATAAAAGGATTATAACGCGAGGTAGAGACTTCAAGCAGGCCGATTTTTTTTTTTTTTTTTTTTTTTTAAGGAATAAAGCAGCAATTTTCAACAGATGTGCTATGGCAGACACACTGGTTTGGTGCAAGAATTTTTTTTTTTAAGATTATTTATTTTTAGAGAGAGAGGAAGGGAAGGAGAAAGAGGAAGAGAGACATCAGTGTGCGGTTGCCTCTTGCACACCCCCTACTGGTGTTATGGCCCACAACCCAAGCATGTGCCCTGACTGGGAATTGAACTGGTGACATTTGGGTTCGCAGGCTGGAGCCATACCAGCCAGGGCAGGCTGATTTTTTTTTAATCAAAAAAAGTTTATATATATATTTTAAAAAGCTTACCCTTTCCTGTTAACCCTCTCATGTATTTTGAGATATGCTGTCTTTTACAAATGCAATTTTTTTTCTATAATTGTTTTTTAACTGGCAGAAACCTCTAAGTGTAACATACTTGTTTGCAAAAGGTACTGACTGGACAAAGTTGGTGCAGAGAAGGAGGTAAAAGAGGTTTTTGGTTGTTTATCTTTATTTTAAATGGGCCTTTTTAAATAGAAACCACCTCTGTCAAATGTGTTGATTTATGTCTTTGCCTTGCTCCCCATTCTGCACTTTCTTTGGCATCATTTTATGCTCAATTCGTGAGTCCTGTACTTCTTGGTAGTCCAAAGACATGAGTTTCCAAACCAGGTAAGTCGCTAGTGAGCTGTGTGAGATAAGGAAAACTAAGTGACCTCTCCGCACTGATGTTATCAGATGGGTAGAGCAAGAGGAAGCAGATTAGACAATCTACTGAATCATTAGATAGACATTTGTTAATTTGGCTGTAAGAGCCCTACCAATTGTAAAATCCAAAAATCTGTCTCATCACACTTAATATCCAGATTAATCGACTTTGTAACTGATCTTCCAGGTTTTCATCATCCCCTTCCATTATTACAAACAGAATGGTTTCTGTTTGATTATCTATAATCTGGATGAGCCCCGCCTTTCCTACTTACCTACATAGTTCCTGAAAATCACTTCTTCATTCTTCTCCAAACATATTTTTGTGTTTTTGTGTGTCTTCCAGCCTCTTCTCCCCTTATCGAAATCTTAATATCCCCCAGGATGCAGCTCAAGCCTCCTTTCTCTCCCAAGTCTTCCTTTCACCTTCAGCCCACATTAATCACTAAGAACTTGCACTGAAAATATGCTGCCTATTATTTTATGTCTGTTTCTTTTTTTGCTTCTGACTCCATCCACCCACCACCTCCACCTCCCAGCTACACCGAGAGCACAGACTGTATCTTAAACGTTTTAAAATGCTTCCCTCGTAACTGCTAGTTTTTTCATTTGAATTGCTGTGTAAACTGAATTTCCATTTTGAAACTCTCCTTCAACCCTCCCCTTTTCACTGATTTAACTAAGCATACGCCCAATTATTTAAGTTGTTTTCAAGAGACGTTAATAATGGTAAGTGAAAAAAATATTTGATCATCAAACAAGTTTGGGGGAAAGCTGATTAAATAAAATCAAACATTTCTTTTATGTACTGCTTCACTGCCTTGAACATGCTTGGCATTCCAAAAGTTACTTGGCCATGGTATGAATCCATTTAGGCTTGTGGAAGATCTTGCCGTAATAGTGTTCCACACAATGAACGTTGGTCAACACAGCTTCTGAGCTTCCCTTTTCCAGAGGAAACATTGTGTAGTAAAAAGAATATGGTCTTTTGGAGCCAGACAAACTTCGGTTTTCATTCTTTTCACTACTCTAGCAGCACAACTGTAATCGAATTTCTTCACTCTGTAGCATGTTTTCTCATCGAAAAAGAAATGATGCTATTTGTTTCCTTTGCAGAGCTGTTGCAAAGATTAAAGGGAAGTATATACCCAGCTCAGAACTTCATTTTCCTTTCTACCTATGTGGTCATTCATTATTTTGGTAAAAGGCCTAGAAAGTGACAATGTGGGCTAGTGTGGACCCTCTTGCTTCCATCTGGAATGTTTACTCACTCAAGAGGCAATAGTTCAATACCAATCCAGCATCCTGATAGTGAGGAATAGCCAACTGATTTCAGAAAATTTAGAACCTCACTGTAGTGTTCTGAATTAGATCTCATTTGTTTTACAAAGCAACAGTGGGCGGAGGGGGGAGTACTTGATATTTTAATAACAAAAACAAAATGGAATTTATCTATCTCAAAGAGAGGCAATACCTCTGTCCTGACAGTTCCATTTTCATCATTTTTGTAGGGACTATTGGTTATAATAAGCAGTGCCCCAACCATACTTTCTCCAATGGAAAATACGCTTGGTGAGTGAAGAGTCGTATCTTTCTTGTTCCCCACTGCATTTCCAGGGACTGCATAGTGGCTGGTATATAAATAAGGGCAAAAATAATTGTTTAGTGAATGAGTATATATTTATTGATTTTACCATTCAAAGCAAAATCTACATTATTAGATTAAAAGGGACTCTAGAGATACTCTAGGCCAAAGACTTTGCTTTATAGATGAAGAAACTGATTGTTAAATGATTTGCCACAAATATTTGGGGATGGATTTTATTTGTTTTGATTTTTTAAAAAGACATTTAATCAAATTTAGAGGGTTTTTTATTTTTTTAATATATTTTATTGATTATGCTATTACAGTTGTCCCATTTCCCCCCCTTCACTCCTCTCCACCCTGTACTCCCTCTCCCACCCATACCCCCCACTTTAGTCATGTCCATGTGTCATACTTATAATTTCTTTAGCTTCTACATTTCCCATACTATTCTTACCCTCCCCCTATCTATTTTCAACCTACATTCTATGCTACTTATTCTCTGTACCTTTTCCCCATCTCTCCTCCTCCCACTCCCCTGTTGCTAACCCTCCATGTGATCTCCATTTCTGTGGTTCTGTTCCTGTTCTAGTTGTTGGCTTACTTTCTTTTGGTTTTGCTTTAGGTGTGGTTGTTAATAATTGTGAGTTTATAATTGTGAGTTGCTGTCCTTTTACTATACATGTTTTTTCTCTATCTTCTTTTCTTAGATAAGTCACTTTAACATTTCATAAAATAAGGGCTTGGTGATGATGAACTCCTTTAACTTGACCTTATCTGAGAAGCACTTTATCTGCCCTTCCATTCTAAATGAGAGCTTTGCTAGATAGAGCAATCTGGGATGTAGGTCCTTGTCTTTCATGACTTGGAATATTTCTTTCCAGCCTCTTCTTGCCTGTATGGTCTCTTTTGAGAAATTAGCGGAGAGTCTGATGGGAACTCCTTTGTAGGTTACTGACCCCTTATCTCTTGCTGCTTCTAAGATTCTCTCCTTCATTTTTACCTTGGCTAATGTAATTATGATGTGCCTTGGTATGTTTCTTCTTGGGTCCAACTTCTTTGGGGCCCTCTGAGCTTCCTTGATTTCTTGGAAGCCTATTTCCTTTGCCAGAGTGGGGAAGTTCTCCTTTATTATTTGTTCAAATACGTGCTCAATCTGTTGCTTTTCCCCTTCCTCTTCTGGTACCCCTATAATTCGGATGTTGGAAAGTTTAAAGATGTCCTGGAGGTTCCTAAGCTTCTCCTCATTTTTTTGAATTCTTATTTCTTCATTCTTTCTTGCTTGATTGTTTTTTTCTTCCTTCTGGTCCACTCTATTGTTTTGAGTCCCAGTTTCCTTCCCTTCACTTTTGTTTCTCCATGCATCTTCCTTCATCTCTTTCTTTCTTTCTTTCCTCTGCATTTTTTCATGTAATTTACGCCCAAAATCAACCAATTCTGTGAGCTTCCTGATCACCAGTGTTTTGAACTGTGCATCTGATAGATTGGCTATTTCTTGGTCGCTTAAAAGGATGAGTCCTGGGGGACTGATCTGTTCTTCTGTTAGGCACATGTCTCTCTCTCTCTCTCCTTTTTTAAATTTTTAAAAAAATTTTTTCCGGGTCTGCTCGCTCTTGTTATGGTGAGGGGCGGAGCCTTGGGTGTTCCCCTGGGCTGGGCACCCCAGTTGCTAGATTGTGACATTGTATGTGGGAGCGAGCATGGGTGCGGGGACGGGAGGGAACAATGACGGTAGCTTCGTTCTCCTGGGATCTCAGTCCCTGCTCTGGGATCCTGGGCCATGAGCTCTGCCCTGGTCCACAATGCTGCCTCACTGGGTCCGCCAGCCGTGGCCTGCGTACTCTGGGTCCACCGCTGCGTCCCGGAAGGCCTACGCACTCCCGGTTGCCCCACGCGCCCAGTTCTCCCCGATCTCCGCGCTGCGCGACCCGTGCCCGCTCCTCCTCTCAGCCCCCCTACCAGTCTGGATGAACGG